GAAATGAACCATGGTAACTGGAGCGTTCGACGGATTGCTCCATCACTCATATAGAGGATCCTTCCACAGTACAGAACTGTGGGTCAGTGTACACTTTTTGATTCTGGACTATGGAGCACTCTCTAGAAGGATATAGAAAAGGGAGCACGGGTCATAGTATATTTAAATATGATGAGTAGCTTCGAACCTTATCCTGGACGAGCCTATCGGCTGAATTACATCCGAAATATAGCATCAAACCATTCAATGATTGGCGATTTCCATATAATATTTAAAAAAAAAAGCGTCATGAGAATTAGCCATTAGCAATTCCAGGCTACTATTCCATTCTGGATAGTGTCGAATTCCCTTTTTCTTCTTTTCTTTTCTTTTTTACTTTTTTTTGGTGTGCTTGTTGCCACCGAACTCCGTACTGTACCTTAGTAATGATACAACCATGTTGGTCGGGCTTTTGCCTTTTCCTATCATTCCGGTTTTGACCCCTGCGCCCAACACGTGGGGCAAAGTTGCCTCCAAAACTCAGTCATCATTCTGTACCTTTTTTCCGAAAGGTCTTAGCTGCTGTCTCAGAAAAGAAAAAATAGTACCGGGGAGAGAGAGAGAGAGAGAGAGGGTGTGTGAGTGAGTGAGAGATAAAGGATGTATATGCAGCCTCATGCCCTACAGTCCAGTTGCATGTCAAAAATGCAACTCCCAATACGACGCTGCACGGCATTGCTCCCTATCAGAAATAGAACAAACGATATCCATAATTTACAACCATATAGGTTACCTCGAGAAATGCATTGAGACCTGGTCGCGTTGGGTCCAATCAGTCTCCCTAACTTGATATTGATTGGCACCGAGTCTACCTCGTTCGGATGCGGCACAGTCTTTGTACATATGGACGGCACTCCGGTGGGCTCTGGGCCCTCTCTCCCTTTGAGGGCCACAATATCTATTCTGCCTACAGAATGAAGTCCACTAGTGTCACCTATTGTTGGATTTTCCTTTTTGGTGATTTCTCTGGTTGCCTATATCAGTCTAGTTTCATTGAAGGTTAGCCAAGCTGCTACGTATTGTTGCTGTTGGTTTTTTAACATTTTCATTATTTTCATTCATTTGTTTATTTACTTAGGTTTTTCTTTCGGTTTGGATGGAGTATTTTGCCGACAACCCCATGACAGAAGCTTTGACTTCGACGGCTCCCGTTATCGCATGAGTGGAATAATCTAATACAGGGGGCCGTATGGTACGGAAACAAAAGATTCCAAACCCAAAAATTTCAAGAAATCCGAGAAGGGAAAGTCTTTTTAATTTATTATTATTATTATTGTTAGATTTTTTTTTTAAAAAAAAAAGGTAAGGGGGGGGGTCCCGCAAACCGGTCTCTTCAGACCGTTTCGATCGACAAAAAGCTCGATAGACAGATAATGTGAGATTCAATTCTGCTGTCTCACTTACCTAAGTCTGTCACTTGATGTTTTACATTGATTATCCGATAGATACAGAGGATCGTCGTACTTTGTCCTCTCCTGTGAACTCTCCCTATGGGGAAAGGGGAGGGGGGGTGGGGGGGATTATCCCATGTTTGCCCATATTGCTCGCGCTCTTTTCCTCATGAGAGAAATTGGATTGGAAATGGGCCGCGTACCCATGGAGGAGGCAAGATTACCGGAAGAGTAAAACTACAGCGGCAACCCTGGACAGGTTACGACCTCAGCTGGACGGAACTCAGTGAAAGTTGTCGCTAATGCCCAACTACGACACCCTCGACCAAACTGTCGGGTCCATGGTGGTATTCAACGCGAGAATCAGCCGGTGGGCGCATCACCAGGATTATATTGCTGCCGGTGGACTGGGACTGGAAAAAAATGGAAAGACTAAGAGATTACTATACCGGATAGAGTAACCGCGCGTTTTGGAGATTTTTTCGGTTTTTCTGTTTTTCTTTTTGTTGTTCTCCTGCCTTGTATCAGTATCCTTTGTTCTAGAAATGATAAGATGGATGGCGTTCTATATTATACGGCGTGGTTACTTGCTAGTAGTGGTGACTAGTAGCAGTGGGCTCCCTTTTTCACTGCATTCATTCATTCATTCTTCTTTTTTTCCTTTTTTTCCTTTTTTAACCCCCAACAGCCTAGGTAGAATCTGATTGTTAGATTTCACTCTTATACACATATGCCGCATTGGGTGAATAATATTATGCTCTGATATGATCTCGGCCGTACCACTCATTTTGCTCATAAACTAAACCGGTGCAGAAAGAATTATGGGTTGATATTTTGCTATCAATAGTAAGTTGCCCTTTTTTTCTTTTCTTTTTCTTTTCCCTTTTTTGAAACCCCACTACGTCAAACTCTTTGTTTCTTCACAACTATCGGCGATCTCCGTATTTAACCCCATAGTAGTAACTTTAACATTGCATTATATCCACGGATACCGTCGTCTCCACCACCAAAGCTCATCAGTCGCATACGAGCGTCTATCGTCTTCATAATCAGAATCCTTCGATTAATCATATGTCATCGAGCTACTCAAGATGGACACAAGAAGTAAATCCATCCAAGACTTTACATCCACATGCACCCCCCCTTCCCTCGGTGGAGCCTAAAGAAGCCCGAGCCTGGGGACATAGTCTGGTTTCGCAATCTTCAACTGGTCTGCTCGTTTATTCCTCGATTATTCCGCTTCGGCTCTGACATGATATTATAGTGTCAATTTTGCATCGAAACTGGCCCCCACCGAAACGCATCCTGCTTCGCTTTTGCCTTCGACCGCTTTTACTAACGGAGGTTATGATAGCCGAGATGGGTCCATCTTCAATTCCTGTCGAAACCTTATACTAGTTCCTCAGCAGCTGACTTCTGCAGACTACCGATTTATTTCCGTTAAGGGTAAATGAAACGGCAGACGAAACGGAACTCTCGTATACAAATATACATTCTGTCTATAGATAGCATGGACTTGGAGGCTCTCCATGAAGTTTACTTTTCTCCACGCAGGCCCAGGGTAAGTCGGGAATTGCGGATGAATTCCCCGCCATTTACTTCGGAGATGTTCGGATCTTACACCGGTTTCACTTCTGACGGGTGTCTTGTATTAAGGCTTGGTTGACACGCGTATATGTACAAAGATGGGGCAGGTCATCCACCCTTTCTAGACTTGGATTTTCTTCACCTTCTCTATTTGTGTGATAAAGATTATGCTATCATTATGAGATCAGGTTTAATTTCGACCGGCCGAGCTTTAAGGCCGCGTGGGTCTTTATAGTTGCGTGTTGTTGGCCCTAGATTTGTCATGTTTGGTACGGTACTTACCTCTGCCTTAGCACATACATGTGTCCATGTATTAATTATACAAATAAACATACATATATACATACCATATACATATACATACAGTACACAATATGAGCTGACAGTTAGGTATACTCAGTAAGGAATGTATACCAAGAAGTTGTTGAAGCACAACGATGCTTATGATGTAGTAAGCCTACTAGTGACATCTATATCCACCTTTTACAGCCCGCTCAGCACTCCAATCAAACATCACTTTCAAAAGCAAGCTGAGAATCATAACAGAGATCTATATACATTAAATACATGATACGTCCATAGATACCTACCCTATCTGCAACCTCAGCTAACAAACCAGCCAACCAAAACCCGAAGTCCGATTCATTCAATTCCTCACGGAATCTGCTAATCTCCGTTAGTCCGTCCAACTTAGCATTTGGCTTGGTGATCTCTGATGGATCGACCAACTTCCATTGCTTCGTTCTCGTGGTATACAGCCTTTTTCGGGATAGCGGCGACAGACAGTGCCTCTAGCCCCAACGGCTTTTTCGCCCTTTCACTTGTTCCTTACCCAAAGAAGAACGTCAATCTGATTACCTTTCTTTTCTTTTTTTGCTTGCATTAGGCAAGTGAGTTTCTAGGACACTTAACTCAAACATCGCTTTTGATTTGATGTGCAGTAAGTACATCTACCAAGGTCGTGGCTGGTTGCCATAGTCTCATGATTTTCCTTCGGCTTATTGTGTCTTGTCTGGGATCTATACTGTACATTCATCGGCGGAGGATGTCAGCTTCTACTGTCGTTCGGAACTATATCTGTATACTTTTTCATAAGCTAGATCTACTGGGATTCTAGAGTAGCTGAATATCAATTCGGGTGTAAGCCACGGGAGCCCTATAGACTTTTCTAGTTGGTAGAGTCTAGCTAGCGTGTAGTGTAAACGTACTGTACCCTCCCATTTGATAGAAGTAGCACCGAGGCGTAAGAATGTGCCTCGTTCACGGCGTTGCGCTTGTAACTGCCAAACGTAGCCTCATAGTTTCTCGTATGTATGTCAAGAGGAAGGGCTTTGGTATAGTTGTGCGTGTATGGCAAGGCCATGGAATAAGGGCGATCTGTCGACAAAGACCAATTAGCTCTTGAGGTTCTTAGGACGTGATAGACGACATTTTACAGTGAGATGCCCTGTAGCGAAGGCCTGAAACTTCGCGACAGGGAAGTGTTAAGCCATGGAAGATAAAGGAAGTGTCGTATATTAAGAAGAAAAGAAGATTAAGGAGATAATAGTAGCTGTTGCCGACTTGCTCGTACCTTATCATGGAGAATTAGCGTTCCTGGTCTTTTAAAGATTGATGATATGTTTCCACTAGCTTAGGACAGAGCTGGTAAAAATGATACGGGGGGATCCATCATTGTCTAGGAGCTTCTGGGAAATAAAAATGCTTTTATAAGGGGGTATGTCTCCCTCAGGTCTTACCTTATGGTAGGCTTGATGGTACATATAGACGGTGTTGTAGATGGAATGAAAGCTCTTATTATGCTATCTGAAGATGAGCTAAAATATATGACATCCGTCATCCATATGGAAATGCAGAGTTATCATACTGATTATTTTCCCCTTCTTGTTTTTCACATTTCAGAATACTATGTCCTCCAACTAATTAAAATCCCGAGACCACTCATGTTACAGGTCCGTTGGGGCCGTGTCACGAACGAATGACTTAGTCGACGTGATAGCCAGTAGCCAGCTCGCAGCTAAGAGATGTACAATCAGTTGCTGCTAATAAGGGGTATTGCAGGATACGTACGGATCAGCGGCATACTGAATATTGCACCGTTCCCAGCGTTCGTCGCGGACAAGCATAGCTCGGAAGCGAATGGCATCAACGATGCTACAGAAACGGAAGATGACGTTGCGGGCCTGCATGGATGAGTAACCAAGACGATGTCGTTTCTCGGAATTGAGTACTTACATCACCTGGAACGTAAGTGTCCAGGATCTTTTCGACCTTGCGATGGCTTCCAGTTGCCATATCAGAAAGTTCCCGCATGGTAACATTGAGGCCAATGCCAACAGCACGAATAGCACGAGTGGCGCCGGTAGACAGACTGAAAGAGAGCTGAGAGCTGACAACGTCGACTTCTTTGCCCATTTCTACAAAGACGGTTACCTTCCTTTCTTTGTCAAGATCGATGCCGTTGGGATGCTTGTCATAGAAAGCCTTGCATGCTTCGTGCTCACAGAAGAGGATGTGTGCAGTGCCCGTTGGAGTAACAGAAACACTCTCAACAAGACCGCCATGGATCAAGGACAGGACCTTGGCGGATGTGCACCAAGTAGAGGGCAGGCCCCGGATGATGATTCGTCGAACGCACGCGGCTTGAAGGCGCAAGGGTGTTAGCATAAGCTATCAGTGCAAGGGAGGTGGGGTGAATGCCATACCAGGCTTGTCACGAACTTCGGGAGCACCCCAGGTCTGAAAGGTAGTCAGGTGCTCTCGGTCTTGTTCTCCTTCGATAGAAACACGAGAGGCGGTTGGAGAATTGTTGATCGAGGCGAACTCAGGCGTGTTGGACTCCTCGGCGACCTTGGGCTCTTCGGCGAAGTCGGAGGACATGTTATCGTTATCAGAACCAGCGAACTCGTCACGGTCCTTCGTCTGGAATTCCGCTGCAGAATAACGCGATATTAGGGGTGCGTCAGGTAAATAGCAGGGTCAGAGACTTACAAGGGGCAGTGGCTTCTTTTGGGGTAGACGTGAGCACAAAGTCGTCAGTAGGAGCAGGGTCGTTCTCATGGGAGAGGCTGCCGTGCTCGCTGGACGCGTCTTCAGCAGCAACAGAAGACGCCTTCCTGTAGGCATTCGGATCGAGCTTCAGAGCCCTGGCAGCGGCCATGAAGCCAGCCGTGTCATCGACATTGGCAACAGGATGCATCCTTCTCACAGAACTTCTTTCGACAGTTGAGTTGTGTAAAGGGGTAGAGTTATGGCTGGAGAGGTGGGTGGAATATGGAGAGGAAGAGGAGGAGTGAGAGGGAGTGTGGGAAATAGGAGGGGTCATAACACTATTGGCTGACGACTAATTTTGTGTTATCAGTCTGATCACGGTCAAAGAGAGTGAAAGATTATGGGTGGGTTGTCAGGGGGAACAAGAGAGGAAGAAGAAAACAAAAAGCTCACAGTATCCCGATCCTCTGGAGGGGGAGCGTGGCGGCTCTCGTCCAATGTGTGGCCGTTCCGGTCCAAAAAGGATTCAAACACGTTATGAATAATACCAGTGATCCTAGAGCTGAAGGCAAAGGGCCTCGCCATGCCTACCTGGGTTCGTATTATCTCAAAGGCTTTGCACACGACTCTGAACAGAGGGTTTAACAAGTGCAAGGTCTGATGAATGTAAGATATGAAATTGTACAGCATGATGGTGTGAATTGTAATGGAGCAGAAGAGAGACCGATAATTCAAACTGCTTACAGCCATGTAGGGAAGAGTAAGAGACAAAATTTGGAGTCAAGACATGGGAGATGGAAGATGGGGAGCAGGAGCAGGAGAAGGGGGAGGAGGGAGAGGAGAGGGGGGGGGGGGGTTTATAGTGGTCCAAGAGGCAGAATCATCTGTCATAGCCCAACAAACAAGTGCCAAATCCTGCTATTGTTTCCACCTTCCCAAGCCATATAGTGAATGATAGGTGATTGATGTCTCAATCAACATCAATAATAATACCCAAGTGATTCACAAACACAAGAATGTATCACAATAATCACTCAGTCAGTTTTAGGCCATTCAGAGAAGACTGAAGGATTCTTTGGAGCTTTTGATCATTCATTATGTACGTCTCTGACATTGTCAATGTGTTTCACAATATAATAAAAAGTTGGTTTGCTTCACCCCATGTGCAAGAAATAAAAAAGTCCACAGTAGCGGATCAAACCAAAGGCTCATGTCGGCACCGGAATACTCTCGAATCCATCTTGGCCCTCTTTGCGATGTTCGACAATCACTTGGAGCCCTCGCCGTCCACAATAACCGTCATTTCCTGCGATCCGTGTAACGGTTTGAAAAGACCCGCCTCCGTTATCTTTGTTGTTCGGTATCCACACTGTCTCCTCAACAGCTTGACCATGGACTTCTGCTCGGCGAGGGTTAAACCAAGGTAGACCCACGAGGCGGTTACCAATGTCATGGATAAAGGAGTAGAGTTTTTCAAACCGTCGAGTCGTCCACAGCCAAGACAGGGTGCGACTGTCATATGCCACGCGAACAAAGGGGTTCATATAGATCCCGGTGTCTGCGATCTCGTCTCCGTTCCGTGGCGGTTTTTCGATATCAGCATGGATGAGACAGCATTCTGAGGCTTCCCAGAACAGGTCAGGCGCCGAACGGAAACGGACCGGAAATTGTTCACCCCCCATTTCAACAGTCGGCTTCGTACCAGCCTGGAAAAACCGTGCATCGAATGCCACCATCCCTCCCCAGCAACTGCGGACCCGTACTGCGTCCTTTTCGGATAAGACATCCTGTCGGCTCTGCCCGTTCCCAGCAGCTGTAAACCAAGGGAAAAACGGAAGGCCTATGCCATAACCTTGTAAATCACGCGTCGCATATGTATCATAAAACTTGAACGGGTTGGAAAAGTCAACAGCGCAGGCCGCCCGGTATTGAGCGATACCATCGTCATCGACATTGGTAGAGAATAAAAGTTGAAGAGCATCAATTGGATCAAACAGGACGTCATTGATGTAAAGGAGTTTGTCGTAGCGCGCTTTGGACTCATCCAACGGCCGTAAGGCTCGGTTTCGGACCTCAGCCAAGTAGTCGATACGCTTAGTACGTGTAGATCCCCCGGGGATAGTTACTCTGGGCAGGCTACTCAGGTCGATGTGCTCCTCAATCACGATAGATTTGTTGCATGAAACCCGTTTCTCCAGAGATCGTAATGCGCTCTCCCCCTCCGGTCCACTGTCATTCTCGTAGATACTCAGGAAAACGTTATCTTCTCCAAGCAAGTCGATAAGCCGGAGAACTGTTGAACCCCATTGACCCTGCGCCAAACTTCCGCCATGATCGTACAAGCTAACGGCGATGAAAACCTTCTCGTTGCGGGGGTTGCCCCGACCCGAGTGGCTCGAATGCGATACGGCATATCGAAGTGATGCATAGTGGGGTGGCGGTCGGGTATAAGAGGGCCGCAAAATTGCAGTTAGAATAAGGAGTGCTAGGACGATACCGAGGACAGCGTGTAGGTAGAAACAGGCCCGCCGAAACAGAAAGCGTCGAAAACAACTAGGCCGTGCTGAAGCCGAGATCAGTGGCCGGGAGGGTTTGAGACGACGGTATCCGGAGTATGTCGAAGCGAAGACTCGTGATAAAAAGGGCACTCGGCGTAAGAGTCGCCTAGGCCGGGGTGGAACTTGCGACTCAAAGTCGGCCTCGTCTAAGTTGAAGCTCCCCTGAGTGTCCGCTGAGGACCGGGTTTCCAGTTCATACTCGTCGGGATGAAGAAGTCGTGAAGGCATGACGATCATTCGTCACATGAAAAGGAAAGAAAGCAATCACCTAGCCCATATCTGAAAAATTCAAGCCGAGTAAAGAATAGAGCACTGCTGCAATTACTAGGCATCCACAAAAAAGAAACAAGGGAAAAAAAGTTACCATTCAGGCTCCAGCTGAAGCCATGATTTCCCCAAACGGGATGGACTGGCTTATGTCAGCCGATCTAAACCGCCAAGACTTTTTGCTTAAATCGGTGCGGAGAACTACCAATTGACTTCGGCTTTTGCTCATGCAATATAGACGAAAACTCCGCGACATTAGTATTCCAGTTAAATCTATACGGAACGCATGTTGCCGACATGTTCCGGAATCGCTTCCTAATCTCGCCGAACACAAGTATATCGGAAACCCCACTAGGGATAGAGTCGTGACTCATGATTGACCTACCGTGAAAGAAGTGCTTGGCCTGTGGTTCTTGGGGGGAGATTGTGGAGCACACCATCCAGTGACGTATGCGGAGGTTTATATTCCCTCTTCCTCTTGCCCTCTCTTCTCATCTTCTAAAGTTTTCCACTCTGGTAAAACGTCTTTTTGATAATCTTTCCCGTCACCCCTCCGTTCCGTCTTCCCTCCTATACCATAAAACGTAACCAAGAAAACGAAGGAGAGAATCACAATCATTATGTCAACATTCGCTTTTGTCAACTCTAGCGAGAAGGTCCCCGGTAATGGAATCCTTCCTGCCGAATTTACAATAAAGGCCTCTCCGGCCACGGATGTATGGTCGAAACCTCCATCCACGGAAAGATTCAACGCTCCGATTCTATACCGGAGCGTTCCGTTGAACTCATTTAAGCGGGCGAGGGTTGCCTTCAATGCCTTCTGGAAAGACAAGTACGACCAGGGTGGACTCATCCTTGTTCTGAACAGCGCTGATGGTGCTCGGAGATGGGTTAAGACCGGTATCGAGTTCACCCACGGTAAACCCCATCTGAGCACTGTTGCAAAGGATAGATACGCGGACTGGAGTTTGCAGCCGGTCCCATCAGGTGGTGGAGCAGCGACACTGGAAATTGTCAGAGAACCAGACAATAGTCTGTGGATCTATCTAGTCGAGGGTGTACAGAAGAATCCTCTGCGGGAAATTACTTGGTTCTTCGCGGATCAAAATGTTCAAGATCTCTGGGTGGGATTATATGCAGCCAAGCCTTCTAAGGAGGGTGAGGATCTGGTGGTCAATTTCGGACATCTGATCATTGATACTGTTTAATCTCGCAAGTAAAAAGGTGTGTGGTTCGACATAAAGCGTTACTTTTATTAGACTGGGCGGAGGTAAATTGCCTTTTCAACGATGAAGTTGTTTAGACCTTGGTCTACTTGCAATATGATGGACATAGAAGTGTTGAGCAATATTTATAGTATCATCATCAACTTGTACCCAAACTTCAAGTGATATAATCCAACTTTATAGAGGATAGAGTAATCATTTTAACACAATGGACCAATTCTTAATTTGGAAGTCATTTCTAGTGCTAAGATATTGCCGTACGATATGTTGCTATATATGACATAGTTTAGACTCGATAGACAACTTGATACACCGAAATCTTCCCATCCCAGCACTTTTAAAATCCTCCGATCCAGTCTAGTGAGCATCTTTGTAGCGTTGGTTTGACCATGCCTTTCTCGAGCCATGAGCCTAGCCTATCGAAAAACTCCCTGCAAACTCATAATCTTCTTGAGCCGTCTATAGAAGAACACACGCCTGTGACATGGACAATTTTATAGACGCCCTCTGTTTGAGCTTCATTGCCGCAACAGTCGCAGAAAATGTGGGTGGTCCATAACCATTTATTGTCTGTCTCTTACATCTTATGCTATCAGAGAAGATCACACACTGCTATTCCATTTCCCCCCTGCTCTGACCAGGTGATGGAACACGTCCGCGGTGTAATTGTGAGTTCCGCGTGTACACTTGGTGCCCCGAGGCCTCAATCCACAACCCGCGCAATCTTAGGTTATATCAGGAAGCGGCTACATTGACAGTAATTGAACAGCGGTGATATTAGGTTGTTCTGTGTCTATAGCGGCCCACAAATGTACGCTATCTTATTTCGTTCATCGACTAGCAAGTGGTTTTACATTCTCAAAAGATCTGTCGATGAGTAACACGTAACTTCCTCATTCATGCGATTGAGCAGAGGCCCAAATTGTTGATGAGGTCGATAATACTATCCGGGATTACCACATCATCGATCATATATCTCGATGTCCGCCATTAATTTAGAGTCGGAATTGGAAAAGTGATTAGGATGTGGGCTCTGCTGATGAGAGGCATGAAGAGAGATGACTCTACACCATCCGATAGCCACTGGGTTTCCAGGCCTGAGCCAAGCTCTTCCAACTCTCCTAGAATTAACCGGCGGCCTTATGAAGGTGACCTAAGGTCAATTGGTGGCGTTTTTAAGGTTGAGGAGTTGAGGACCTCTTGTCACATAGACAGGAGTGCGAAGGGTCTGCCGACAAGTTTATTGACTCTGTCGTTTTGGAATCATGCCGCGGACAATATCTCACAGAATGCACAACCCAAACATACATTCTGCCTTTCTAGCTACGCCAGGCAATTTCTTCCAAGACAACCTCGATTCCCGTTCCTTTAGTAGTAGTGACAGGCACTGAGAAAGCTTGGCTAATATCATCCTATTTGCGGGAAACAGGAACGTAGTGTGAGACCACTAATCCCCAAAAGCGATTCACAGTACAGATTATCCATTCCATTATGGAGTCAGCAACTTTTGCGGCAGCTGCCGTGACATTAGCTTCGCGTCAACTAGATCATCTTGAAAAGGCGCCAGCGTCAGGTAATGTGGTAGCTGTATCAATATACCGTCCGACCACTCATAGGCTAGAATCCTAAAAATGCCGGTGCCTCGATACTAGCGACTTGTATCCTGCTATGTGTTTATGAGATGATGGCTTCGGGGGTGTCCAAGTGGAGGGTGTGTCGCCTGCGGTTGTGGTCTGGAATCCCTAGGCCTCAATCTTGTATCACTAGCCGGGCTTATCTAGTAAAGGAATTGTAAAGCTGTGCTTTTGGGCCTTCGCCAGAATTGGCGAGTTGCTCCCCACAAGAGCAAAAACCTCTATTAACGAGTTGTTCGAGTAATAACAGCTGCGAGGATCAGGTATCAGGGCAGCATTCTGCAGCGGTAAAACAACACTGATCCCAACTAACTTCTGGATAGATAACATGTCGGTTCTATCAACTGCCACCGAGGGGAGTATGGATGATTACAGTAACGTGTCTATGCTTGTGTTCGCAGAGATAGTCAATCCTCTGGAGATATGGAGTCTGCCAAATAGTATATTCGAGTCGGAACTCAGGACTAGCATGTCGATGCTATGGAACGAACACCAAGGTTGGTGTCAACTTTCGTCCCCAACAGGTTAACCCTCTGCTAAGAAGGGACTGCACACCTTCCAACACCTTCCCTGGATACTCGTTTACTCGATCATCCTCAGATAAGAGCTGTCCTAGTAGTGCCAAATTTGTGGTCAGTCAAACAGTCCAATATACGGGAAAAGTCTGTGGTAACATTTTCTACCATGCAGGCTCCATCACACTACTGCCGGTAGGGATTATTCTAAGGGTGCAGGCCTGCCAACCTGAAACAGTAAGCAAAGGAAACTGCTGGGTGCCGGTTTCCACCGTGCCCTCTTCTTATCAAGGGTAGTTGCTAACTGTTGTCTTGAGATCAAAGCCGTCTGGCATGCCGGAGAGCTAGTTGGGATATTCACCTCACCTCGAATGTATCACAGCAAGTCATGGCCACCTCGGCCACTCGGTACATTTTTTTGACTTTCTTCTTTTTGTTTTCAATTTTCCTTCCGCGCTCCACTTCCCCTTGTCGCCGAAATTTGCTTGCCTAGTATGACTTGTCGAATCATGGCATGAACAAAAGTATGTAAACAAGGTGGATAAACAAAACTGACATTAGGATCAACCAGTGCTAACTAGGTCAACCAACTATGACCTTGATACATCACAGGTAAAATTATAGCAGGCTCCCTAAAATGTGACTCGTGGCAATCAGGTTTGCCGTATACCTGGTCAGAGGTACTTCCCCGGGTTGTCTTCATCTAACCACCCTCACGATGACAATGGTAGCCACCGTACATGTTCGTTGGAAGAGTTTGCTGCGGAGAAGAAATTTCTTCTTTAGCATCGAGCTTGAGTTGAACGGGAAACGGGATGGAAGTCTTCTGACCGTGCTGCCGACCTAAGAATGTTCTGGGGCTTCGGGTAGTCCCCCGTTAGCTTGGGTGCGTTGTGGCATATGGTATGTCAGTGTATCGAATCCGTGGAAACCAATGCATGTCGGAAGATATAATCTGTCGTTTATATAAAATGTAAGTTTAGCCCTACGTGAGAGATCCAAGGATATACAACCGAGCTTTATTATGCACGTTGTACTAAAATACTCAGTACTGAACTTTAGTTCAAGTTAAATTCAAGAGATTATTCGTAAATAGCATGATATATCTTTTGTTGTAACCAGGTAGCATACGGACACATCAGGTTAGCGCCCGTACATAGTACCATGCGGCATGTTTTCAAAGATCGTAGATATATATGGATTTTGACCACAGGTAGCTCTCCACATGTATCTATCATAATGTAGCAGAGCAGAGCGATAAAGACAAAAGAATTTAAAAATAAAATAAAATAAGAACTGAACAAGAACAAAAAGAGATGAACAACTGAGGAATGGCTCGGAAAACCAAATGTTGGGCTTGGATTATCAGCCAGCAAATCACTGTCCAAGAAACCCTTCCTCTTCACTGTCACCTTAGTTCCACTGTTGGGCAAATGTCTGACGTGGAAATAGGACGGACATATAACTAAACAACCTCCTACGTAGTAAATTAACCTACCCACCAAGTTGTTGTGGTCCTTTCGTATTTATTTCCAAGCGAACTCAAGATCCTGGACTTTAACTGGACCGTTAGAATATTAGTTGCAAAAAGTAGGTGGAGCTTTTATTTTAACTTCGGCAGAAGGGCAAACAAGTCCATTCAGCTCGCGGTACTCGCGGCTTCTGGTGGAAACCCGACGATATCATGAAGGAACTGCGAGGATCTTCCTGGTCTGTCTGGCTGATAGAGCACACGAGTGGTTATTACTCAGACTGACTCATACCAAGACCGGCGGTTCTTCTGATGGAGGGGTAGAAAGAAGAGGAGAGACACACAAAAAAAAGCCCTCTAACCATGACATGAGCTGTCTATTTAGTTGGATGATCATAAGCGGTATGACCCGATGTCATCTCCCCAATCATGAGACTAGACCACGGGGGTTTAGTTCTCAGTGCTGAGGGATAATAATTTGAATAATAATAATAATATATCAATAGTAATTATCCATTCAGGACAGTGCAACAGGGGGCTGTGAATATCACTAACAGTCCTGGTTCTTCTCAAGTGTTTTATATTACTGGGTCTACTAATGCTAACTATTACTGAAAGACTAATGAAGTCTGACACGTGATTCACTAGATTACTGCAAGGGGGAAGGAATGGTTCTCATTCCAGAGTGATTCATCAGCCGACAATGAACTCTTCAGAACCCGACAGGCAAACAAAAAGAGGATTTTAACTCTCTCTATCTGGACTTTGTCTATAGGACATGAATCGAAGGAATTAAATATATGGCGAGTGTGCAGTTCCAATAATGCAGAGTAACCTATAAGAATCCGTAGCTTCCGTTCGGACCGAAACCAGGTGATCTTATCATATCTGATTCTCTCAAAAGTCTTATCCACCTGCGGGACATCCATCATCCTGGTTGCTTTGCCACTCTCCCCACTTCTTCACCACGTCCGGCTGCAATCCAGTTTCCTACCCCTGATCACTCTCGAACTTACTCTGATCCGCCGTGCTTGGATTCAAAATCGGAGGGCGACCGCGCGCCTGAACTGCCCGTCCTGTGCCGCCCTATGAATGATTGAGGGAGTCAATGTGTGCTCGAGGCCGAGGGGCAAGCTCTGTCACGACTCCGCCCACTCGAGCGAGGCGTTTCAAATTTACTCAACTAGGTACTGTATGTCTTGTGGAATAAAATAGGCATCAGTCTACCAACTCTTTGGCGCATCGGAAACCACGCTACCTTTCTGGGCCTCGGGCGTTAGGCCCAGAGGCTAAACCTGTGGCCCATCCCACGTCGGCCTGCATAAGTGCCCTTTGTCGATCGTGTCGATTGGTCTGAAGTACGCCGGGGTTAGAGTCCTGCACTTGGAGCTCTGCCCCTTTGTACGATAGATCTGACAATCCGCGTGCCGTCATCCGTATCTTTCGATTCAGTTACATAACGAACTTGCGAATCTGATACCCAACCTAACATTTCACCGAAGTTTTCTTCGGCTCGTCTTAGTTATCCCCTTCTCTTTGTTCTTTATCCTTTTACCTGTTCTGTTTTTGGACCTTCACTTTGAGATACCCCTCTTTGCTTGTTGCGTGTTGCGTTCCTGGTGCTGGGCTTGTTTAGATCGTCCATATCATCCGTCAGCTCAAGTATCTCGACCTAAACACTAATCGAAACTGGTGACTTACTGTGATACCCCTCGTCCCGCTACATCTTCGCGCTTTCGTTGAAAACCACTTCCGCCTGGACTATTGATTTCGATAAATGGGCATTCCTCGCGGTGATTTCACCTATCGGGTTTCTTTTTTGACTTCCTCGACTCGCCAGAAATGCCCTTACTTGATACACACACTGGTCCCTCATATGGCACACTCGATCAAATGGAGAGGCGCGATCAGCATGAAGGAGAACATCTCCTTCCGGCGGGATATGAAAGCGACGGTCACGACAGTGAGATAGCGTCGGATGATTCGGTACAGGAAGGTGTCCGGAAGATTGAAGCCATCAGCTTGACCTGGACAACAAAGTCGCTTGTCGTAGCTTATGTCAGGTATGTTTGGCATTCTCAATGTGGTTGATATGATAAGGGATGTTGTCCGGTTTTCACTGACTTTTTCTAGTATTTTTCTCATGGCGTTCTGTACTTCTCTAGAGGGCCAGACCACTATGTCACTCTCTGCTTATGCAACCAGTGCATTTAGCAAACACTCTTTGATTTCAACGGTCCTTGTTGTCCAGAATGTAGTCAATGGTAGGTAATCTATCTCGCATTATGTGATCTGATCTCGATCAGCTGACGAGCAAGCAGCTGTAATTAAGCCTCCCATGGCTAAGATAGCCGATGTCTTCGGTCGCTTTGAGGCATTCTGCGTCTGCATTCTGATATATGTTCTTGGCTATATACAGATGGCGGCGTCGACCAATGTCCAGACTTACGCATCCGCTCAGATTTTCTATTCCGCCGGTTCTACGGGCTTGCAGATCCTCCAACAAGTGTTTATTGCGGACAGCAGTAGCCTCCTCAACAGGGCTTTCCTCGCCCTCTTGCCAGAATTCCCGTTCTTGGTTACAGTTTGGATTGGACCGGCAATAGCAGATGCAGTGATACACTACTCATCATGGCGTTGGGGTTATGGAATGTGGTCGATTATTCTGCCAGCTTCGTTTCTCCCGTTGGCGCTTACACTGTTACTAAATCAACGCAAGGCTAAGAGATTGAATCTTATCAAGCGAAAACATGCATCTCGGGGTGGCCTTGTCGGTGTCATTCGTCGTACTTGGTACGATCTCGACATGTTTGGCTTGATACTCCTTTCGGCGGCAGTTACATTGATCTTGGTACCTCTGACGCTTGCCGCCAATGCTAGAGACGGATGGAAGAACAACGGTATCTGGGTGATGATTGCGGTCGGCATAGTTTGTCTCTTAGTATTACCGCTGTGGGAGACTTCGAAAAGGTTCGCCCCTAAGCCTCTTCTCTCCTTGCACCTACTTAGGCAACGCACTGCCCTTGCTGGTTGTGCTTTGGCTTTTTGGTATTTTAGTAGGTTAATCCGGCACACCACCCACACATTACCCTTTTTCTTTCTAACATCACTCAGTGGCATTTTATTTTTCCGTTCAACCATACCTTTACTCTTATCTTCAAGTAGTTCAAGGATATGATGTCTCTACAGCTGGTCGTGTGACGCAGACTTTTGCGTTTACGTCAACTATTGCTGCTTTCTCGGTTTCTTTGTTGATTAAGTATACGGGACGGTACCGTATCTACGTGACCATTGGAAGCGCGATTTACATGTTTGGGCTGCTATTGATGATGCTCTACCGCAAAGAAGGGAGCTCAGCAACGCTAATTCTTGGAACACAAATCGTGGTGGGTATGGGAGGCGGTCTCCTTAACGTACCTGTCCAGCTAGGAGTTCAAGCATCTGCTAGCCACCAGGATGTAGCGGCCGCTACGGCAATGTTTTTGACAGCCATGGAGATGGGTGGCGCAGTTGGCGCAGCAATCTCAGGGGCTGTCTGGACGCACAATATTCCACGGAAGTTACGGCATTATCTCCCTGGTGAGAACAAAGGAGATGTCGACGAAATATTTGGAAGATTGGATAAGGCGCTATCTTTCCCTATGGGTTCGCCGGCTAGGATTGCCATCAATCGATCTTATCAAGAGACTATGAATAAGCTGCTGGTGTTGGCGCTGGTCGCGACGATCCCATTGATCCCCTTGAGTCTTTTGATGAAGAATTACAGGTTGGACAAACTTAACCCCGGCCCAATTGACGGGCCTAGTGGGGGGCGTCTAGTTCCAGACAATGGACAAGGCTTATCGGAGGGCGAGTCCGAGTCAGAAGGACACTCGAAGCAACCATGAAGAGTGCCCTCATGTTCATGTCCTGGGGTGACCCAAAGCAATAAGTGACATATGGAACAGGCTCCCATTGTTGTTGCTCAGCATCTTGTATAGTCCACTAGAGTCCCCCTTCTACTTCAGAAGCGAAACAGCCGTTATGGGCAGATCGGGCGGTATCCCATCCGGTCCGAACCCGAATGCGACGTGTCCACCTAAGACTTATGCGCGATTGCGCCAAACACCCTTCGGCTATAAGCGCCAAAGCGTTTTCTTGTGGATATATGGATTGGCGAGCGCCTCGCTCTCTCAGCCTGAGAAAAAGCAGTTTCCAATATATCCATCCTCTATGTTGTCCGTGCAGTGTTGTACATATTTCGAGCGAGCGACTACCCTAGAAAACCTCCTTATGGGTTGATATAGATGTTATGTGATTATGACGAGAGATAGATGGCAATGCATGTGAATTCTTTTGATCCTTTCTTATTCGAGCAGATTTTGGATGGTAGTATAGCAGATTCAAAGTAGAGAGACAACAATATGAAGGGGGGGGGGGGTCATCAAACTGCCATACCCCAGTAATTGACAGCAAATGGCAAAAGATGATATCATAAAGCCAAGTAATATAATGCTTGAAGGAAATAGATCTCTTATACGTTGCACCGTTCATTGGCCTCCTGTAATTAGCACTTTTGGTGATGGATAATTGAATTGGTGCATTTGCCGCCAGTCGATGATTGGACTGCTAGGGAGTGACACTCGGTGCCTTAAGGTTTGATTGCAAACATGCCTCGAACATCCATGGATGCGCCTTTGTTCTCATTTTTATTCTACTTCTTTCGTTCCCTTCAGCTCTGGTGTAAGAGGTTTATAGCCCCTCGACTGGATTTCATCCCCTGGGACTTGATCCTCAGTGGTGCCGTGTCGTGTCTACCATATCTTCATAATACTACTCTACTCTTACAGGTCGTTTTGCCGCGGCCCCTCTACTTCCCCCCTCATTTCCAAGTTTCATCTCATTTCTGAGCCATCGACCTTTTATCTAGAAGGGGGAAATAGAGAAACCTAAGAGGGATAAAGAGCTGTTCCAACTGCTCCTTGAATATCAAGAGCATTCCCCAGGATTGACCGTGAGCGATTTCTCCGTTGAACTGATTTTAGCTTTTTATTTCAATTTTCTTCTTCTGACTCTTCAGCTGTATAACTGGAAACAAAAGGAAAGAAAGGAAAAGAAATTACAAGGTTCGTGAATCTACTAGCTATATTCTCCAAAGATTTGTGTCTTAAAATCCCCCCCTTTTGCTTTTTCGTTGTCCCTAGCAGAATTGGTTTCTGCCTGTCTGGAGATACACTCCCCAATAAAAACGTGCTAGTCGCAGTGTCTAGACAAATAGGCCGACATGAGCTAACGGTGCGGGTTGCCCCATCCATGGCAGCTTTCTTTCTTTCTACCTAAGGTACTCTCCGAACTAGTGCTACGGTCCTATCGTCCTCCACCTGCCTCCCACATTGGTTACGTCCACCAACCCTTCACCGTCGACATTCACCGCACACCAACCGCCGTAACTCCTGGCCGCTGCCTTTCCCATCGAGCGCCCCCTGCAATCTCTCATCCCTCTCCTTTCTATATTTTCTCTCCAGCCTCAAGCAATCGGTCCCTCCTCACACCTCTCCCTCCCTATTCCCTTCACCGCATCTTCCTCCTTTCGTTTCCTCATCATCTCGGGTCTAGACACCCTTGGAAGATTATCTGCACAGTCACTTGCAGAGCCTCAGGTAGCTCCAGGTATACAATATGGTCGTCGCCACTATCAAGTATGTTTCCTGGCTTCCTCCCTTCTTCAGTGCCTCTCCTCTTCCCCTCCGACTTACCCCCCTGTCTGATACCACACCTCGGGTCCATACTAGTATTAGGATCTGTTCGATTAGCAATCAACGGTCTGCTAACCATGGTCACTAATTCTCTTTAGGTGTGTTGTCGTCGGTGACGGTGCTGTGGGCAAGACATGTCTCCTGATTTCCTACACAACAAACAAATTCCCCTCCGAATATGTTCCTACCGTTTTCGATAATTATGCCGTCACTGTCATGTAAGTGAACCCAATTGTTTCAAGCCATGGCAGAAACGGCTGGATAGTTCCATTCTGTGATCTATCCCGGCAGCGGCTTTAATAGCCGCGTCGCCGGACTAATCGACCTGGTTTCATTGTATGTCGATTTTCTCAATTAATGGACTAATCCGACTCCTTCATAGGATCGGCGATGAACCGTACACCCTGGGACTTTTCGATACTGCTGGTCAGGAGGATTACGACCGTCTTCGTCCCCTTTCGTACCCACAGACCGACGTCTTCTTGGTCTGCTTCTCCGTGACATCCCCCGCTTCCTTTGAAAACGTGCGCGAAAAATGGTTCCCCGAAGTTCATCACCACTGCCCTGGTGTCCCCTGCCTTATCGTGGGCACCCAAACCGACCTGCGTGACGATCCTGCTGTCCGCGAAAAGCTTTCCCGCCAGAAGATGCAGCCCATTCGCAAGGAAGACGGAGACCGGATGGCTAAAGAATTGGGCGCTGTGAAATATGTTGAATGCTCCGCCCTGACTCAATATAAACTCAAAGACGTTTTTGATGAGGTGAGTCGGTCTAAAGCTGTTGATTTTATCCTTCAGATTGTATGCTAATGAGTCAATACAGGCAATTGTTGCCGCCCTCGAGCCTGCTCCTAAGAAGTCGAAGAAGTGCGTTTTGCTGTAATTGCATCTGCATCTGCTTAGAGCAGGGTTAGTTTGCTCCGGGTGTTACCCAGATCATGTCGCTGATGCGTCCCAGCTACATCGCATATTTCGAAAAAGATCGAGGTTTTGAAGCGCATAAAACTAAACTGTTATGGATATCAAAGGCCACAGCTCATGAGTCGATTACCATCTGTTATCCAAACTCGAAACGATATTTTTTAATGTTGCCATCCTCGTATTCTTTCGTTGCTCATGTTATGGCATTCATTGATCCGATCCGATATACCCTGGGATATTTTGATTTCCCAACTCTGCCGCGGAGACTATCAACGAACCGAACCACTTTACCTTCATCTTCCAGCCGGCTTGTCTTTGCCATATTATCCCCCTACTCTCCTCCTACTGCCCTATCATTTCCTGTCTCTTCCTACTCTTCCTTTGTCCATTTTCGATTCTCTATTATCACTCATCATCCCTATCGGCGTTGGAAGTCGAGGCGTCTTGTTTTGGCTGGCTGATGGTATTGATCTGTTTCTTTATATTCGCGATTTGTTGTCACGCCTGCGCCTCCTGTCACATTGCTGTGCCATTTTATCATTGTCATGTTTCAGTCTTGAACTAGATAGCACAGATATATCAGTGACCACCAAGTATTTGGTACTGAAAGACCATGCCGTAATCAGGTTGAAAGTAATGAAATCTGTTATTGCTAGTCGTACTCGCTTATCGCTACTCGCCCCTATCGCTAGTCTAGAGCATGGACTTCATCCAGCCCGGACTATATGATCGAATCAATGCGTAGAAATCTTGCGACTGCCTCTCGTAAATCATTGGTGGAGAACATCTCCAACATGTCGACCTAATCTCCGATACCCCTTGAGCAAAAAGGCAATATCGTCTCTCCGGACCAGCATTGGTCAACTGCAACTGGAAATTTATGTCCAGATTAGTACTTGTTGACCGATAGACAATCCTGGCAATCCAACCTCCGTTTCAGTCAATTCAAGCAAACTCTGGCTCCTCTGTTCATTTGGTCGGTCGGCCTCTGTGTCTCCCTTTTCTGGCTTTCTTGAGCGACTTCCCCCCAAGTATAATGTGAAGTAGGTACGAGGGCCTGGTAAATTGGGATGGTGGAAGAATTTGCTCGTCGTTGTCTTGTCTGGTTGATGGTGATTTGGGCTTGGAAAGAGGGAGTTCGTGTTATTTGGGGCATCAGAGAAGAAAATCGAGGGACGCGTTGCGTTGCATTAGTGAATGCAATTGTTTGATTGTCAGTGAATGTAAATTTTCTTCTCCACATTATGTGCTTGCTATATTTTGAATAGGTGATAGGATCCTTTGGTGTGCTGAAAATACTCTCTCGAGTATGGTTTACCGTGATTTGAGTAGTAGTATGTTTTTTATTATTACACCTGCCTGCATGTGAAACATGAATCATTCGTAACATCATCCTATCTTGTTTAGAGCTCATCCTTGGTCTCCTTCGCCTCTCCCTCTTTGACAGTCCCTTGGGCACTCTCTTCCTTGCGTCCATACCATCCTCCCAAATCTTCGCCAGCCCCCGCCTTGACCATGCTGGTGATGATCTCAAAGGCCACCTGGGCTGCCGCAAGGGCGGTGGTTTCGCCCTTATTGTCGTAACTTGGCGATACCTCAACGATGTCCGCACCAACAATGTTCAACTTCTCGATGCCGCGCAGGATCCGGATGAACTCACGGGTCGTCCAACCGCCAGGTTCGGGGGTACCTGTGCCGGGGGCAGTCGCAGGGTCAAGCACGTCGATATCCACCGACAGATACACCGGTTGCTCCGTGTCCAGGCCGATGCGTTCAATGATCCTATCCACGATACCCAAAGGGCCCAGGTCATCAATGTCATCCGCGTGAATGCGCATGAATCCCTGCTCGGGACCTGGATTGGTGTAGTCGCTGTCGGTAACGCCGGTAAGACGGGTGCGCAGACCAGCATGGGCGGAGGTCGAGTTACAAATGAGGCCTTCACGGCTTGCCTTATGGAAAAAACTACCATGATTGAATGCCGACTGTTCTGATGTCCAGTATGCCGAGTAGCGAACAGGGTTCCAGGTGTCCAGGTGCGCATCGAAGTGCAGCACTGTGATTGGTTTCTGGTAAACCCGGTACAAGGCACGGAGGGCTGGCAGCGCAACACTGTGGTCTCCTCCCAGTGTTACCAACTTAACCTTTCCGGCAGAGATGCCCTTGGTGCCGTACTTGGAGTTGGCAGGAGTGATGGCAGGTCGTGAACCCAGCTCAAGAAAAGCTTCATACATTTGGCGCTCCGCTACCGCATTGTCGAAAGGGATGATGGGGATATCCCCGCAATCCTTGACAGTGGCCCATGAGCTGTAGGGATTGATACCTGCACGGGTGTTGTAGGCTGTACCAGCCATCTGACGAGCGCTAGCAGCACGAATGGCACGAGGACCGAAACGGGCTCCTGATGGAAGAGTTAAACATCCCTGATTTGTGGACACACTTAGGAATGCATACCTGGTCTGTAGCTAACAGCTGTATCGAAGGGGGCTCCGATGACGGCAATATCATATCTCTCATCCGGTTCGATTAAGCATTTGACCGGTTTTAAGTGAGCAAAGCTGGAAATGCCAGAAAATGTCCACTGGGTTTAGTTAGAAATGGTATTGTGCAAGGTAGAATGGCAAGAAAATAAAAAAGGTGTACCTCTTGATCCCATTTCTTCAATAACTCCTCACGCAGATGCTCCGGGACCACTTCGGTATCGTCATGATGGGCGTGAGATAAGGCTGTACTAGCCAAAGCCAGCAACCCCAGAATATATTTCATTCTGTATGATATAGCAGTATGTATAGGACAAGCCAAGGTGAGACAAAGAAAGGAGAGAAGAGGAATTGAACCCGGGGCGAGCTGTTTAGTTATAGGCGCCATAGATATCATGGAGATAGTAAAAGCGTTATCGATAGGAACAACAACCGTCCATTCATGCGGCGCCGAAAAGTGGGCCTTGTGGCCTCAGGCGTGCAAGCCATCGTGCGGACTTTCCCTTCTTGTCACTTTTCTTTTAGTTCCCAGCGTCCTCCTCTTTTCGTCCTCCGCATTTATATTGGTCCGGCTTTTCGATTACCGCTCGATCCAGAGCCTGTAGAAGCTAATCGAAACCGACTAGATTCTAATATTGTCCAGGAATCTCAGGATGCCATGCGTCGGGTTGTTGTGACGGGTTTAGGAGCTGTGACTCCTCTAGGGGTAGGTAAGTTATTCTATTGAAAGTTTCATCTTTGTGCAATGCAGAAATCCATTTATGGTGCTCTGTTCATCCTCCTTTCGGTGTGTGTTTGTTTTGAGCATGGTTCCTTTGTTGTGGTTTCACAATGTCTCCAGCACTGAAGGTCTCGCTACAATTGTCTCCACTTCCGGCATACCCGAAGGGGAAGGTTTTGGATACTGGGCCTAATCGTCATGGACATGCCTAGTTAGGAAGTTGGATAGAGACGACGACATCAGCAGTTTACACCACTATCCCAAATCCTTGCGCTTAAATTGCATGGATCGCTAAACTATCGTCCCTTTAGGAATCCGTCGAACATGGAAACGTCTGCTAGATGGCCATTGCGGCATTGTAAATGTCAACCATCTCGACTCCAGGTTCGCGGACTTACCATGTCAGATCGCCGCTCTAGTGCCTAATGGCAAAAGGCAGGATGGCGGCTGGACTGCGTCAGAATGGCTGAGTAGGGATGTATGTATGAGCCTTGATATTATTTACATTTGTGAATTCTGTGAAGAGTGGGCCTAACGCCATTGGTAGGAAGAGCGCAAGATGGCGCGTTTCGCTCAGTATGCTTTAGCTGCTTCGGAAGAGGCTCTTGAAGATGCGGGCTGGAAACCCAGTTCGTTTGAGCAGAGAGAATCTACGGTAGGCGTCTGCAACACATCATTTATCTTAACGTATGCTTATGGCTACCTAGGGTATCTGTCTCGGGTCGGGAATTGGTAACTTTGATGAAATCTACGACACCGTCGTGGCATACGATAAAGGAGTTAGTCACAAATGAACATTGTATCGTAGCTACACTTTTGTGACTCCTGACAGGGCTACAGAAAGGTATCTCCATTGTTTGTCCCGAAACTCTTAATCAATCTCGGCGCTGGCCATATCTCTATGAAGTATGGATTCATGGTATGTCTAAGTTCAATGTTGGAGTTTACTGCCACTAATAATAGAATAGGGGCCTAACCATGCGGCTACCACCGCATGTACCACTGGAGCACATTCCATCGGTGATGCAGCTCGCTTTATCGCATGCGGTGATGCGAATGTGATGTTAGCTGGCGGGGCTGAATCTTGTATTCATCCGCTGGCTGTTGGAGGCTTTGCCCGAGCGCGGAGCCTTGCAACGAGCTATAATGATGTTCCCGAGAAGGCATCGAGGCCTTTCGATGCGGATCGCGAAGGGTTCGTGGTCGGCGAAGGCGCGGCAATGGCCATTCTAGAGGTACTTCTCATCACATGACACAATAATCCGCAGTGCTAAATTCTACCTAGGAGTTGGAGCATGCAAAGTCAAGGGGTGCACGTATCTACGCTGAGTTGAGAGGCTATGGCTGTTCGGGCGATGCACACCACATGACGGCGCCCAAAGAAAACGGCGAAGGTGCATTAATGGCCATGAGAAAGGCTCTGAAGAATGCTGATCTTCAACCGTCTACAGTTGACTATATTAATGCACACGCCACCTCAACGGTAGTCGGAGATGCGGCAGAAAATGCCGCGATCAAAAGTCTCCTTCTTGGCCCTGGAGGAAAGCGAAAGGGAGCAGATGTAAATATCAGCAGCACCAAGGGTGCTGTGGGTCACTTGTTAGGTGCTGCTGGCGCTGTGGAGGCCCTCTTCACAATCCTTGCTATCCATGAGGTAGGTATGGCCACCTGTGCTACTAAACTATACCAACTCACCTTTTTTTCCCCCTAGAACAAGATGCCCCCAACCATTAATCTGGATCGGCTCGCCGATGGATTTGACTGCAACTACGCCCCGAAGCAGACCCAAGAGCGCCAGATAGACGTGGCACTGACCAACAGCTTCGGCTTTGGAGGGACTAACAGCAGCTTGTGCTTTTCTAAGCCATAATAGGCACTTGTGCTACGTATGGCGTTTGGCTTTGATAACTGCAAGCTATGTTACATGTATAACCTTATCTACTTGTACAGTATGTGATAAGATCCGATGGTCCTTGATATATGAGTCGGTTTATGTATCATGGTGTGTACAGTCTCGAGGCGCTAGGCCATACCACATTATGACTTGATATGAAGGGATAACCTCCATTGTCTTATTGTTGCGACTTGAAGGGCAGAGGGGAGGGGAGGTGGGTAACAACCAGCTGAAATAGCTGTCAGTGTTATATTCAAGCCTTATTTTTATTTTTCTCCTGTACCACCGTAATTTGTACAGTAGCCTTCATGAAAACACCGCCTCCCATTAACCTAGCAATAAGCACGTGACACCCCAATGCGGAGCAGCCCCGGATCACCTCGACCATATCACGCGCACCTCAACCTCACGACAAACTAGCGTTCTGTCGCTCAATATCATATCATACCCTTCCACTCATTGACTCTCTCCATAGCTTTTTACTATCGAAGTTGATTCGCTCACTCGGTCGTTGGTGGGTTAGGCATGGCTACCAACGGTGTGGCCAAAGGTACGTATCACAAACCCTCCCGGAGTCATACTTAAGCTATAACATCAACGCGGGTTGATTCGTGCTGATTTTGGGGGCTTATCTGTGGTTAGCGCCATCGGCAGGCAGCTTAGTCGATGCGTCCGGTTACAAGTTCTCTGAGAAAGATACCAAGCCCGGCAAGATTAGGTTGAAGAAGTCAGTTAAGCTGAGCAAGAAGAAAGGCGATGGTGCGTTTACTGTATTGTTTTTCTTTCATCTATCTTAATTTGGGCGGGGGGCATTTGGAAATGGGCTAATGATTTAACGGCGTGAAGATGCGCCCGATTCCCCCGGTTCATCGCCTATTCTCCCCGAGATCGATGAGAAGACTATGACCGCTTTCCCTACGGGCAAGCCGCGAGAAGAGGATCACCTAGAAACAGTGATTTGTAAGACGTGCAAGAGGCCGGTCCTCAAGCAGAATGCTGTTGAACATATTCGGGGCTGTATAAGGGCGAAGCAGGAGAAGGCGAGGCGGAAGAAGGAGGCGCGCGATGCGGCCAACCGAGCCAAGGCGGGTGATAAGGATGGGGATGAGGACGCCGCGGGCGGCGAAGGCGATGATTCCATGAAAGGTCAGAAGAGCGCCAAGAAGAGCGCCGTTAAGGGGATGGCGGATGATGGGACGAAGAAGGGGAAGAAGCGCAAAGCGGAGGGAGAAGATGATAAGGATAAGGAGCCGAAGAAGAAAAAGAAGAAGGAGGAACCTAAACCTAAGGCTCCGAAGCCTAAGGGTCCCGTCGATGTCGAGAAGCAATGTGGTGTTACTTTGCCAAATGGTGCTCAATGTGCGAGGTCACTGACCTGTAAGAGTCATTCTATGGGTGCAAAGCGAGCAGTTCCTGGTCGTTCCTTGCCGTACGATATGCTACTCCAGGCTTATCAAAAGAAGAATCAGGCTCGTCAGCAGAGTGAGTATTGCCCGTATAGCTTAGGGATGGGTTTCCAGATAGAGCTGATCTGTTTTGCGGTCCAGAGGCTGCAATCGATGCCAATGCTCCTCTACAGGATGATATGGATAACAATGGTCCCGTCGATTCTGACGAAGAGAAAGACTCTGTGATGGCTGCTATCACTCGCTCTCACCCGCAGCCCATCATCACTCATACTCTGATCTCGACCAAAAAGAAATACCAATATGTCCGCATCAAGGAAATGCTATCCCACGCTCTGGGTGGTGCGCGGGGTGGCGGATTCTTTTCCACCGGCGACAACAATACCACATCCACAGATGGGAATCTCTTTACTCCTGTGGATGACGTGGTCTTGGCATCTCCGGTCGCTGCAAGTGTGGACAATACTACGGATGTGGGCAATAAGACTCCGGTGCCAGCCGCGAAGAAACTGCCAATAGCGGCAGGCTCGTAGGCGAACAGGCTTACAGACCTTGTGTCGATCTCAACAGCAGCGATGAGTAATGATCCTTTCATTCTTTTTACTACTTGAATTGTGACTGCCACATTGTGGAGTCCGGGATGGCGTTCAGGGAACCTACGGAACGGTCTAATTCGAATTTTTGTGATGATATGATACCCCGGAGTCTATTGTACCACTGGCGAGGTTGTCTGTAAATTAGTTGATGTTCCTTGTCTATCCGTTCCTTTGGTAGATAACTAGTTGTGTATTCTGTGAATGCTATTGGAGTAGTTACAACCTGAGCCATACTTGGAACGGGAGGGTTTTGTGCCTCAGGCCACGACAAGCTATCCCCAACAACCACCGCGTGATAAAGACTGGTTTAGCTCCATATGCGCCCACCGATCTTCTGAAGGCGGAACACATGCGGTTCACCTGTATCACACCTCAACATCACTGCGGTTTTCACACCTACTGGGGAAGCTATAGCTTCTGCGCCTACGGGCGGAAGTCCTGATCTCCTCGCACTGGACTGCTATCAACTGGACACCTTGACCCTGACGTTCTATCTGCGCCACGCAATCCCTAAACCCAACCGAATCTTTTCGCGATGTCGAATTCCGTTCCCGACCTCGACGCTGTCGGAATCAAGGCAGAGCCCGACTTAGCGGACCAATTCCGCCGCGAAGTCGCGACTCTCCTAGGCCGCAACAACCTCAACTTCCCCGGCGCACAGCCCGTCAGTTTCTCGAACCGCCATCTACTCGAGCTCCAACGGGAAGACTACTACGTCTGCGAGAAAACCGACGGCATCCGCTGTTTGATGTATTTCGCCCGCGGCGATCCAGACTCGGAAACCCCCGAGATTCACTACCTGATCGACCGCAAAAATGACTACCGTTACGTCCCGGGCTTGCATTTCCCGCTCCCCGATGATGAAACTTTCCAGTCGTACCACGTGGACACCCTGGTTGACGGCGAGTTGGTGAACGATACATATGAGGACGGAACACAGCAACTAAAATACCTCGTTTTTGACTGTCTAGTTCTGGACGGACAGAGCCTGATGCATCGCACACTGGATAAACGGTTGGCGTACTTCAAGGAAAAGGTTCTCAAGCCCTACAATGCGCTCTACCAACGTTTTCCCGAAGAGAAACAGCACCGCATCTTCGCCGTCGAGGACAAATCCACCCAGTTTAGCTACGGTATTGAGATGATGTTCCGTGAGATCATTCCCAAAGTCAAGAAAATTCACGGCAATGATGGCCTGATCTTCACCTGTCGGAGTACGCCCTACCGCATCGGCACGGATGAACACATCCTTAAATGGAAGCCTCCGGCCGAGAATACAATCGATTTCCGTATGCGCTTGGAGTTCCCCATCCTGGAGCCTGATACGGATGATGAGGCCGATGGTATCTCGGAGCCGTATCCGGACTACGATGCTATGCCCATCTTCCATCTGTTCGTAATGCTTAATTCTAACGAGTACCGGCACTGGGCAGAAATGTATGTCACACCGGCGGAATGGGAGGAGCTTAAGGCACTGGGATTGCCACTCGATGATACCATCGTCGAATGTGCGAAGGATGAACATGGCCGCTGGCGCTATCATCGCCTTCGAGATGACAAGACCGATGCAAATCACATCTCTACCGTTGAGAAGGTTCTCGAGAGTATTCAGGACCGTGTGACAGAAGACGATCTGATTCGTGCTGCACCAGCAATCAAGGCAGCCTGGAAGAAGCGCCAAGCTCAGATGGCTTCGGAGGACGAAGAGCGGAAACGAAGAGCAAGACAAGCACCCCCACATGTGAATGGGAATGGCGTGAAGAGGAAATTTGAGGATTCATAGCTTTCCTTCGATTTGCTTAGAGCAAATCTAGTTGGGTAGTCTTTTGCTTGACTTCGGCTGGGGATTGCGAGGCGTCTGGCGTTGATATTCGCTTCTATTATGCATATGATTGGGAGAGGAGCTGTCGGCAAGCTTAAAATGGGGGCTAGCCTGAAGGTTATTGTATAGTGTGTACTTTATATGATGCTATGCGCTCTTCGTATTTTAACTGTAGTTCGCTGGATGGGTTGTTCTTCCTCCCTTTCAGCTTAGGATTAATAGCTTATTATTAAGATAGCACATCCTAGTATATATTGTCATTTTTTGCGTAGAAGATAGATAAAAGGGTAAGAGTTGAGGGTCAAAGTCTGCTTTTACTGAAGAGGACAGTTACATTGCTCAGGTATAAAAAGATTGAATACAAATAGTACATGATACACTCTATCGTTCCTTGATGCTCACATCAATGTTTCCAATTGCCCATGCGGCTGCAAAAACAGTCAGCAGTCCGGCGGTGATGGTTACGGGCTTACGTATTCCATCCCAGAAGGAATAATCATAGGTGACCTGTTAAATATTAGTATTTACTCAAGTGAAGCATAATAGAGGGATGAACTTACCACCAACTGAGAATCACGGGCCTCGTCGGACAGATTCTCCACGGTCAGGGTCAATGCTGTACGTCCCAACGTGTCCATGAAGGTCTTGTGGGGAGACACATGAAACTTAATCTGGTCGGTAGGAGGAAGGCCATTGTTAGAGGCAGTATCAATTATCTCATACCGGACGTTGCGAGCTCCCTCAGGAAGCACGACCCGAACGACGACCTTCTCATACTGAACACCTTCAGGCACCTTGGGTCCCTCGATGAAAGGAACCTTGAGCACATACGAATCGTCACCGGCCACCCGGCGAAGGAAAGCTGAGAGCTCATTGTTCCAGCCAATGCGGAAGCTGTAATTCCAGCCACCGAATACGGGATACCGGGGGCGAAGTTCCAAAGATCCATCACGCTTAGGAGGCTTGCCAGGACGATAGCGGCTCGTGGACACGTTCCCGATGTCATCAATGAAGTAGGGATCCACCGAACCCGGCTTTAAAGGGTACTTGAGCTCACGGATGGCGGAGGAAGGCAGCTGCTGGAAGTTGGTAAGCGTCCACTCGACGCGCGAGAATTGATTCACGAGATTGGAGCCGTTATTGCGAAGCCAGTAGCGCTCTTCCGTCGCCAAGTTTCCACCCCAATGAGACACTTCCAGGTCTCGTTCCAGCAGCGACGCCGTTATCACCGGTTTGGTAAATTCATAGCGCACGCTAATCGGATAGACAGTTCCGGGAACAACTTCAGCCGTGTCATAGGGGCCGTAAGTGTAAGTTGTGCCCTGACGCTCTGGATCCGAGCCGGGCTTCAAACCGGTGGTAGTAGTATAGTCAGGTACATTGGTGCTGGGAAGTTTCAATTTCGTCTTTTGGGTCACAGTCGGATAAGCTGAATGGATGTAGGCAGAGAATGAGTAGGCGAGGTACTGTTTATCTGCCTGGTTGATGGCAGCAGGGCGCGGGCTCAGAGAGGAGAGGAGGTAGTACGAGATCCCTAAAGTAACCTGCGATTTAGGCGCAAGAGGCTCGGGGAAGTCAACAGCAAAATATTGGACATCACTACAGTCCAGCAAAGCATAAAAATTAGCTAGTCTGTTATGAAATAATATAACCAGGTTAAGCAACCGTGGCTTCGTCGTCACAATAGCATGCTTACCTCGGAAAATCAACAGACAACGCATCCACGTCGAAAGGGCCCTTCTCTGGTGCTTTCCTATCTCTCACTTCTAGACCTCCGACCTTGTTAAATACGTCTGATGGGAAGGCTATGTAGTAGGTGCTCTGCGGGTCTTTATCCACGTTCTCCACTACCACGTTGACGGTCTCCCGAACATATCCTTTTTCCAAGTTGGTATTTCGGACCAGGTTTACGTTCTTGAATGCCTGGGGGGGCTTGAAATTGGGTTCGGCGCATACTAAGCTGCTGCTTGACAGGAGGAACCAGCAGAATGCAGCGAATGCTGTAATCGGCCTCATTGTGATGATGGGCGGTCGTGCAGCTGACCGCGCCTAGGACACAGTGTCTCTCACCAGGAGATAATCCTAAATTGAAGAAATAATGTAAAGCCGCGATTATAATTGGAAGAGACGGGGGAGGGGGAGGGGGAGGGAAGGAAGTGCGACGAGATTCAGCGTGATTGCTGAGGTGTCCCGATGCTGCTTTGGATTCCGGTGACCGCTGCGGCCAAAGACGCTATCCTTTCTTATCGCCGATAAAGCCCTCCGCAACTTTCTCTTCTCTTCTCCACTCGTACCTTACTTATCTCACAGCATAGTGTTTTATCTACCTACCTACTATGTTTGCTTCACGAGCTGCGGCTCGCCACTGCTGCAGGAAAACCAGAGCGCCGGGATTGACTCTTCCCGCACGACGCCTTCATGGCCTTGCGCAAAGCAAGTTTCTCCAGGTCTCGGAGGAAGTTCGCGATGCCGTAGCCACAGGAAAACCTGTGGTAGCTCTAGAATCTACAATCTACACTCATGGCACGTGCCTACTCTTCCGACTTACCTGTGTATGATGAATTGCTAGCTAATTTGAGCAGGGTTCCCATACCCCGAGAGTGTTGCTCTTGCGTCGTTACTGGAAACCGTCGTACGGGCTAATGGCGGTATTCCCGCTACGATTGGTATTTTGAACGGTGTGGCCAAGGTGGGCCTTAGCGCCGAAGAACTTATCGAGCTGGCTTCAACTGCAGAGAGCAAAAATGCCCTGAAAGTATCTCGCAGAGATTTGGGTTACATATGCGGATTGGTTGGTTAACTAGTACGCTTTCATGAAGAACGTTTCTGATAAACTCAGGGCTTGGCTGGGAAACGGGTGCACGGTGGCACAACAGTGTCGGGGACAATGATCCTGGCCCATCTGGCTGGGGTTAGGGTCTTTGGAACTGGGGGTCTTGGTGCGTCGCTGTATCATCCTCGGCCTCTTATCAGAAACTAATCGATCGTAGGCGGTGTACATCGCGGTGGAGAGAATTCTATGGATATATCCGGTGCGTCCTACTGGCACACCCTAGTGGCAAATACCTAACCGCATAGTAGCCGATCTCACCGAACTGGGACGAACACCGGTGGCTGTTGTCAGCTCGGGATGCAAAAGCTTCCTGGACATCCCACGCACTTTGGAATATCTTGAGACCGAAGGTGTCTGTGTTGGGACGTTTGCGGATGGCCGTGCGGGCCAGGTAGACTTTCCTGCGTTCTTCACGCGGGACAGTGGCATAAAGAGTCCAAAGGTTATTCAAGATGAAGCAGAGGCAGCTGCCATAATTTGTGAGTCAATCCTGCTTCTCGTGCGTAGTAACCAATGCTGATACCTCGGCAGATGCGCAATCAAAACTCCCAGTCTCATCTGGAATGCATTTCGCCAACCCCGTGCCGGTGGAGCAGTCTATTCCCAAGCAAGAAATGGATGAGATTATCGAGGAAGCAATCCGGCTTGCCGAGGTCGAGGGTCGCCAGGGCAGCGACAACACTCCATTTGTATTATCCAAAATCAAGCAACTTAGCGGTGGTAAGAGTGTCGTAGCCAATCGTGCCTTAGTTGAGGCCAACGTGCAGCGCGCTACTCGTGTCGCCGTGGAGCTTGCCAACTTGGAACAATCTAATGGAACGCTTAATGAGCGGTGAGTTTCCCTCTTCGGATGCGACTCGGAAAGACCCTAATTTCGAGGTGTCTTCAGGCATATGCCAGCAATTTCTGGAGACGTCAGAGCTGACCAAGCAACTTCAGAGACAGAGCTTAAGCTCAATCCAACTACTGAAGGATCCATCGAGGCACTAGACAAAGTAGACGTTCTTGTTGCTGGCTCTCTCGCGGTCGATTTTTCCTGTGATTATGCTCCTCCTGCAGGAGAACAAGACATCAAACCTATTTCCGATACTTCAAATCCAGCCAACATCAGACAGAGCCTTGGCGGTGTGGGTCACAATGTTGCCATTGCTACAAAGTATCTTGGCAGCTCCGTTCTCTTTTGTAGTCTTGTCGGTGACGATCTAAGTGGCCGTGCAGCCCTATCGGCTCTTCAAAAAGAGGGGCTCTCCACCGCTGGTGTACAGATACTGCCCGCTTCAAACGACGCCAGGACTGCCCAGTATGTAGCTGTTAATGATGCTAGGAAAGACCTCGTTGTGGCCATGGCAGACATGGGTATTATGGAGCTGCCAGGGAAGAATTTGGACTTTGGGAATTTCTGGGAGACTCTCCTCTCCCGCACAAAGCCTCAATGGGTCATCGTCGATGCGAACTGGAGTCCCGGGGTCCTTTCCAACTGGGTCTCTGTAGCCAAGAAGCATGGCGCACGAGTCGCCTTCGAGCCCGTATCCAATGCCAAAAGCCGCCGTCTATTCAGCAGAAGCGCCGAGGCAAATGCGGCAATTAGCCCGTCGACATCCGTCCCCAACCATGCGATCAGCCTAGCGACCCCCAATCAATTTGAACTCACTACCATGTACATGGCTGCACGCGAGAGCGGGCTGCTTGACTCTGATGGCTGGTGGCGCATCATAGATGCGATGGGCATGTCATCAGCAGGGGCTCGAGACCGGCTCGTAGCAATGACATCAAACCATCTTGTAGATAAGGGCATACCCCAGCAGAGTATCCAACTCCTTCCTTACATTCCCTGCCTCATTACCAAACTGGGGTCGCAGGGTGTTCTTGTCACTCAGCTGCTTCGCCCCGGTGACCCGCGCCTCACATCACCCGATTCGGCTCCTTATATCCTCTCACGTGCTGCAATCACTGATGAGTTGATTGGGGGAGTGTACCTGAGATTGTTTCCGCCAGCCGCCGTGCTGCCCGATGAGGAGATTGTTAGTGTCAATGGAGCCGGGGATACGCTTCTGGGAGCGGTAATCTCAGGACTTGCGAAGGGAGCAAAGAACGTGGAAGATGTCATCCCTCTTGCACAGGAGGCTAGTCTTAGGACATTGAAGAGCCCAGGAGGTGTTAGCAGTGACATTGCTAGTTTGAGGTATGTCTGAGTGGACTTCGAATCGATGTTGATGCATGTATATACTACTTCAAATTCTATACCACACGGGTATAATTATCCGCGCCAAAAAATAAAAAGGCCCCTCCAGTCTACCGCGAAAGACCAAACAAAACCCTTAAGCTAAGGCCCTATCGACCCCCTCCCCTCCAACAACGGGAAGTCTCTCTACAACATCCCGTCCCTCCTTGTTCTTCCCGATAGCCTTGAAACCGCCTGGCACCTGACTCGGATCCAGTAGCCCTACCTGCACTAGGACGCTCGCCTGGTCCCAGTATATATTATGCCGAGCAAGTTTTCCCGCAATAAAGCTAGCGGTCATGATAATCACAACGTGGACTTGTTTACCCGTAGGTGGCACACTGGGCAGCAGCCATGGGATCTCTTCTGTATGCGTGAACGTGAGCAGAAGCTCATCAACGATCCGGTCTGTACCGATTGTGCGAGACAGAAGACGAAAACTCTGCGACGGAGGCCCGATAGGGAAGAATTGCGTAGTATAGAAGTTCGTGATTTGAGTCGGATGATTTCCTAGATAAACATCATCAGCCAACTCTCAGCAACGACAAACAGAGTCACCAGAGCCCCAACCCCAAAATCAGAATAGGCCACAAAGAGGGAGGGAGAAGGAGGCAAATGGAAACGGAAGAAGACAGCACCGACCCCCGATTAAAGTAGGAATGCAATTCACCATCGCCACCTCGTTCAATTCCGCAGTCGGATCCGATTCCTCTCCATCACTATCCCTGTTCCCATGCAACGGGATACCACCACCGCTCTTCACCATCATCTTAGCCATTTTGGCTGCATGGCTCCCCACCCCATCCCCGCTCACCTCCTGTCCGTTGTAGAACAGATTACGCCAGTACTCCACCCACAACGTCTCCGCGGCGGGGATCTTCCAACTCCCTCCGGGCCACCCGAACCCACGCTTCAGACAATCCAGCGCCCGACTCCAGGCTAGTCGTGCACTGATCACATCGTGGGTCTCCGCTGTCGACTCCGCAAAGCCGGGTTCTGATTCCGGGTAGAAGAAGAGGTGACATCTGTGACGCTTTTTGCTTGGATGGCTATTGTAGTCATCCCAGAGGGTGGTGAACTGATGTCCTGCGAGATGGACTTGGATGGGGAGGACAGAAAGGGTGTCATAGCAGGAAGTTGTTGAGGAAGAGGTCGTTGAAGGAGGCACGATGCAGGGGTTTGTCGTAGTGTTAGGGCATTCGGTCAGATTGCTGTGGGTTTCAGTCCCAGGGATTTGAGGATAGTAGGTTACTAGGGCGCAGAGCAGGGGGAAGGGGTTGGTGGCTGTTGTTTGATGGTGGTGAGATGTGAGGAGAAGGTAGGCTGGTTTGTTGTATGCTTGGAGTGGTTATGTTTTGTCAGTTGTTCGTTGTATTCATGAAATTCTATTATATGAGATGCACATACCGACAATCGCATATCTCTCTCCCGGCTCGAGATCATCCTCTCGCTCGTGGATCAAATTGTCCAAGTCTTTTCGATCCCTCTCGAGATCCTCGTTGGACTCTTGGAAAGGAATGTATTCGACAGTGAAGCCCTCCGCTTCGAATCGTCGGAGAATATTCGCGTCAAAGTCTGCTGTGTCGGAGGTGATGTATAGGCGACGGACAACCTGGTTGCTCTTTTTACGTCTGTCACTACTTAGACGAGGAGATTGAGATCCTTGAAGGGGTGCTGCGCTGCTGCGTCGACGGCGATGAAAGTATTGGCGTAGCCGTTCCATTCTATTTGATATAGATATAGTGATAGAAAGATTGAGGGAAGAGGTTAGTAAGATATGATGTCCCAACGCGAACAATAAAATCGCAGTTACAATTAAATTTTAGATCGAACGGCATATTGATTAACCCAAAAGATCAGGCAATGACCCCTTTTTTATCCTGTCCAACTTCCATCGCTGGGCTGACGTCGACGAGTATTGGCGGTCTCCATCGTGGCTCCAGCCGAACCAAAGGATGCAATCAATGCAAGAGGAACCGATGTTCCCGTTGCCAAGGTAGGGCTGATTTTTATTAATTTATTTACTTGGTTGACTTTATTAAATTTTATAACCATTTATGTCCATGCATCAGTACGCTATGTATGTTGACGTCGAATACTGTCTATCCACCTACGCCACCGATGAATGCAAGTCTATCTCAAAATCGCAAACAGAAAAAGAGAGGGAGGGAGAGAATACATACTAATACACTCCAAAAAAAAAAGAGAGAGAGAGAGAAGAAAGAAGAAAATAGAAAATAAAAAGGTAACCCAAGCTCTAAAAACTAACCAACCATCTCCGCTGCCCCTGTACCCCTTCCAGACAATCCTCCCCAGAAAGATAGCTAACATATGCCTCTCGCTGGAGACTCTGGCGCGCAACCTCACAGTCAATCCGAATATCCTCAACCAAAGCCTCTAGCGATACATAGTCATACTCCGGGCGGATGTACCCCAGAATCAACAAGTTCAGCTTCGTGCCGTAGAAGTCAGGTAGTTTATTAAATTTCACTTGGCCCACATCGCTGTTCGCGGTCGGTGACGGTGATGAGAGGGGAGGCATAATGTGGATTTCCTATGATCGTCAGTGACAGATCTAAGCCTGATATCATGTGTTTGAGTTTGTAAGTAAGGGGGGTCACTTACCACGGATCGAGTAGTATTCTTATAAAAGGGATTGTATCCGATACTCAGTACTGCTGGAAGGATCGTCGCCTCCGACGTCTTGCCATCGTAGGCAAACTTGGTTGGATCCAGCGCGACCACTCCGTAATACACCCCAACTTGTAGGTCGGGATAGTCCGATAAGCCATCTGGAGGGATATTGGCCGTGGGGATGCCCAACTACCATTGTGTATGGATTCTTAGTGCCATGTATGCTATGTGGTGGCGATCGGGACGATCAACTTACCTCTTTGCTTCCCCGCCCAAATCCTTTGATCACTGGGCCAGATAACTTGATGGGAAACGGAGGCTTCGGGCCACTGTCTGGCCCGGCAACGGGATCTCGGGGGCCGTCTGGTCGCATGCTTTGTTTGTGGACCAAGGAATCTCTCCGATTTATTAGCCTGGTGTCGATGAGCAATTGAGTGTGGAATGTGGAAGAAAGTATCGATAAGGCGACGAAATGCGGGGTTTTATCTAAAGCGGGTAAGATTTGTGCTGATTGGGTGATTTATTTATACCGCCCAAGACATACTCTACTACTTTCTATTCTATACTATACTTAATTACCCATCAAAGAAACTAACTGTCCACGAAAGGATCACTAATATCAATGGATATCAATGTAAAAGCACTTTGGTTGACCCTCCGTAGCCGATCAGTGGCCAATCATCTTGTTTCCAATCTCTCGCATGTCATTCCTGATCTTTCCGGCCCCCGTTGCAGGATACTGTTCGATCAGTTCCTTGGGCCTAGCCCTGAAGATATGGACCGGGGCCTTGTGTCGCCTAAGGACTTGCCATGCTAGTTTTTCACATCCTCCAAGGAGGGCCGATTATGCTTGGAGAGTGAGTGAAGAAAACTAGCAACGATCTCGCCATACTTCTCGTCCTCATAGTCCGACCACAGCGGCCTGCTCAATGACTGAGTACTCCATGATCCATCATTGGATCTCAGTGGGATAGACATTTTCGCCTTCTGATTGGCCTAAGCCTATATGTAATACAGTTAGCAGAAGAATGAGACTTCACCCCGGATAATGACGTCTTTGATTCTTCCGGTGATCCCACAATATTCTTTCTCACCAATCGACGCTTCGTCGCCTGTATGGAGCCATATCGCACCTTTTTCATCTCGTACCATTGCTTCAGCTGTCTTTCCTCAATCCTGTAGTACCCCTTCTGTAACAGATACCCAGATATGCAAAGCAAGATGATCTGCTTCAGACACGGAATCGGGTGTATATGGAAGTGCTGAATGGGGGGTCCAGTTGGAGTGCGGTTCACGACATCTCCTAGAACAGAGTAGCATCTACCTCGATCAGCAATAGACCGTGTCTTTGCACGCGCACTTTCAACCAGCTGGGCTTACCAGTATGTCTGAGGGCCCGATCACATTTGAAAACTGTAAAGGTCCTATCCTATTGAATACCACCAGAACAGCGCCAATTTGATCCACAGCTAACACTGTTGATCGTTCATCATCAGTTGAAGATCGCAACCAGATCATCCTTTCTCACACCTATGGCAAGAAGCCCTCTGGTAAGGTCCTATGTTTGCTGGCCCCAGAAAGTAATCCGAGCACCACTCTACGGGACGACAAGGTAAAGACCTGAATCTCTCAGACATCTGGTCCATAAGCTGTCCCAGTCTCAGATGACAGAGCGGCAGTTGTGTAGGACTGAGCAAAGAAGCGAGAGGGGTGAGCCATCTAAGTAGTTTATAATGCTCTCTGCGTTGCTTCAGGTGAGATAGCCAGGAGAGCATCAAGCATTTGAACATTAATCGCCAATATCTTGCTGAACCTTAAAAAGGAGCACCTTTTAATTGGTTGCCTGTCAGACACGTCGATGTATTTTGAGGCGACTTTTAGGTGTTTCGGGCTGTACTATTAACTACTCTACATTCTCTCAAGCTAATTCATCTTTCTTGAATGATATGATACTATCACTCACTCAGAAATGTACCACCCCTTAATATGTGCAGATACCTATATACAATAAAAAGCGCGGAACAATAGAAAACAGAGGAGCCCCCATAAACAGCTCCTTGGGAATCATACAACCAGTTATGTACCAGTACCAGAGCGTAATCGAGTGAAAGACAAAAGCGAACTAGGAAAAAAGGAAAGAAACTGAAGATATTTTTTACCCCCCAAAGAATGACCGTACATGTAGATTTAAACATCAATGGTACGTGGCATTACCCATAATACAACAAGAAAAATCAGATGCATGGCAAAAACTGTTTATAGTTAGCACCCTCCAACCCTGAGAAACAATAGGCTACTTACGTTCATCACAATAAGCATAGGGATGTCAAATACATCTCGTTTCACTGTCCAGCAGTATGCGCATTCAACTTTGCCGTCCTTGAAGCCTAGCTGATTCATGCCCGCCTCGCTGGCGATCCCTCCTTTTCGCAAGTGGCTGTTCCACCGTTGGTTCTCATCCGACTGATTCTCCATATCTTCCTTTGTTTTGTATTTCAACAGTTTGCACGTCGTCATGACACTGCCACGAGAGTCCCCAAAGGCGAGACGTGCGAAATCCTCGTAGAAATCCACTACGCTGTCGTCATCGAGCAGCTCAGCCAAGAATACCGGTTGCGGGCGACCAGGGGTGATTTCCACCGCGGAGCCTCGCGGAGTAAAGCTTCGTGATGATGTGCCCGAGCCTGGGACCGAGCTACCTGTATTAACATTTAAATTCGGCTCCTTGCCCAATAGTACATCTTTTTTCCACCCGGTAAGGATACTGAATTCCTTCCCTACGGCCGCGATTTCCCCCGTGCGTCGGCATACGATCGTCGGAGTGCCACATGCGTTGATAAAGTCCTCATACTCGAACAGAGTTCGTTGAAAACATTTCTCCATGAATATGAGGTCGTCACGATTCAGAGTCTTGGTCGTTGCAATGAAGGATGGGCGAATCGATGCCAGCGCTTTGGCGATCTGCAAAGTCTTCTGCGGGGAAAAGCGCCGCTGGATGAACGCGGTCAGGTTGTGGAAACGGTTAGTGTAGGCATAAGGCTCCTTGACGTTCTCATATATGGATGAGGGATTCCGCTGGCGTCGTCTAGCCCCAACCTGTAGGCTTTGGTGCTTCAGACTCGGCGTCGTGATCGTCGGCCGCGGCCCGCTTGCGGCGAGGCCATTCGACTTCGCTGTCACAGCGTTGTTGAACGTGGCATCCTCAAAGCCCGTCGTCATCTGGGGGCTGGTCGTTGCATTAGGACTAGCGAAGCCTCCGGGGCCGCTTTCAATCGCAAACGCATGTGGCGCATCTGCTTTAGTCAAATGCCCCGGTATTACACTTCCCTGGCCAGACTGTGGGTAAACGCCCCCGACATTCACATGTGCTTGGCCGGTAGGTTGTCCGCTGGACCATTCATTCAGTAGAGGGTCGCCAAAGATGAACGGCTGTTGACCTCCGGGGCTTTCGCCGAAGGTTGCGGCACCGGTGATCGGTGTTCCGGAGAATTGAGCTGAGCCACTACGCCCCATCGATCCTCGCTGTGTAGCGGAGTCACTGGGTGAGTCACCAGCCCCAGTAGCCATATGTCCAAGCATGCCAAACTCCAGCGCACCATAACGATTCTCGAAGTTCATACTAGACAGGTCAAAGTTAAATAGGGCCGGGTCGCTCGGGTCGAAGAAGGGCCCCGCTAATGGGTTCTGGCTTGGGTTGGCACCTGATACACCCGTACTGGGCGGTTGCTGGCCAACTTGTGATGAAAGGCTGTTGTTTCGAGCGGCTGGGTTAGTTTTCAGAGTGAACGTCGGCGACACAGGGGACTGAGAGGTAAAGGAATTTTGAGTCATAGTATTTTCCTGGTAGACACTATAGGAGTTCGATTGTGGCGTAGGATAGAAATTAGGGCTGGAACTTTGCTGTGTGGTGGCATTCACTGCATTGGCGCCATTTCTAGATAAGGGCAAATTATTCCGCATCGTGTTATTATAGAAATTTCCGCCAATTCCAGGTATCAACGCTCCATCTGGAGCATCATGGAGATATTTGGCCTTTTTGCGAACCCCATCGTGACATGCATCTTGAAGACCACGCTTAATACACCGTTGACACGGTCTTTCATCACCTATGTGCAAGCAATACATCAGTATAGACTCACCCACATGATCACATGGGGGGAAGATAGGTCGATTCCCTAAGTGCCGCGCATGGAAGCTATGGGCATAACAATGATAGACGAGGAGAGGGAGGGAGAAGGGTGACGGGGTGTTTGGGTGTTGGGGGGAACTATGCGAATAAAACTGAGAGGCCAGTCTAGCGTACCGCAAGTCAAATGCGCCCGTTGGCAAGCAAAGCAAGCTCTTCGCGCCTTCTTCCGACGCGGTCTTGATGGATCCTTCGGGTTTGGTTTCTGGCCAGTTTCTGCAGGCGCATTGCCATCACCGTTGCTCTTGCTCTTGGGTTGTTCGGCCTGTCGCCCGACACTTCTGGCCTCTAACTCGGCTCCACTGCGATCGGCTGCGGGAGCTGAGGTGTTATCTTGTGCATCAACGGTCATTGTGACAAAAAATCGGAGGCGACTTGTGCGGCCGTCAAAACCGGTTGCGCGTGCTGTTCGTCAATGACGGAAGGGTCAGGAGCTGAAAGCCAAAGCGACCACCACTTGCCACACCTATGCTGTTCCGAATGACAAAACCGCGTCGTCGCGCCGCGAGCCAGCGCGCCGGTAGTTATCCAGATTGCCGGTTCACTATTAACCAATGGATATATTGGGTAGAAAAGCCGCCGTTCGACGATCTGGGCGCATAGATCCTCGATCTAACGACTCATAGGTAGGAGGGGGTTCAGGAGAAAAGGCGGCGACGGCGAACCGGTAACTGGGAACAGAGGGCCTGGCTTTGCTCGGTTAACGTAGATCACAGCGCAACTCTTGGTGTTTCTCCACGAATCGACCCAAAATAGTCAGATAATATGGTTTGTAATCTGGCTTCCAGGTTGATCGCAATTTGAATTAATCATCAATCGTGGTAGGCGCGGGTGAGTAAAAGTTCTGTCGGGGGTGCGGGGGGAGAAGATCCAACAGTCTGGAAGAGCGACGCCGAGATAAGATTCCAGGGGAGGAGAAACAATGCGGGAAATGACTTGAGATAAGTGGCGTATTAAAATAAAGTCACAAGGAGGGGAGAGTCCAACGATGAGGGGAGAGAGGGAGAGAGATTCGAGGAAGTAAAATTTGTGGAAACGCGGGGAAAAAGATAGGTAGTGGCTGAGAGATTAATAGTAAAATGGACACAAAGAGAGTAAAAAAAAAGAAATAGAAAAAAGAAAAGATGACAGAAATTGCTAGTTAGTCAACAGAAAGAATATGTAAAAAAAAGGTCAAAAAAGAAAAAGCCACCAACACGAGCAGGCAAAGAGTCGCGTGTCCCAAGTCTAGGCACGTCGAATTGTCAATTGGGTGTCAAAAATCACCTCAAATGTCACTAACAATCATCATCGAAAGGCGGGAACGTAATCATAATCCCAATTTGAGGTTGTTTTAACGAGAAGGAATTACTTGTCGTTTGGTAATCTTGTTTTCGAACCTTCCTTACAGGGTAAAAATAGGAAAATATCAATCAAATAAATCAAATGGTAATTTTAGCGTCAGCTTACGAGATAGATAAGTCCAAGAAAGAAAAAAAGAAAAATGAAGAAGAAGAAAAGAAAAGAAAGCGTAAATATTGTGTTTTGATCAATATAGTTGATATAGCTCTTTCCAAAATGATTGCATACTATCAGTCCTGAAGGAGGCACTATATCTCACATGCATTGTATCCATTGAAGCTTGTGATAAGTAGTGATTGATACAATCTACAATACATCGGTAATTGTGCGGGTATCTCCAGATTCAGATCCCACGTGTAGGTAGAGTAATAATACCGAAATATAGTTACGTACTTAGCAACTGCAACCTAGTTAGGTACCGTAACTAGGCCGTACTTGGTGCAGTGCCTGTTTCTCCTCTGGCCCGAACTACCACATCCCACTAAGAATGGCGAATTCAACCCCTTGGTAAGGCCACCTACTAAGGCAGCCAGAACCCTCGTCAAGGATCACCCACAAGAAGTCCATTCAATATGAGCCATTTATTTTTCCCCTAGCCATGCCGGCTGTTCTCGGAAATCTCCCTCGTCACTCTTCCGTCTTTCCCCGACCATCAAACGCTATATCAAATCCAGGAATTGCCTCGGCTCCCGGGCCACAACAGCCCTAACCTACTGCCCATTCTCTTCTCCCAGGCAAGCGTGAATGACAGCTGAAAGAGCTTAAGCCGTTTGCCAATCTGCCTGGTTTGACACCCTCACTCATCACAAGCTTCGTGCTATACTCTGTTCGTGTTCTGTTATTTCATGATTTGTTCATTGCGTTTCAGCCTACCTTGAAGCAGAGCGTAGCTGTTTTCAACTCAACTGCAAGGTAGAGGCAACATTGGTGATTAAAGGATCCCAAGCAAATGGAAGCCTTTTATCGTATATTGGTCGGTCCACAGTCCATATGAAACGGTACGATATCACATATATCGAATATTCTATCCCGGACATACTAGCCGTCCCCAGTGTAGTCCAAGAGCACAATATCTAGTCTTATTTGTGCATTCGAATCTACCACTTTTGTCTACGTAAATATATTCTACACGCTTGGACCCTTGCCCGACCAGTAAAAGCCGTCACCCTTCCCTCTGTACTACCATATCTAAGCACACCAATTCAACCAAAATCATACTATATCAGTATGAACCTTAGGCAGTAGCAGATTCAGATACGTATGGAGATACGAACCCTCCATCTGTCCCGGAAAGAAGTGGATATTTATCGGGCGGCAAATCGGCTCTTTTGCCGAATGCGACTACCATACCGGAAAAAGATATACCTGCCGTCCCAATTACGTTAGCTCGCGCTCCACAATAGCTTGATCATATTAAATGCCCATAGAGCCTAATGGCCGTGATATTGGTGGTGAGGGCGATTGCCAAAGCGGGAAATCTAAACCCCCCAGCTGCAGACATCCACTATACCAAGCCGTTGCGGCTGAGGCATTCGAGTGAAAGGGAAAGCCACCAATTCAAAATCAAAGCAGAAATAATGAATCCAAGGAAAGTTGATAGTTTGGAGAGACTGACGGGAATGGCGCCATAAGAAGCGTTAGGAAAGCTAGAAGCGAAGAAGCCCAGTGGTATCCTAGACTGTTGTACACTGCACTCGTTAGCCACCAACTGGCAGTCTAGATATGGCCAAGCAGCAGTAGCAAGTTAGGTCGCCTGGAATTATTGATAACGGCAGGATCTAACAGGACAAAGTCCATCATATGATGTAGAGTATACCCTTGTTATAGATCTTGGTATGTAGCAGGCAATAAGACCTTGCAACATATAAGAGGGAGGGGGGGGGTATATATAGGACATCAAGCGAGGGTTCTCTTACTTTGTATTCCAAAAAGAGGAAAGACTCCTCCGAACGTAGAACGAGCGAAGCTGTTCGCTGCTAGGGAGCTTGCGGCATAAATTGGATACGCATCGACCAAGAAAGTGAAAATGCCCGAATAAACAAGGATGGTCCTACCCAAAACAAAAGCTATGAGCATCCATGTTCGCGATTGCGGCGCTAGTCAAGGTTCCAGGGCGACTGTATAACTGGGTCCTTTCGTAAACTCACCCGGCCCCAAAAGATGCACTGCCAATGATAGGAGCAATCCAATGCACATGAGGATATATTGTCCAAGCAAATATGAACAATCCCATGGTAACAAGAGGACCGCCGAGGATCGCTACATTGTGTGATTAACAGGTCTTGTGACGTTAGCGCCTCTGTGAAGCAAGAGAATACACACCTGGAGGCAGTCGCCACTCTGGTTGGAAGTCTTCCGTTGTTCCCTCAGTTCTCTTGTGTTTCTCTTCCAAGCGTTGGTAAACACGGCGCCAAAATGGATCGGATAGGATAGCAAAAACCATTCCCACAAAAAGACCGAGAAAGCAAAGACCGCGCTGCCATAGCTCAAGCCCATACACACTGCCAAATACTAACTGGAACGCTCCAAAGAAAAGATAAATTATACCCAGCAAAATGGCGGAGAATATACAGAGACACAAGCACATGGGCTCCAGTGTCAGGAGAAGCACAGGCCTGTAAATTGAGCTTAACACTGTCTGTGCTATCGAGCGATTCAACTTTTCAATCGGAGCTTTCCATCGCTGGTCTCCAGTTTCTTTGCGAATCGCCTCCGCCTTCCGTCGCAAAAGTCTAGTCATTTTGGTGTTAGAAGCTCAGAGTTCAGAAAATAACTTTGACAGATTACTTACACCGGATGATAGGTCTCTGGGACAAAGAGAACAATGGATATTAGCAATACGCCTGTCCAGATAAGAAGCACGTAGAATGTCCAGCGCCTGAGAATAAGAGGTAGGGGCGTCAGCTGCAATCATTTCCAAATAGCGGGTAAGGAAGACATACCATGTGGTGAATTGATTTATGAATCCACCAACCCTGGAATTTCTTGTCAGTCATGGCAATGCAAACCTAGCTGACGGCATTTTAACCCTTAAGGCTAATAACAAAACTCACAATGGTCCTACTTCAGGTCCAACGAAAGGTGAAGCTGTGTAGAGCATCATAGGCGCGCTTAGTTCATGGCGAGCAAATAAATCTCCTACGGTTCCACCTGCAACGCTGAGAAATGCACTCCCGGCGATACCATTGAAAAAGCGGCATATGATCATGGTTTCGATATTTTTAGCCACGGCACACGGAATCAGCCAGATTAAAAACAGGGCAAAGGATGTTATATAGATATATCTTCGTCCATAAAACTAAGGGGTATCAGTTGCAGCAATAGGGCTTGCGAATTGGTAAACAGACCTCCGAGAGTGGTCCTAAAATCAGTGGGCCAATGCCTATAATGAATGGAGGTTAGAAACTTGGAAGCCGGGCAATCTCTGGGCGCTGTGAGACCTACCAAGTCCCCAGATAAAGAACGATAGCCCCAGCGTTGCAATCAATCGAGAACAGTTGAACTCTTCCGTTATCTGGTCGTAGGTAGCGGTATACATGGACGAGGTGCAAGTCCTTTCGACACGGGATCAGCACTCCGAAAGAAACGAGACAATGACCGTTCACTGCTTACACACAAAGAGAGCCCAGCGAGCAAATAATGACAATAATCCATCTCCTGAAGGTATTGATGTTTCGGGGATTCATCGGATCATTTTCGTCCCAGCCAACGGTAAAAGCATGCGATTCATTGGCCTCGCCCCCTTCATTGCCAGAGACATTCTCGACACCTTCTTCATCCGCCGTATGACAGCTGTATCCATCATTTAAAGACCAGCTACGTTCGATAGGACGTGAGTTGGTAGAGTGCACCTTCTGCATCCGCTCTTCGTCGGCTATAGGTGCCTGGATCGGTGCAAAACTGCCGTCTATCTCGTCACCTCCTGATCTCACCTTCTCAAACTCCTCCATCTCACTTCCTTCCTCACTTGTAGAGCGTCTAGAGTCGACGCTCCCAGCTTGTTTATAAAGCGATACCGCCTGCTGTGACGCAGCCATGATCGGGTAACGAGGTAGAACCTTACCCTTATATAGGAATTCGCTATTGATATCAGAGGAAAATCTATGTTTTAGAGAGAGAAAATGAGGGGAGAAACACTACTGAGTAGTGCTAATGGTCGTTCCAAGCGCCAAATCAACTCGGAGCGATTTCTCGAGATAACGAGGAGAATCACTCTAGTGAGACACGCTAAGCAATACTTACTCTAAACCTTTAGGGGAAATGACCGAGAAACCGGACTGGGTGGAACCGAGAATTCCAATAGAGATATACACCTTCGATAATCGAATGAGAGAAAAGTCAAGCAATTAGTAGCCACATTGGGACCTGGATTGAACTACATAACTTGAATCTTTTTATCTAATTATCATTACCCTCACATCGGCGTCACCCGATTGCCACAGAGTCAGTGGGGACCCTAATATTTCCATATCATACATACATCATTTCTTATCCATATAGAGAGGGTCAATAATTTATGGGTGGAACAAATATCTCCTGTCCCTCGTATTCTTCTATTCTCTCTCTTCCTCTCTCTTTACCTCTCCCACTTTTTTTCCTGTGAGGGACCTTACCAACAAGTGTATTCAATTCTATTCCAAGAGACCCATACAAATTTGGACAGACATAAGTATTTATCACTAGAAAGTACGTGCGGGCATTTGTACCCTGATTGGAATATAATATCGGATCTACTATGGAAAACTCCCCGAACCACATGTGTCACCCCTATGTGAGCTTACCTATTCGACTATTATATTTGACTTATCTATCCCGTCCAGCCCTAGGTGTCATGGATCATATAATATTCAATTGTTCGCTTCTATACCTAAGCCCTTGTTAAAAAGGAAAACAAAACTACGCATCGTCCCGAGCAACTCACCCACAGGAACTAGAACTCTAGCCCTAGAGTGAGGATCAAGCAGTCATTTAATAGCCACCTTTTCAATCCCACGGACAACTCCAAAACACCCTTGTTTCATTACATGAATAATAACCCGCATTCAGTTAACAAGCCTTCCAGGTAAACCCAGCCAAAAAGGAAACAAAAAAGGAACAAGACACTCGGACTAAACTACCTGTACAAGGAAAGACATTTCACACCCCATGGGCCCGATAAGTATCTAAGACACCACTTGAGAAGACTGGTTGCCGACTTCACCGTTGGCGCTCTCTTCGGCCCATGAGCCCCAGAGAGCACGTTTACCACGGATTTTAAGAGGCCCGCCAACGGTATCAGGGCGTTGCTCAACCTGAACAGCATCTTTGGTGGCCAAAACCAAGACCTCAAAGAACATCTTCGTCGCATCAGCCTTGGAAGCTTTACGCTCCGGTAGAATATCCTGGAACTTCACGCTCTTCTTCTGTTCCGGTGAAAATTCACCCAGACGGTCACGGAGAATGTGAACTGCATGCTTGGTACCAAGAGAGACAGGGCCACTGTCCGCAGGCTGGATTGCCTCATCGAGGTCTTCCAGGGGATGGTTCATACCCTCATCATCACTCAGGTGCAAATCCTGGTCCTCTTCGTCGCCAGGGAATTCAATCTCGGACCGCTGGTGAAGCGCCGGGTCAAGACCAACACCTTCATCGACCGGCAAGATAGCTTCTTCTTCTTCGCCCAATTCCAAAGCGGGGGCGGTGGCCGCTTCAATATCCATGTCTGCAATTCCGCTATCACGCTTCCTTTTCAGCTCACCGGCCTTCTTTATAGCATCGAAGGAGAGCAAGTCACGAAGCTCTGGAGCCCAGCCACGGCCGCGACCTTCTCCCAGCACATTCGTCACAAAGTCGCCATTCTTTTGCATGTTCATGAGAGTGAGCAAGATAGGATCACGGGGCAGGAAGGATGTCGGCTTCAGTATAGCGGAGCGATCCGCTTGCAACCCCTTAATGATATGAGCTTTGTAATCAATTTCCGAATCAAACTCCGTGACCATAACCTTCCGTCGCTTCGCGCGCTGCAAGTGTTGGACACCCGTGTCGTCCCCTGCCTCACCCTCTCCCTCATCCTGCTCCTGGTCCTCGTCTTGCTCTTGTTGGAGTTTATCCATGTCTTCGTCTGGCATTACCGAAAGAGGGGTATTAGAATCGCGTTCAGATCTGCGCTCCTCGGCATCGAATGCTAATTCTCCATCATCGCCAAGGTCCATGGCTGTGTAGTCTGCCTGCAGAAATGTGTCTTGTGGGCCCTCATTGCCCAAGTCCATCTTATCCAAGGGTGCATCATCCTCACCGAGGTCCAAAGGCAAATCAACATCGTTGAACTTGCCAGCATCGCTGAAAAGATCTTCCTCGACGGGGCGAGGTGCCGGCGCATCTCGACCAACTTCCATGCTGAAGTCATGGCCCAGAGGTGTATCATCCTCTCCCAAATCAAGGTCTACCAAGGTATGGTCTTCGAGGCGTGCAGGCTCTTGGGACACAGAGCGTCGAAGACTGCTGTCTGGGAAAAGCTGGCTTCCAAAATCCATCGATGTTCCAGGGCGCTTTCCCTCGGGTTCAAAATTGAGGGGCTGGGGTAAGAGCAAAGAAGAATCCAAATTCATGAAAAGGTCAGATTCCGTAAGCACATCTGGTAAAGTGATACCACCTGGAGCAACAACAGTAGTTGTCAGGTCATTGTTATTGGTCAAGCGGAAAGCCTAGTCATTATTGCTTTAGTGATTTTCCTTGGAACAGTATCAATTATTCGAGCATACCATCTTAATTTTCATAAGAGCCTCATTGCAGTCATCCAAAAGGTAGCGTGCCTTTCGGCTATAGATCCGGACCACACCCAGCAACAACTGACCGCTCAATCGCAAAGCCATGGGGGCCTGTCCTTGGTCGACAATGGCACTGACACTACTCTCGATATCCGACTGTAAAATATGCGATTTGGAAAGTTTGCGCTCCAAGTTGGCCGATAACCAAACCCGGGCCAGCGGCCCCGTTTTTGACAGAAGTGTCTCCGAATAGAACATGGTGTCACAATGTTTGATGGGAAGATATCAAAATCGATTATTCTTAAAGGTATAAGCCCGCCTAATGCGGGGTGGTTCGTGGGAAATCCCTAGCAACCCAAATGCGACGACGCGGTGTATCCAGAAAACGAAAATATCGGCGACTGATGCTTTCTTCCCTAAGGCCGAAAGGGGCTGTTAATCTAGAAACGAAAAAAGAAGGGCGCAATATCTGATAGTGAGGGTTATCGTGTGAGTCGGGATGTAGAATAATCCACCAGGTCCGAGGGTTGGAGAGGGGTGGTTGGGTAGGTTGCGATGGTGTGGTTTTCGCAAGGGAAGGGAAACAAGAGGAAGAGAGGGAGGGCGCGTCTGGCGGGCGGGTTGATGGGCAGCCTCCACTGGCAACGGGTTGCGGCGGCATCACTAAGCTGACACGCAACGCTGATTGGGCATTTAGTTGCGTGGCTGGGATCACGTGCTATGTGATGGAACAGGTCAAGTGCTTACCCATACCGAAATGCTTGGAGAAGGAAAGGTACATACTATCCAACAGATACAACGGAAGTGGGGGGAATATTGTGTAAGACAGAGGAAAAGTGGCTTGAGAAACGGAGTTCGAAAATATTGAGGGATACATAAACCAAAAATACGAAACCAAGAATATTTGGTTCAAATATTCAAAAAAAGAAGAAAACCTCCCCGACTGGGAGTCGAACCCAGGTCTCCCGCGCTTGTTCCTTTGTAGATGACAAGCGGAAATCATGACCGTTAGACCATCGAGGAATTATTAGATATCATATCTAATGATGAGTTTGACATTAACAACTTAAATCTATACAGACCCTAGTAACTTTCCCATATCTTAGGACATCAAACAAGGGAAGTGTACTAGAAAAAAGAAGAAAATTAAATAATCAAAATAAAACATCATGTAGGCCAGCTGATAACCCAAAGTTATGGTACAATTCACTGGCATTAGCGTAATCAAAGCAATACATACCAGTATCAATCGAGACCATCCATGATGAGATATGTAGGCTCTATATAGTGCACCCAAACTAAGCGCGTGACCGCCAAGAGTTGGTTCCCCCTTTGCTAGACAATAGCAATTGCTTGCATACCTACAAAGTTCTCCCTCGGATTAAAAGACACTTGGCTTTCAATCGCAAAATTAAATATTGATTGACGAGGCTCCTCGGCTCCTCTAAAAGGTGTCGTTTTTGGTGGGACCTGAAGGTCTAGCCTTGTCTCTTCTTAAACTAGCTGCACGGCCCTTGTTCACTAATTTCCACTTGGACCCCCCAGATTATTCGATACACCTACGGCCGAAGTCGCGTCTGAGAACGTGGCTTCTACTTCTTTCTTTCTTTCTTTTTTATTTTTTTATTTTTCTCTTTTTTTTTTCTTTCCCCCCCGCAATAAGCTAACCACTTCGACTGTTTACTTGATCCCGACGGGATGATAACCATTGCGAGCTTAATTTAACAGGACCTCTTTCAACAAAGCATGAGAGATGTCAAGTTCCGCAACGCCTGCGCTACCTTTGCATAATGCTCAGGCCTCCGACTTGAGACCTCCATCTTCAACGCCAACGGGGGTACGCTCCACCACATCTACTTCAGTAAGTCTCATAGCGAGGCAGATCTACTACTTCCTGTGTGCAATTGGTTTGTTTTGAGTGTCCAGTCACTGATTAAAATTCCATGAATAGACATCTACATCAACATACTCGCTATTAGACCCTCAGGAAACCGCTGAACGCCTACAAACCTCTCTTACCCATGGACTTACGCCTGCAGAAGCCGAAGTTCGGTTAATACAAGATGGACCTAACGAATTGCCGCACGAAGAACCGGAGCCCCTGTGGCTCCGGTTCCTCAAACAATTCCGGGAGACCTTGATTCTACTTCTTCTGGCGTCGGCAGCAATCTCTTTCTTTATGGGCAATTTCGATGATGCAGTCAGCATCACTCTCGCGGTCACTATTGTTGTAACAGTTGGATTTGTTCAAGAGTACCGATCGGAAAAATCCCTGGAGGCATTGAGCCGCCTGGTACCACATCATGCGCATTTGATCCGCGATGTTCCTCTCCCGAACACCCCTCCTATTGGAAGTTCAATATCACCATTTACTAGTGCAGAGTTCGAGCTACAGGAACTCAAAAACAGGAGTCCAGACTCAGTTTCCGCTGCTGTCAAGGCCTCCACTACTGTTCCGGCCAGTGAGCTAGTTCCTGGTGACTTGGTTCTGTTTACAGTTGGAGACCGCATACCGGCGGACATACGCATTACCACAGCTACTGATCTGACCATCGATGAGTCAAACCTGACTGGCGAGAACGAACCCGTTGCGAAATCGCCTAACGCAATTCGCGGCCCAAAGAGTCAAGCCACATACTCACACAAGATCATCACCCCCCCCCGGTCTCCGTTCTATGATGCCCCGGCCAGTGGCGCTGTGGGGGCTGACATCCGCTTAAATGAGCAGCACAACATTGCCTTTATGGGGACGTTGGTTCGGTCAGGATATGGACAAGGTGTTGTCATAGGGACGGGTGCGAAGACTGAGTTTGGCAGTATCTCTGCTTCACTGCAGGAGATTGAGAGTCCTCGAACGCCACTTCAACTGTCAATGGATCGTCTGGGTCAAGAATTAAGTTACGTCTCATTTGGCGTGATCGGGTTGATTGTAGTGATAGGGTTGATACAGGGCCGAAAGCTTCTCGATATGTTCACTATTGGCGTTTCTCTCGCAGTCGCTGCCATTCCGGAAGGCCTTCCTATTATCGTGACGGTTACGCTTGCTTTGGGCGTGTTGCGCATGGCCAAGAGGGGGGCCATCATGCGAAGACTCCCCAGCGTCGAGACCTTGGGTTCTGTAAATGTTGTCTGCAGTGATAAGACAGGAACTCTCACGCTCAATCATATGACAGTCACAAAAATGTGGCACTTCGACTGTCCTGAGCCATTCGAGGTTCACAACGATATCAGTTCACTGACCCCTGGGCCTGCAGCCCGAACTGTTCTTCGGGTCGGTAATATTGCCAATAATGCCAGGCTTTCGCGCGTGCATGCAAATTCACCTGCCACTGCGTCTTCTGCTGCGGTATTATCTTCCACTGATGATAGGGCTCCCGGGACCATTAGGAGTAGGTGGGTTGGCCAACCCACTGACGTTGCTATCCTCGATTTGTTAGACACTTTTGGGGAGGATGATGTGCGCGATCGTATTAGCACCCGCGTCGCCGAGACTCCTTTCAGCTCTGAGCGCAAGTGGATGGGTGTGGTCATTGGCAGTGGCACTGGCGAGTCAAGTAACATGGCCTACATCAAGGGTGCTCTCGAGCAAGTTCTGAAACGTTGTGATACATATTTGACAAAAGATGGACGTGAAGTTATATTGGATGAGCCGCGACGTGAAACAGTGAGACAGGCCGCTGAGCATATGGCGTCAGAGGGTCTAAGAGTGTTGGCTTTCGCCAGTGGACCAGTGAGAGACACATCAAGAGGTAGACCTTTTGGAAGTAGAACAAGCACTCCGGTTGCTAGAACTACCCCGGGCGAGGAGGATGATCGATATAGTGGACTGGTCTTTTCAGGACTTGTAGGGATGAACGATCCTCCCCGCAAGGATGTTCACAAGTCCATCAGACGCCTTATGGCTGGGGGTGTACGCATTATCATGATTACGGGAGACGCAGAGACTACGGCAGTTGCAATTGCAAAGAAATTGGGCATGCCGGTTAGTGGTGTTGCCGGGTCGCATCCTGTCATAACCGGTGAGGAGATCGATCGTATGAGCACCACAGAGCTGGCACAAGCCTTGTCCTCCACGTCTATCTTCGCTCGTACGAGCCCAGACCACAAGATGAAAATCGTACGTGCCTTGCAGTCCCGAGGAGATGTTGTGGCCATGACAGGCGATGGTGTGAATGATGCACCGGCCCTAAAGAAAGCAGACATTGGCATCTCGATGGGTAAACTGGGCACAGATGTTGCCAAGGAGGCAGCAGATATGATCTTGACGGACGATGACTTTTCAACAATACTTCGAGCCATTGAGCAGGGCAAGGGGATCTTTTACAATATTCAGAACTTCATTACATTCCAGCTCAGCACCAGCGTTGCGGCGTTAAGTCTTGTGCTATTGAGCACTACTCTTGGCTTCAAGAACCCACTGAATCCCATGCAGATCTTATGGATCAGTAAGCTACCACCAATCCCATTGGTCAGCGGATAGCTAACATATACCGGTAGATATACTCATGGATGGGCCCCCGGCGCAGTCCTTGGGTGTGGAGCCTGTTGATCCGTCGATTATGTCACGGCCCCCGCGACCCAGAACGGCGCGAGTGCTAACGAAGCCGCTCATCCAACGAGTACTTACTTCCGCATTGATGATCATGCTAGGCACACTTGCCATTTACGTATATGAAATGGGCGATGTCGATGATGAGCTCAACCCAGGTAAACGCTCCCGTGTCGTAACCGCTCACGACACAACCATGACCTTCACCTGTTTTGTGTTATTCGACATGTTCAACGCCCTGACATGCCGCAGCGAGGGCAAATCTGTGCTCCGGGGCGAGATCTCTCTGTTCGGAAACAAAATGTTCAATTATGCCGTTCTTGGGTCACTTGCCGGGCAGGCTTGTGTGATTTATTTGCCATTCCTACAGCGAGTCTTCCAGACGGAGCCACTCAACCTGGCTCATCTATTTAAGTTACTGTGTATCTCGAGCACGGTGTTTTGGGTGGATGAAGCCCGAAAATACTACCACTCAATAAAGCGGCGACAGGCCGTTGGAGTGGGGTACAGTGTGAATGTCTAGATGTGGCTTGGTATGGGTTTTGCATCTGTTGTATAGAGGAGGCCATATAGAGAATTATTGGTTTTTACCTACCAGACCATACCTACGTAAGCAATTAATGTAGGTGGGTGGGAACAGGGGACCTTGTGCACGCGTGCGTTAAGGGAAATTTGTTTCAACAGATGATGAATGCAAGGGATGGAAATGGGGGAGGAGAGAGAAACAAGGGGAAAAGATGATGTTGGAGGCAGTGTATATAAAAAATAGATATTGTATGTATGTATTAGTAATAAATAAAAATTTATGACCGACGCAGGATTCGAACCTGCAATCTCTTGATCCGTAGTCAAGCGCCTTACCATTGGGCCAGCCGGCCAAGTGACGTTATATGGATTCCATTTTCATATCATACTCGACAACAGGTTTCTGTACTAATTTTTCCTTGTTGACCGATGAGACATAACCCAACCTTCTGGCTGAAGAAAATGATGACTTGTATAACTGCCATTCAGAAAGTTCAAAGTCATCGAACATAGTTTCTAAACCCATCTCCTATCCTACCTGCCTGCAATTACTCACCTTACCAATGTATATATATATATATATATATACATATCCCGGGCTTACGCAAACACAACCTGAAGTAGTATAGTCGCTGATGCAAGGCGATGCAGATTTTAGCAGGAAGCTACATATACCCCACCACCTCTTACACCCCGACATTGTGGTCCCGATCTAAGGGTCATGTAAGGCGTGGAACAAGGAGGTCAATTATGTAATTATCAATACCCAGAGATGGCCCCCATGCACATCTACAGAGACAACCCATTAACCTACGCCATTGCCGGCGTTGTGCGTAGGACGAAGACTTACCCATCATGCCCTTCCGAGCTCGAGAGTGTGTGAGAATAGGACAAGTATATTGCCTGGTCATATCTGCACGTAATACACATACTAGTAGTAGATATATAGTAGCCCCACCGTTCTTGACCATTACTTGCCGTGACCCCATGGGGCACTGAGGAACAATTTTAAATCGCCGAAGACGATTATGATTATCATCCGAGAACGGACCCTGGAAGCACAAGCTAAAGGTTGAGAAAAAGACGGAGGAGCGAGTCGTGAGCAGGATGGAGAGTTTACTCTGGCTAGTAGTTAGTTGTGAATGGCTATGGTGCTAGTCATTTAAGCTACTAAGGTAGTGGGAGAGCTAAGTCAAGTTGGTCGTAGCCTGCAGCGGACTGAAGAAAATGGACCTGTCGCTGGGTTTGGGCTGAATTGAAACTTGTGAGGCTGAACCCCACAATCACACGCCGCAATCTTGGCACTGTCCTGTATCTACCTACTATCCAGAGACCCCACCCTTAAAAGATGTAAGGCAGACGATATGGAAAATGGAAGGGAAAGAAGATCAAGGAAGCAATATTGCCTCGATTCGAAAGAAGGCAGTCTTCACAACCAAGACCCTTCCAATAGGGTAACAAGGCCTCTGGCCGGGGAAGGGGTGGTCGTATCGGATTCGAAAGGTGTTCGGCGTGGGATTGCTCCTGAAACACCCGAATCAACCCGGGTGAATGAGGGAGCCTGTCAAGGAGCCGACCGAACGGTCATTGGCCGAAGCTGGACGTTATCAGTGCCATGCAGATCAAAAAGCTCAGACTAGACCGGAACCAGATGCAGAGGTCCCACATGGCGGAAGGGTGGCGCTCAGGATCTTATCGCGACCTGACAGCCAATCGTTCTGGAGAAAACTATGAGCTGAGAGAAATGTGGATGATAAGGGCCGCAACTCTTTGGTCCAGTGCATTCTAGGGGCGGAGGGCTTTTTTTTGTGTCGCTCTAGAACTCACCGTTATCAAAGATATCTGAGACGGTACCCATGGGGAGGACAGATAGAGTAGATTCTGATAGATAGACATATGCACTGCCTTGTAGTAGTAGATAAACCACTAAGTATAAATACAGTGTCCGAAGCCCATTCCCGAGGAACCTCAGAGCTGGAGTTTGGGAATTGCTCCGCCTCCCCGGAGCGATCAGCTCCGCATCGCTTGGTCTCATATCAGCATCACCCGCATCATCATCGTCCTAGTTTGGCCTCGACCAAACTCTATAGAGAACCGATGCCAAGTCCACCGAAAAGCAATCACTGAAATGTCAAAGCTAACCGGGGAGACCCCATCCTACTTATAGGATATGGAGAGAGCTCTCACGATGGGTCATGATATGGTAATGATAGCCATCATTATCTTGGAAAGAAGGACCTCAAGAGACTAGTACTAATGATGAAGGGAATTAACCATGGACTTGAAAGAACAGCTTTTCAGTCGATACTATGTGGATATAAGGATTCTGCCATGTTCCATATAAAAGCCCCTTCCCATCAAAAAAGGCAGACTCCCATTTGCCACTTTAAGACCAATTGAATATCGAACGTGCATCAGGGGGGTTCCAGCGGAACGGGTTGAAGCTTGAAAGACATTTGGAAAGGTTCCTCGAGATGATTGGACTTTAGAGGTTCCACCGATGAGCCGAGTTTATTTTATTCCATTCGATTTCTCACATCTCGTTATCTCTTACTATTCTCAATTTCTTTTATTTTTTTTTATTTCTTTTCTCCTTTTATCTGCGCCTCCCTCGGCTTGGCAATGATTGTTCCGTCCTCCCTTCTCTAAGATTCTTTTTCTTTTTCCTTTCCTGCAATCCTCCTTGTCCTATCAACGTTGTCATATATAAACATATGCTTATCGACCACCATCTGGACAAAAGTTTCTCAAGTGTATCTTACGTGAATGACTGACTGATGGACTGATTGGGCATAACTAACAAATATCCATTTCCTTTCCCCCTGTCTCCACTTACCCTTTGGCTTTGGTGGACTTATCTTTCAATTGACTCGTTCGGATTTGCAAACACCAATTCATCCCGCCCACTTGCCGACCCACTGGCCATATCTTTCCAGAAATCTCGGCCTGCTTTTATATACTACAACATTTCTGCCCCGTGGCGGTTTTTCTTCTCCCCCACCTCCCCCCCAAACACACGCATCCTCTCTCCCTCCCCGTCTCCCTGTGGCGGAGTTCCTCTCTATTTCCCATTCTTCACTTCATCCTTCTCGAGAGAAGGCGAGACATTGCACTGACAGGTACAACGACCGTCTTCTTTTATTTTACACTTTTCTTTCACACAATTAAAGTTCTCATCTTCTCTGCCCGTCTCTCCATCTATCACCCACCACTCGCCATTTTCCGATTCTCGGCGGTGGTGAGACCTCGAACAAATTCTAGGCACCGTGTACCTTGAAAAGAAGTCATATATAGCCGCAATCAATCCTTGTATATCAACATGTCGGACGTCAAGGCGCCTTTCACACCCAACTATGCGTCGTACAACTGGACCGGAGCTCCATCTAACTATGACTCGCTGGCGACTAATGAACTGGGTGGCAACTCCAGTATGTTTCCAACTCCGAATATCTGGCGCCTCAATGATTGCTGAGACTGACTGTCGTACCAGGGGTGGAAAATGTGAACAAGTGGTTTCAATCCGGTGATCAAGCGTACATTATCGTGGCCTCCGCCATGGTCATGGTCATGATTCCCGGCCTCGGCTTTCTTTACTCTGGTCTCGCGCGTCGTAAATCGGCACTGAGCATGATTTGGGCCTGCATGGCTTCTTTTTCGGTTGTCACATTTCAATGGTACTTTTGGGGATATTCACTTGCGTTCTCGCCCACGGCCACCAACGGATACATCGGTAACCTGCGCAACTTCGGCTTGATGAAGACATTGGCCGACCCAAGTCCTGGCTCTCCTCTAGTGCCTAATCTTCTCTATGCGTTCTATCAGGTTGGTTTCGAGATATACCTGCACGGGGTGACTGTGACTGACATGGACGTACATTTTAGATGCAATTCTGTGGTGTCACCGCCGCGATCATCATGGGGGCTGTTGCCGAGCGTGGACGTTTGCTCCCAGCCATGGTCTTTGTGTTCGTCTGGGCCACAATTGTTTACTGCCCTCTAGCCTGCTGGGTGTGGAATGTAAATGGTTGGGCAATGAACTACGGCGTATTGGACTATGCCGGTGGTGGTCCGGTCGAGATTGGATCCGGTTTCTCCGCACTCGCCTATTCGATGGTTCTTGGCCGTCGCCAAGAGCGAATGATGTTAAACTTCCGCCCTCATAACGTGTCCCTTATCCTCCTTGGAACAGTTTTCCTATGGTTTGGATGGCTTGGATTCAATGGTGGTTCGGCCTTTGGAGCTAACCTTCGTGCCACTATGGCGTGCTGGAACACCAACCTGACTGCAGCTTTTGCGGCAATTAGCTGGGTCCTCCTTGACTGGCGTTTGGCGAGAAAGTGGTCTATGGTTGGCTGGTGCTCTGGCACCATCTCAGGTCTAGTTGCGGCTACCCCGGCATCGGGCTTCATAACCCCATGGGCTAGTGTGATTTTGGGCGTAGTTACTGGTATTGTTTGCAACTATTCCACTAAGGGTACGCTTCGCTTGGGATGTTGCGATTGAAAGACGGTAAACTGATTAGATTTATAGTGAAATACTGGATCCGTATTGATGACTCTATGGATGTGTTGGCTGAACACGGTATCGCGGGTATTGTCGGACTCATTTTCAACGCACTTTTCGCCGACGATGCGATTGTCGGCCTGGATGGAGTCAACACCGGGAGCGGAATGGGAGGATGGCTGATCCACAACTACAAGCAACTCTACATCCAAGTCGCCTTCATTGTCGCCTCTTCTGCCTACGCTTTTGTTGTGTCCGCCATTATTGCCTATGCCATTAACGCAGTCCCCGGCTTGAAGCTGCGCGCTTCTGAGGAAGCTGAATTGCTCGGTATGGATGACGACCAGCTTGGCGAATTTGCCTACGACTATGTTGAAGTCCGTCGTGACTACCTTGCGTGGACCCCTCAAAAACATGACCAACTTGAAGACGGCCACCATATCCCCGCCGCTGCACGGTACGGCATCGGTGAACACAGTGAAATGATGCTGGATGGCCATGCACCCATTGGCATCGACAGCCGTGGTTGCAGCGAAGGTGACTCTGGCATCCAGGAAATCAAGGTCGCCCCCGCGCCAGTCGCCGAACAACATCCACCTCACGAGGGGCCAATAACGCATAGTGTCGAGGAAAATGAGAAGACTCAATAATCGACCGGGGTCCTGAATCAGTTCTATTCTATGATTTTGTGTTATCCATGATATCCACCGTGCCTTTGTTTGTTTGTTTTGTTTTGGCTGAGCCAAAATAATCTCCATTGTACCTGATATTTGTGTCTGGGATTGGTATGGAACAGGCGTTTGGGATTGGTATGAGCGTTAATTCTGTATATAATTAGAAGTTATGATGGAGGGATCCTATCGTTCTAGATACCACGTGCATAGATTTGTATGTTGATTGATCAATCAAATTACATATTGAATTGATGAAGCGAACTTGCTTCTGCGGCTCTTAATTTCTTAACCCTAACCCTTATCATGCATAAAGTGTTTACTCAGTTACTGTAGCACGACATTTGATCTGGAAGGATTAGAAACCATACGAGGAAAATGCTTAGAAGATATTTGCAGTATCTAGTGACGTCTGACATGTGAAGATTTACAATATGTTTAATAAGTGCTAGCACGTGAGTGGTGCCAGAGTAGTTTACCATCGGCTAGTGTTGGGTATCCTGTCGTCTGACCATTCCTCGAACCCTAGTCCGTTCTTCTCGGTTCAGTTTATCGACCACATCGGCTGTCTCACCTTCCCGCATCACATCTTCCCATTCATCGTCATCCATACCCATAATTAACGTCATCTGCATGCATCTTGCAAATGCTTCCCGGTGACGGTATCTTGCTGGGGCTCCGTGGGTGCCACCGATATCTACTGCTGTGCTGGCAATTCCTGAAATGTCCCGTTCGAGTCGCGTGGCGCCGAGCGCATTGACACGGCCGTGGTACGACCAGAGTCGTTTTTCTAGGAGACGGGAAAGGTAAGCCACTGTGATGGTTACCATGCGGTCAAAGGCAGATGCCGTAAGAATACGAGATAGCGGGAGAAGAAGCTCAGCCCAACTAGCTGCGAAGCGCCGACGGACAAGTTCCGCACGATAGTCATCATTTGGAACCTCATCACGGTCGTACTCATGGTATGGAGTGCTGGTAGGGTCAACGTCATCTCCGGGTTGGTAATCAATATCCCGAAATGCGTCCGCAAGAATCGGCCGCAGACGATGCTTGATGACGTTGTTGAACACTACTTGTATGCCGTCAGACAGAAGGTCATTGATTTTAGACTCGAAAGAGGACGACAGTGCCTGTAGCGTTTGCGCTGCGAGCTTGGCGTCTGAAATGATAGGAAAGAGGGAACGTAATTGGTCCGTCTCTTCAGTTTGCCCATCCGGGCTAGTCAAAGTCTTTTTGGTTTCGGTATGGTTCTGGACGATGCGCCGGATGTAATCGACAGCTACATCTAAATTGTTGATTAGGACCAAAAAAGAGATTATCAGATGCTCTGGGGGCTGAGCCCCTTGCACAGAGGCTCTCGGATAGCATTCATCCCGCATTTTCCGCTGTGTCATTCCAATGAAATCCGACCCTAGTACGCGAGACAGGGTGGGCACTACATTGGTAACTACCGTGATCTGCGACGTCGCGAGTGATTGTTGCAAGACCTTGTTGACTATATACATGATGTCATCGACGGCCGAGGTGATATATGGTGGGTCGGCCTTCAACGGCTTCTGCGGGTTCAACGTCAAACCCGCAGGCTGTTCATCCAGCTGGAATGCCTTCTCAACTGTCCGTCGAAAGAAGAAAGTGGTCATGGCATTAAAGGAAGCTATCAACCGACCGTTGATTTTTCTCGACAAAGTGGATTCTTGTAAAAATTGAGGCGGTGTGTACAATTGGTCGCCTTGACCAGGAGCCTGTAGACGTTAGCTGACAAGAACTTCCCAAGACCCTCATACGACATACGTTGCATGTTTCCGCCAAAAAACGGCAATATAGTGACCAACGGCCGAGCATAATTGCTATCTCATTCAGTAACCCGTCAATCTCTTTCATGTCAACACCCTCATCATCAGCTACTGAAGCCCCGTCCCGATTCGCAGGGGAGTTTGACCGTGGCGTCGCACTGCGCTGAGGGGGGAGGAAGCTTTGCACGAGGAAAGTAAATGCATATGATTTGATGTCGGTCAACTTGCGATCTACATGTCTCTCGTCGGCCCAGGTGTCCAGAATGATACCGCCTTGAACATCTGCTTCGAGTTGTAGTCGTTCAATAACCCGGTTCATCTTTCTCGGGCCGTAGTGTCGTTCTACCAGTCCCCCATGGCTATCAACGATCTGTGCGATATGCTCAAACAACTTGGTCAGAACATTGGCGTAGAAGAAGCCATCCTTGCTTTGACTTCCTGCCACAGCATTGAGGTTGGATCGTGCTCGTGACGCCACACCCTGGCATACGTAACGCCCGTAGACGTCTAAGCCAACCTCCGAACGGCCGATAAGAGGAAATAATTTGAAAAACCGTGTGATTTTGGCACCATTGTTCTCCTTGACAGCCTTATCAAACTCGCGCAAGAACAAGCCGCAGAGGGATTCAGCAGCATTGTCCAAGGTAATATTTGGTGAGTCCGGCACCTCCGCCGTGGGAACCATCTCGGCTGCAAAAGCCCCATAGATCACTTCTGGTGGGATTTTGGACGCCCGGTTCAGATAACTAGCAGCTGTTTCCCAATCCTGCGGGGCTCCCATGGAGCCTGCGACACCCAGGACACAGGCTTTAAGCTCTGAAACCTGCTCTACCACATCCAAAGTTGATTTTACTCTAGATTGTTCGAGGTCAAGGCGACGGACTGCAATCGAAATCCGCTCTGCGGTGGCTGCCGCATCGGAGAGCATGCAATTACTGATAGACCGGGTGGTGGTGGTATACGAGCCGAGATGCGCCCGGAGCAAATCTAATCGACCTAGCTCACGGGATAAATCTTTCTGAGAGGCGACAAGGGCATCCAGCCGGGCCGTGACCGACGTCTCCTGTTCGTGGAGGTGAGATAAAGTGGCCTTGATTTCTGCGAGAGAGCTGGCATTGAAAACATCGGCTGACGAGCTCGGATGAGATTGACTTGAGTGTTGGTAAATCAAAGAGGGGGCTGGTGTTACCACATGCCCATTGACTGCGTCGACTTTGAGTTTGGACATTATCCACCACGGAGGCTGCGAATGAGTGACTGACTAAATGGGCAGAGGGAAATGGGTAGTTAATCTGGTATGTGGATGAAGGATGGAGGAGGAAGGCGGTGAACTAACCAGGGAAGTTCGTCAGATAGATGCCTCAGGCAATTGATTGGTTTTCGACGTCATTCAAGATTATTTCCCGATTTGATTTGATTTTCGCATCCGCTTTTTGTTATCAACAACTAAACAAATTTCCTCGTTCCTCATATTTTTTTTTCTTCCGCTTCTTAACCTCCCCTCCCTGATCCTTCCATAAGTTTCTTCTTCTTCTTTCTTTTTTGGGATCTTATTGGACCGTTAAATCATTGGTCGGCGTCGTAGAAGTCTCCGGCATCGGCCGCTTGCCTTGCACCATGGGCAATGAACCGTCTACCTTGGTGGATGAAGATACCCCTCCGTCCGCACTAGAAGCTCGGACCCTTGAAGCGGTCGCTAAATATATCAAAGAAAAGGATGACTGCCGAATTGTGTTGATGGTATGCCTCCGATTTTTCCCTTCCCGCACTATCCCGACCTGACGAGATCACGTTAGGTGGGTGCTGGAATCAGTACCTCGGCGGGCATTCCCGATTTTCGTTCCCCAGAAACAGGAATCTATGCAAATCTAGCCCATCTTGACTTGACGGATCCTGAAGACGTGTTTGACATTAGCTTCTTCAGGGAGAATCCGCGACCGTTCTACGCATTGGCGCGGGAGCTGGCCCCCGGCCGGTATCGACCCACTATTGCACATTCTTTTGTTAAGCTGCTCTACGACAAGGGGTTTTTGATGAAGCATTTCACACAAAATATAGACTGTCTTGAGCGTCTGGCCGGTGTGCCCGGGGAGATGATTGTTGAGGCCCATGGGAGCTTTGCAAACCAGCACTGTATCGACTGCAAGGCCGAATATCCCGAACAATTGATGAAGCAGGCCATCGATGCAGGTGAGGTACCTCGGTGTACCCATTGCACTGGGTTTGTAAAGCCCGATATTGTTTTTTTCGGAGAAGCGCTACCGGAGGAATTTTTCCTTCACCGGACGCTTCCAGAGCAGGCGGATCTTTGCATTGTCATGGGCACTAGTCTTTCTGTACAGCCTTTCGCTAGCTTACCGGCATTTTGTCGGGATGGAGCACCTCGCGTGCTCATCAACATGGAGCGTGTCGGTGGAATGGGATCCCGACCGGATGACGTCCTTCTTCTAGGTGACTGTGATGCTGGGGTGAGGAAATTCGCCCGGGCATTGGGGTGGGAACAGGAATTAGAATCGCTATGGGAGAGCACGAAGCCTGATAAGGAGGACCGGGAAGCTGAATTGGATCCTTTGCAGACCAGAGATGAGCGGCTGCAGGATGAAATCGAGCGTCTTACTAAAGAGGTTGACCGTACTTTAGGCATTTCAGATGCATATCAACAACGAGTCCGGCAGAATCTAGACCGGCAAAGTAAAGAATCAGAGGAAGTGACTGAGGAGGGGTGTCGGAGTTACGGAGGCCTGGCACATGTATTTCCCCATTTAGCGCAAGAGAAGAGACCATCTGCCATTTAGTGCAATCATATGACTGGAGGTATTGGTGGTACACGTTTGGTGGCGTTATGGTTTGGATTAATGTGGTCAAAGCTCTCTGATGAATCTATCAATGTTGTTTATTCTTGCAAATTATTATTATTATTATTATCTAATCTTTGGCGTGGGTGTGGGGGGCGGGTGAGAATCTAAGAGATTAATTCTCTGTTGGGGTAGAAAGAGAGAGATTATTCTATATTAAATCAAGAGAACACATGATAGAAATGTCTTACAAACCACTTGATAGCCATAACTTGACAAACGGATCTTCGGAGATGGATTGCGGAGATTCCAAGTACCTGCGGGTGTATAACTCTACATGAAAGGTATGGCAAGTACCGAGAAGACGACATCAAAGCGACAGATTGGGGGAAGGAAAAGGGAAAGATAAAAAAGGAGGAAAATATAATCGAAAGAGGGGTCAAGGATAGAAGATTATGTGAGTCTAGACAATACCTAAATAAGGACCGGTGAGTTGATGGTGATTTCATCGCCTGCGGGGCCTTTTGTCTTGATTTTTCTTAGTGATGCGTATTTTAAGGTCAAATGCTGCCCCACGCCCAACGCTGATATCATTCAACTATTTTACCCTCCCTCCGACCTGTCCCTCCTGTAATTCCCCTTTCCCTGTTCAGTTTCCCGATACTAGCTTTGGACTCTCAACATTTCTTCTTTATATCATATTTTCCCTTAATAGCTACCATAATGGTTGGAATTGGCCCCAAACGCCCCCCATCCCGCAAGGGTGAGTGTGTTATCAGCATTGCCCCGCTACGGATATACCGGTTCGGCTTCTAATCGGCATCCCGCCTACAGGATCGATGCACGAGCTCCCCCAGAACTTGTTGGAGCAGATTAAGCAATTCGAGGATATCTTCACGGTGGATGGTGCGAAGCTGAAGGAGATTGTGGATCATTTCGTGAAGGAGCTCGAAAAGGGTAGGTACTGGCCGGTCCATTCGGACAATGTGGAATGCTGATCGATAGTGGATTAGGCCTGAGCGTTGAGGGGGGTAATATTGTAAGTTCCGATCCGGATGCGTCGCTGTACCCCTTGTGATATGACGGCTAATTTTTCTAGCCCATGAACGTGACATGGGTCATGGGGTTTCCCGACGGTGACGAGCAGGGGACCTTCCTCGCCTTGGATATGGGCGGCACTAATCTGCGGGTCTGTGAGATCACCTTGACAGAAGAGAAGGGTGCTTTCGATATCACCCAGTCCAAGTACCGCATGCCCGAGGAGTTGAGAACTGGTACTGCAGAGGAGCTGTGGGAATACATTGCCGATTGTTTGCAGCAATTCATCGAGACTCACCACGAGAATGAGAGTTTATCGAAACTGCCATTGGGTTTCACCTTCTCCTATCCTGCTACCCAGGAATATATCGATCATGGGATCCTTCAGCGTTGGACCAAGGGCTTCGACATTGATGGAGTGGAGGGCCATGATGTTGTGCCACCATTGGAGGCAATCCTCAGGAGAAGAGTACGTTTATCGGAATTCATTCGGAGCCGGAGGATTAACTCTCGTTTAGGGACTTCCTATCAAGGTTGCGGCTTTGATTAATGATACTACCGGTACCCTTATTGCGTCTTCGTACACTGACTCGCATATGAAGATTGGCTGCATCTTTGGCACAGGTGTCAATGCGGCTTATATGGAAAACTGCGGCTCAGTCCCCAAGCTTGCCCACAAGAACCTGCCTCCGGACATGCCCGTGGCGATCAACTGCGAGTATGGTGCCTTCGACAATGAGCACGTTGTTCTGCCTCTCACCAAGTATGACATTATTATCGACCGCGACTCCCCTCGCCCCGGACAGCAAGCCTTTGAGAAGATGACTGCGGGTCTCTATCTGGGAGAGATTTTACGCCTGGCCCTCCTGGATCTTTTGGAGACTAGACCTGGCCTGATCTTCCAGGGTCAGGATACTTCCCAGCTGCGGAAGCCTTACCTGCTGGATGCGTCCTTCCTAGCAGCCATTGAGGAAGATCCGTACGAGAACTTGCAGGAAACCGAGGAACTTCTTGAGCGCAAGTTGAACATCAAGGCCACCCAGCAGGAGCTGGAAATGGTCCGTCGCTTGGCGGAGTTGATAGGTACTCGTGCGGCTCGTCTGTCGGCGTGTGGTGTGGCCGCCATCTGCAAGAAGAAGAACATTGAGTCTTGCCACGTGGGCGCGGATGGTTCTGTCTTCACTAAATACCCCCACTTTAAAGCTCGTGGAGCACAGGCGTTGCGTGAGATTTTGGACTGGGCACCTAATGAGAAGGACAAGGTGGTCATCATGGCTGCTGAAGACGGTTCTGGCGTTGGAGCCGCCCTTATTGCTGCATTGACACTGAAGCGGGTCAAGGCGGGCGTCACCTGCGGTATTCGGGACATGGCCGATATGCAAAGTTTAATCTAATGAGTTAGACGTGGTCAACTTGATATATCCTTGGGCGTTGATCATCGGAGAAGTGCTTTTACACCTTTTCCTTCTTTTCCTAATTCTCTTTTCTTCACCATCTTCATTTTCTGTTTCTTTCTCATTCGAGAAGATGTCATATAAACAAGAAGGGCACGGCACGGTCTGCAACATAGACCAATGGGTCCCTCTACAGAGAAGGCGAGTATAGAAATGGCGAAATATAAATATTATTTGGTTATACAGAGCTAGCATACGGGGAATTGATATCCATTGAACAAGCCTCAACCCAGGGACCAACCCGTAACACAACAAAAAACAAACACGCTGTAGCAAGGATCTACGAAGCTTGGCCGGATTCTTTCTCCAAAACCTGCCAGAGAGCCAGGAAGAATGCAGCCACTCCCGGAACAGTCTCCTCTCGGTTGTGATTCACATTCCAGGCGTGAAACATACAGCTGGGACCTTACCACCACACTCCTCCCTCGAGCAACTGGAATGCTATCAGAGTTTGCCTCTGCTAACTCGACAACCCTACATACTACAGTCTCGAGAACTAATTGGTTTCCGCGACGCCGAGACCAATTTGACTGACTCACTACTCACTAAAACTATAGAGAACTATGCGCCTTACAAGGACTCGTGAAAAACAAGCCCTGGATTAAAGTTCCGCATATAAAACTCTAAGGGCCACGGTGGAGTTTACTTACCTCGAGATTATTCTCGTTCTCAAAAGCTAAGAGAAGAGAATAGGGCAAATTGCCAACGATGAAGCCCGCTCTCTTCCTTCTAACAACCGCCGTACTCGGCACAGTGGCATCGCCCTCCAGTTCCTTCAGAAAATACGCCGCCATTGTGGTGAGAGAGGCTAGCAGTGCTTCACCCCAGGCTGACCTTACCTCTCAGCATACATCTGGGATGCATAGCAGCACAACCTCACAAGGCCATCCTAGTACCTCTTCTACCTCAGCCTCCCCTACTACTTCTCCAAGCCCTAGCACATCCTCTGAAAACCCCGCCACCGCAACTTCTACGTCCAGCACTTCCACTGACGCTGGACATACCAGTAAGCCTTCAGAAGACTCCAGTGGCAGCCAGGCCGTGCCTAGCATTTCCTCCACTGCAACAACCTTGGCCACTAGCAGCTCCTCTTCATCCACCAGCACATCTTCCGAGACGCTTGCCATTACCAGTACTCCCACGGATGCCGGACATACCAGTAACCCTTCTGAAGACCTCAGTGGTAACGTGGCTGCACCTACTGCCACCTCTACAAGTACCACCGTTGTGACTTCTACTGCAACCTCCTCTATTACCTCCTTTACTACGTTTACTGCTACGTCCACTGCTACTTCCACCGCTACCACCGCCACCACTGCCACCGTTACTTCTATCGTGACCTCCACTGCTACCTCCTCCATCACCTTGACCGCTACTACGACTGTTACCTCGACTGTGACATCCACTGCCACTTCTATCGCTATATCCATCACTACCTCCATTATTACTGCCAGTGTTAACGCCCAGATTCCCAGCACATCAACCCAGAACCCCGATATTTGTACCTCTTCTGGCACATCCTCTGGGACTTCTGACGTTATCTCCACTAGTAGCTCTACCAGTGTATCTACGACAGCTGCCGCCACTCCTATCAGCGCCTCTATCGGTAGTCCTTTCGACATCACCGTCACGGCCAACGTCGGTGGCACCCATACTACGATAACAGTTAGCACCCCTGGTCATATTGCTGACCCTAAGACGAGATCCACTACGCACAAGTACTCTACTAAAACCCATCATAGCACTAGCAACCTGACTGCGTAATGAGGCCGAGTGAGAGTTAATGTTAAATCTATTCTCACTTCGGTAAGTGGTAAGATTCGGGGCTAATATCAGCCAGAAGGTTAGCCATCTATTGAGTTCGCTATATGTATGTGGTGCTTCCTTGTTTTCTGTTGAGATAGGTATATTTAGCATCTGTGCTGGTTATGGCCTCCCTGATTAATGATTAAGTACCACTTGCCCATGGGTAACCGAAGATAAGGGAGACCCCAACTGGAATGTCCTTTAGGTCCAGATTTGAAAAAAAAATACGGTCTATAACATTTTATCCAAGTATATACTATATATTGCTATACATAACACTCTCATATTTTGCCTCTCTTTCAGTGGACTTCTTGGTTGCTCATCCTCGAATCTCCCATAGCCTAATACGTCCCTGCTCGTTGCCAACGGCCAACTGCTCGGAGTTGGGTGAGATGGCTACCGACGAAATGCGCCCAAGAGGAGTATTAGACGTGGGCCAGTTACGGTACACTGTGCAGGATGGAAGATGGACTGTAACGGTTAGAATGCATTTTCTTACAATACCAAAGGAGCGAAAGACAGGGAAGCTTAACATACCTATTCTCAGTGCATCCCGCTTCCAACGACTAGCCATTACAAAGAACTGACCATCTGGTGCAAATACCACGTGGCTGATTGGTGTCGTCAGCTGGTCCAATGCACGTACAGGTTCAGGGTTACGTGGAATGGCTGAAAAGTCGCTATCTGCCGAGGAGGCTTGTGCTGCATATGCTATGGCCCATTCACGACGGTCATAGACGTTAACAACTCCACTAGAACTGCCAATTGCAACCCAGCGGTCGCCTCCCAGCTGTGTCCGTCCGGAACGTCCTCCAAGGGCAAGGACTGTCGTGCCTACTGCACCGGCATCCATCCAGCGGGCCACCACTTGATTTAAACGTCCATCCCATTCGGACACTTCGCCGTTCTTGCTGACGACTGTCATACCTTCGCCATCACCCCACCAAGCAAAGTCCGCAACGCCTCCTTGGCCGTCTACGCGAACCTGCGCAATCCATTGTGCCGTACCCGAATCCAGAACATTGATGAGACCACCACCCTTGCGCGACGTACCAATAAGCCCCACATACCGCCCGCAAGGGGAAAGCTTGAATCTTTCCATGGATTTCTGTTCTTCTTTTCTGTCAGCAGTACCGTTGACCTTGTCGACCTTTCCCGTGTCAAGGTCCCAGATATGGAAGTATCGCCGGCGACCCGAAGCGAAAATTTTATTACCGGAAGGGGGAGCGAAAGCAGATGTGTAAATAGGTGTACGGCGAATGTGGAATGACGTAAGAAGAGGATTGGGAGCAGGCGCAGAGGGTGCAATATGGTGTAAGAAGAGGGTGGCCGCAGGCCCCGAGGACAGCAGCAACGGATAATGCGGATGGAAAGAAAGAGAATCGACCGAGGACTGAGATTCAAAATTAGCCGTTTCCGCCATCCTGGTGCTTAGAAAATCATCTTACTTACTGGTTGATCTCTGCCGACATCCTTCAGTCTTTGAATGTCGATAACTTCCTGGCGCAGCCTTCTCTTGCCGCCAGAGCGTGTATCCTCTAGCTTAGTTAGGTCCGCGGCGCCTTGAAGTAGTTTACCTAAAGGTTGTACAGAAGTCTGCTCCTCGTCATCTGTATCCATATCATCCGCGCGCTCAGAGTCAGTATCGCCATGGCCTTTCTGTTGCTCTGGGATCGCCCATTTTGGCGTCGGATGCAGCTGCTGGAAATGGCGGCGAAGTCTTTTAACATACTCCTTTCCACTAACAACGTCTTCGGACTCAGCGACACGCAGCTTTCTCAGCCTTTGCTGGCTTGCCAGAGAGACAGTGAGGAGATCATCGTCGCTATCATGCCACACCGCTGTGATTTCTGCTCCATCGTCCTCTGCAGCTTCGGAAGGTGGTTCAAGAGATTCGGCGAGGTCGGTAGAAACGGGGCCAGCTCCAGAATCAAGGAAGAAAAGCTGCAGATAAATCACATTAGCGCCACCAGCAGCTCAACGAATCTTTTATTTTTCTTTCACTTAGGAAGTACAAACATCGGCATCAGCAACATCATCAAGTGCTTGGTCTTCGCCTCTACTTTCGTCGTCCTCTGCGTCAGAGCCCTTATAGTCACTCCCATTTGAATGAGCCATAAGACTGCGCTCTTTCTGACTCTTTAAAGCGTCATGAAAACCCTCATCGTCGCCGAATAGTAGTTTTTCCAATTTCTTCTCTGCCTCATCTTTTTCGGGAATATTATCACCATCGTCGCTCAAATCATCATCCATTTCTACATCACTGTCTTTCTGAACAACCCTAGCATCCTCAAAAGGCGAACGTGAAGCCGGCTTGATCCTCTGGCGGGGTTTCTGCTTGACACTGGTTTTAGGCATTGTGCAAGTCTCCTAGCTTTCTGAGATTTCTTGAACCGTGTTTGAGCTTTTTTGAAGGAGTAATAAGGGAAAGCAAAGTCCCGAAGAAAGAAATAAAGGAAGCAAAAAGCGAGACTGAGAAGTGAGCTGGTGCGGGTAAATAATGTTGAAGCCTCGACAATAATTTTCTTTGTTCAACCGGCAAAAGCAGGCGGTGGGTTCTGCGGTGGACAGAGGTGCCTTAGGATACGATTCTTCAGGCAATAAATGCTTGACGGTGAAGGTCTGGTAGCAGCGTTTACTGACAACCCACCAAAGGGCTGGGTAGACGCTTCCTCTGACGTGCAAATTTTAAGGAATTCCTGAAACAGACAAGAACCTTTGCATGTAACTTAAAATAATCTACGGACTCAAACGGGATTCCTCCAATCGTTGGAAAGAAGAGGAGGCAATATGAACAAAAAAGGGCGTAATATAAAACAAAACCAACCAATTCCGACCTCATACATATGGAACCATAAGAATAACAATCATTGACAACCACCAATCGCAAACGCCGTCTCAAAACACCGTGTTAGAAACATAGGCTAGTCGTGACCTTTTTGTTGTGTTGCAAGCTTCGTTGACGACAACGTCTGATCGCCATCAACACGTCCGCTACGGGGACTCGCAGATGCTGATGATGCAGAACTGTACTCCGTTTCCATCCCTGGATGATACTCGGTAGACTCGAGTAGGCCTCCGATATCCTTCTGAGAGCCCATTAGTCCTTTCCCAGCGCCCTTTCCAACAGAATCATCTTCCGATTCTGACACGATCTCCTCTTCTAATCCAGCCAACAGCGCATGATGGTAATCTTGTCTATTGTCTTGGATGTCGCCAGCCTCACTTTCCTCTATCAATTCATGCGACGGTTTCTTGATGAATATATCGATGATGTAATATTGGATCGCATTCATGATGACCGGGAAGAGTAGCATCACAAAGATAATCTGAGCGGCTGTGTTACCCTCTGTCCACCGCAGAGCCCAATCGCCCACCTTAACGATAAATGGCAACAACTGGATGAGGAAGAAGACACATATCTTCATTCCCAAAAGCCCCACGAAGTATATCATAGACTGCTTGAACCACCAGGTTGCACGTGGTGGACGACCATAGTTCCCAGACTTTATTGACTCGGGAGGATCTGCGAGAGGTGTATAAAGAGCCAGACGATTGAGAATGTGGAGAATGAAGATGAGGATCGGTATCCCGAGAGTAGTCTGCGCTCAGTATTAGCAAGCCTCTAAGTGATACAGGCACTAGCAATATGACAACTCACATCGATGCCTAAGTTCAATATGTAGAACGAACATGGATTCGGCCTATATTTACTCGTGATTTCTAGTTGACCAGCCGAGAACATGGACATGAGTAAATTCGCCAGATGCAGCATAGCCGATCCAAAGACTTGCTTGGAAACATCAAATGCCCATACTTTCAGGGGCCGTTGAGGCCTTTCTCTCCATCTCTTATAGACAAGGGATAACAGTGCCAACGCTCCGAGAGCGACTTGAACCAGAAGAGAGAAGGGGCCTAGAAGCCTGCATTCCCCGGTATCTTCGTCATTTGCGTCAGAATCTGGGCCAGCCAGGGAAAATGTAATAGTTTGAGAGGTCGGTGTCGGCGTTGACGTTGGCGTTGCGAGAGTGTTCGAAGCGGGACCCAAGTCGCCAGCGGACACGCTGCCAATGAAGGCTGTGATAGTAACTGCCAAGGTAACCCTCAGGGTTAACGCCGAAATATACATGACCGATCTTCGTTATGGAAGAGATGGGAAAAATGCAACTGCTGGAGTGAGGATCAATAAAGTGGCAGGTGCGCCAACACAAGGCAGCTAATGGGAGTGATATGAGGTCGTCCGCTCATATGAGAAGGCTCCCTATGCTACCAGAGATACCCTTTCAGCGCACATGTGGGCAAGGATTTTTGTGAAAACAGGATAGATTTGGCTGCGCGTGAGTGCCAACAGTTTAAAAGTACTCCTTTACCAGCAACGAGTCTTTACTGTTATCTGAGAATGGGAACAGCGGCGGTGCCAGGACGAGACACCGCCCGCTCGCCCACCTGCCCGTGGGCGGAGCTGTCTACTAGTTCCTCACTTTCGGTTTAGTCTAAGGCGGCTAAACTGCTCTCACTAGACCCTTGACGGATAGGTGCATAGTTAATCTGTTTCGCATTTATCCCTTCAATAATTCTTTTCTATACACTTTACTTTTATTGGAACTAGATATGATCATTAGCCTCATGAGGACCAAATTCTCTCCTTTCCCTGTACAACCCCTATTTTACGATTATACTATTCAGTCAGGAACTGGATACGAAGGTATGTCTTAATGATTCCAATATGTATTCATTCAAGACAACTATTGGTCTAAGCTAGCGGTTCCCGGATAATGGAGGGATATCAAAATTGGGTACATCAGGGTGCCCCATTTGTCTTGTAGCGTCTTTCATTTTGATGCGGCCACCCAAGCAACGAAAGATCGGCACCACGATATCAGAAAGGTCACCCATTCAACAAAAATAGCCATCTTTAGATCATGAGTCTCTCGACCTTGTCTTTGATGGTCCGGATCTGACCCATAAGATCACTAGCCTCGTTGGTGGTGATGCTGGCTGCGATCACCGGACGAGAGACACCAGTCGCCCGGCCCAGGGCTAGTTTGCTAGGCACGCTGCACAGTTGTCAGTCAGTCATTCTATTGACAACCAAATACAACGGGGTTATAATCTTACTAGACATATGGCGTATTCTTGTCCTCACACAGAAGAGGGATGTGAAGAAGGATAGCGAGGGGATTTGTGTCTGCGGCGAGGATAACGATTTCAGATGTACCACGATTGAGGGTCTTGGTTGCTAAAAACAACTGTTAACCGAACGATACAGCATTGATGGGATGGTTGAACAATCATACCCTCGTTCGCACCCTTCTTCAGCTGGCGGTAGTGAGAAGCCTGCTGCACAAGGTCCAGCAGATTCTGGGTGAGGCTCTCGTCGGCCACGGGCCAAGCTACAAAAGAGCAGAAATATCAGCTCATGATCGCAATATGCCCAATCATGGCGAATCTATATACGACAGATAATAAGGCTTGTACTTACCGGCGTTGGGTTCTCCTGACATAGTTTTATAACGGGGACTAGCTTCGCACGGAGGAGTGGCTCACGCAAAGGATCACTGCCGTATTGCAGATCTGTATATGCTTGGAAAGATGGTTGGAGAGAGCGCTGTTCGGTCGAGAAAATCCTGAGGAAAAATGACCAGTGGGGCGTATCCGGGGCTAGCCGTTTTGGGATATAATTTGTGCCTTTATTTAAAGGCATCAATAGCCGAAGCCCCCTCTTTTCTTTTCTTTTGCCCTATGCTCCCCATCAGCGACTATATTCATTTTGTAGTAACCGCTGCAAGGGTGTCTACATTAATCTCGGGGAGCAAAATCTCTCTAACTTGCTATTTACTACAGTTAGTGATCCCGGGCGAAGCTCTACTTATACTTGTGTGTAGCATTCTACTAAGACGGAGTGTGCAGACATAGCCAACATGGGCATATATATCATCTTTGGAATGTAGTTATTGTAGTACTAATTCTTATACCTTGATCGGGGCCTCGAACTTTCGCATGTCTTGCCATCGGTGACAAATCAGGAGTGGCTACATCACCGTACTACTATTGTACTAGTAGATACCAACCGCCCAAAACTCCAATCTCTAGGGCCCTGTAGACTAACTGAAATAAGCTTACGCGGATCTGTCAGGGGAACCCTTCACTTGATCTTCAAAAATTAGATCTCCCCCCTCTCGTAGTAAATATACTACATATCTGCCGGTCTACCATAGAAACCGTCCTTTTGAGATCTCTAAGCTCCTGACAGGTAGATATCTACTAGCAGTAGCCTCCAGGTTTTTACTATAAGCACTGCTTGTCAATGATGGATAATAAGATGGTCTCCTAGGTTTATCGCGACAGCCGACAGTGGCCGGCGATTGAGAGCGATTATATTGATAGTAGCTAATAACCGGAATAGTGGAACTGACCCAGCCTGAAAGATCCCATTCTGTATCGTTTCTCTGGCCAATAGCTAGCCAGAGTGTCATTCTACCATCGATCACCCTCATACTAGTACCCATGAATAAGAGTCACGAAACCCATAAGAGTAAAACGCCAGAAACCCCACGACCAACCCATGATAATACGCAGCCAGATGCCTGCAAAGGGTACATAGAAAAAAGCAACAAAAAGAATCGTAACGTCATTCTATACCGTGCTGCTGTTTAAGACGTTCCAAATTCTCTTGCCTTTCCGCCAAGTCCTCTTTCGACTTGAGCATTTTCTCCGGCTGATGATATAGTACTGGAAACAAGGGGTCAGCAAAATGACATTCAATCGGGCAAAATACGTCTGTTATTGCGATCCATTACGTACCGACGAGGTATCTGTTCTGGAAATTGAATCCATTGAGCTTATCGCATGCCTGTTTGGCGTCGTGAACGTCTTCGTATACCACAAATGCGGTGCCTTTCGAGTTGTTCGCAATTCCCTGACGTATTTGTCTAGAGACAGAGGGTTAGTCTCCAGACGGACAAAGGGGAAAATTTTTTTGAACTTTGCGACTAACATACCTGATGGGTCCGAACTTGCCGAAAAGATCAAATAGTTGCTCAGCAGTTACGTTGTAGCTATACAAAGAGCCATTTTGTTAGAATTGTGCCCCCAAACCATGGATGAATCCTTTCCTCGATTCTTTGATCAGATATGCTGGGCGTGCGACACTCAACCAAGTAGGCTTAGTAGTGCGAATGAACATACTTGAGGTTCTTGACAAAGAGAATCCTATATCCTATCAGTACATTGAATAAGCTTAAGAGGCTCTAAAAGAGGCTCCGAACGCGTAGATAACAGTCACGCTACCGGGCAGATCTAAGTTGATCTCGGAGGGGTAGGTTTGTTCGTGATAACTTACCGATTGGCTTCGGGGGCGAGCTTCCGGCTCATTCTCGGGTGGGACAGTGATGGTCCTAAAATTCGGTAGAGTGATGGTTTCTGTCGAGTAGATACCCAACGGGACTGGGATCGTTCTGTTAGAAAGAGAGAAGAATAGGAAGAAGAGAGGGTCACTTTACCGCGATGACCACGAGGTCGAAAACGGGGGCTGCCTTTCCTGATTAGGACTAGGGTCCCGGAGGAGCCTCACTTTGTTGGTTCCTCACGAAGACAAGCATTGCCAAAGAGACTACGGATATATAGGACGGGAGTTTTGTATAAGTATGAATTGACAAAGGGATTGCAAAATAAAACATCGACTGGGAGAGAGCGCGTATGATTCCTTTAGCTGTAGAAGTCGGGGACACAGCTCTCCTATCCACTACTGATAGTGTTGCTCGGCCGCAAACGATAGGCAGATAGCGTATGGGGATGGCCTGAAGGTTGAGGCAGACCTACGGCGCGGCGCCCGCTTTGCCTTGACTCGCGCTCTCCTCTTCGGCCCCCCGTCGCCGCAATACAAACCTTCTTCATCCCAACCCCATCCCATCAATCACCCTCACTGCGCGTTATTCAATCGTTTAGTTTACCTTTAGCCTTTTGAATCTCCGCTGCTCCTGCTGTGTCTCTCCAAGCTTGGCCGCAACCGCGGTGCGTCCTCGGTGCTGCGTCCTCCCGCCGCTCTTGACTAGTCGGCAGACTCAACTTCCCCCTCAACCTTAGTGTTCCGCCGTGCGACTCTTGTCCGTCAACCTACTTTTTCCCTCAACGCCGATCATCACACCCCGCCTCGGATATTATTTCATTATCCAGTGTGCGCCGTTCGTTTCGCCAGGAATGACTCTCCATTTGCTTGCGGTGGCCTCTCTATAGCCCGTGTGGTCGTTGCATCCCCGCTTTGCCTGCCTGCCGCAAAATACCTTGTCTTCTCCTCCGGACTCATTTCTACCTCCCCTCTTTGATACTCTAACTCAGCTTCAATATGATAACCACTACATCCTTCTTGGACCACTCCAACAGTCGGCCGCCACGCTACCGCACTCCTTCGCCCCCGCGACGCGCCGTTGAGCCAATCTCTCCCTGCACAACCGGGGATGCCCGGGCCTCGTGGGTCGACCGCAGCACACCAAGAGTTGCGAATTTCGATCGCGACCAGTTCGCACAAAATCACGGTCAATATTCTGCTGCGGATAGTTTGTCTCATCAGAGATCCGGCCATGGTAGATCAAGTTCGACCATTGACACCCTTGCAACTATTGCCCTCGCGACGAGTCCTACTTTTGCACCTCCATCTTACCGGCCCCCCTCTCAGAATTCCACGCCGGCCATGTCACTTTTTCCATCAGAGCCCACAGACTTCACAGAGCGTCCCGCTAAGCGCCCGCGGTCGGAAAAAGATCCTTCTCCACTTTATCAGCATCGAATGGGCGCAGCTTCAGATTCAAACCCTCCTTCGGCTTTTGACAGCATGAAAACCGATGCTGAGCTTTTGTTGAACTTTGCGAGACCCTCCAATTTCCACCATACCGCGCCCCCTTCGAAACGAGTTAGCATCGACGAGTCATATCATCAGTACGTCAATGAAGCGAAACGTCATATCAAAGACGGGTTCGGAGCTTCATACGGGGGCATAGGCGAAGAAAAATATGTTTTGCACGCTTCAGGACACGGTAGCTTTCCATCGTCTAGAATGAGGTCTCAATCGGACGGCTCGGCTGTTATTTTTCGGCCCGTCATACATGGTACACGACCGTACACAAGCTCCTCTAACCTTCAGCCGATTCTTTGGCAGGAGGAAGCAGATGGTGGAGAGAACAATTGGCCCTCTTCTACAAACCCAATGGGTAAAAATGGTCGATATGATGCAGAAGTTTCTGGCGCTTGTGTCACTCGAATGTCGCTAAGCCATTCTTCCAAGGTGGAGGACGATACGGAATCCGAAGAGTCCGGCCAGGCAAGTTGTGCTGCTTGTAACCTCGTCCGAATACCGACGGATACTAGCGATCAAGGTGATGTTACATGGATCAGTTGTGATGGCTGCAAGCGCTGGTTCCATATTGTCTGTGCGGGGTTTAAAAACGACCGCGAAATTCGGACTGTTGACAAATTTATCTGTCGTGGGTGCCGGTCAGTTCACGGACAGACTACCTTTGTTCGCAAATCATCACGTGCACGTACTGCTATCGATTATGCTGGTCTTAATCAGGGACTTGTCAAGACCGCTACGGACTCGATGGAGCACCACTATATAGAGCCTATCCGACAAGGCAAAATTCGCTTTTTACCAGAGACCTTCCCTCGCATGCGCCCCGAACTTGTCACTGCTGAATACTTCGAGCGTGGGAACGGCATGACAGAGCCAATTGTAATCCCAGCCTACCTAAACACGCGAGATCCGGTCCTGACTAATAGCTCCGACTATGATGCTCTCGTACAAGAAGCATCCACTCAGGATATGTTCGATGAACTGTTGGAAAATGTATCTCAAGATTGTCAGGATTTCGAGACAGTGATTGACTGTGGCCAAGATAAATTAGACATGGTCATCCCCCAGGGCCTCACAGTCAGAGCTGTTGCAGAACTATACGGGCCTGAAGAAAGGGTAGAGGTGATAGACGTCAAATCGCAACAGGGTGAAGACAAAAGATGGACGATGCAGAAATGGGCCGATTACTACGAGAGCACAGGGTCCAAAGTCGTTCGAAATGTCATCAGCCTGGAGGTATCGCAGAGTAAATTAGGCAAATTGATCCGCCGACCGAAGATTGTGCGTGATCTTGATTTACAAGATTCAGTTTGGCCGGAAGAGCTCAAGGCAGTTGGGGATTATCCTAAGGTCCAATTCTACTGTCTGATGTCTGTTGCCGATTGCTATACTGATTTCCACATCGATTTCGGCGGCTCATCAGTATACTATCACATCCTGAAGGGCGAGAAAACGTTCTTCTTCATACCACCTAAGGATAAGCACCTGAAAAAATATGAAGAATGGTGCAACTCTCCTGCCCAAGACTCTACCTTCCTTGGGGATCAAACCAAAGAATGTTACCGTGTTGATCTTTTTGAAGGCGATACAATGTTGATTCCCTCGGGCTGGATTCATGCTGTATGGACTCCTAAGGACAGCTTAGTTATCGGAGGTAATTTCTTGACAAGATTAAACTATGGGATGCAGATCAAGATTGCCAAGATTGAAAAGGATACCAAGGTCCCGAGGAAATTCAGGTATCCTTTCTTTCAGAAAATCCAATGGTATGCAGCTTTGAAGTATCTTGAAGATGATCCCATACCTCAAAGCGTACTGGATGCCTTTGCGCAGGATGAGAACTACCGCTTCCATAGAGATCACCCTATCTACTACGAGTTTGGCGAACGGACCAATACAACGCCTCTCGGGTCTCCCTATCACAATTCACGCTTCTATTCGCAGGCCGAGTTGGAGGGCCTACCGGACCTTGCGAAGTATCTTCTTCGGACCGCTTTAATCGCCGGTTCTTACATCGTTGAAGGAGTGACGACGGACAGTAGAAACGCAATCAAGCGATCAATCCCGAAGGGCGTCGGAGACCCGATTGATACTGTTAGAAGGTTCGGAATCTGGGTGGCTTGGAAGCGTGGTAATGAAAAGGCTGCCCAGTGGACACGCCCTGGTGTTGTCGAAAGCAATGCCAAGTTCAGTCTCTCAGAGAAAAAACCAGCTGGGCGACCCAGTCGCCGTTCTGAGCGCAATATGGAAAGTCAACGCATGTACGCAGAGAGACAGGCTGTGCAGAGACCCCTAGGACAATCTCGTGAAGCCTTCAATAGTGTTTCCGGTGGCAGTACCTCGTTGCCACCAAGCACCGCTATCCCTATGCCAGCCATCACTTCGGGTAGCGGAGTGAAAGAAGAGAATACTCCTAAGCCTCGGAACATTCCTCGGGGTTCTGGACTAGGTCCCAAGCGAGTTGCCTGTGATGCTTGTCGCAAACGAAGGATCCGATGCCACCATAAGGATGAACAAAGTGACCTAACGCCAACGAAGCAGCTGGCCGTTGGTGCTTTCACCGGGAGCCAATCATCCCTGGCACACGATGCTGCATCTGCGTTGAGCTCTTTAGCAGCAATTGCATCTGAAGCAGGTCTTCAGGATGGTCATTGCCAAGGGTTGGACCGATTTGAAACAGTTGGCAAGCACGGGTCAACCGTCATGAGTACACCGTATACAGTGACCAATAAGCTCAATGACATTAGTCCTGATGGAATCAATGCAGGGAAGAAGGGACGTAGCAAGGCTTGTGATGATTGTCGAAAGAGCAAGGTATGCAGATCCGCATTCCCAGTTGTCCATGGTATTTATTAACTGGCTGAGGATAGCGCCGGTGTATCCACGATGAATATGGACGAGTTGACCCGGTCAAAGCCCAAGAACGATCAAAACCTCGGGCTACAACCTCTGCTAAGAGGCCCCGGGTCAACGAGGAAGGCTCTACTCCAACAAGCAAGAGACCGAAGCAAGAAAGCACCTCTCCTCTGGCAAGGCCAGCATACCTCAGCCGAGAGGTTGACATACTGGATGCGCAAGGAGCTCTGTCACCCGCCAAGTTTCACAAGATAGGTGACTTTGATACTATCCCACCGCCCAATAGTCCTCATGCGGTCCAAGACCTTTCGCAGCAGTCAGGTTTGGTGGTTGCAGAAAAGGAAGCTCCTGTGGAGCAAACCTCGTATGCATCACCGCCTACATTCCAGACAGACGACGTCGTTGCTAAAGAGGTCAACTCAGCGTCTGTGCCTAAGCCAGCCATTTCGCTTGTATCGCCACCAACTTCGCTGGTGGACGAGACAGATGTCCCTCAGGACCATGCTGATGCTGAAGGAGAGCATTCCGCAATCCTTGAAACGCCAACGTCGAATGCTCGTCATTCCTCTCGTCAACCACGCCATGTAGACCGATATATGCCGGAGGTTCATGTTATCAAGCCGACCAAACCGTCCACGCACACTCCAACTGCACGTCGCTCGTCTTTCGGTGCGCCGAGCACTGGCACGCGTAGGATCACACCAGGTCCATCGTCGGAGTCAAAGAAGCCGTCGTCACGTCCATCGTCATCACATGCGAAGACGCCAACGGCCGATAGGAAAGCTGATCGTCACGCTACTTCGACGTCTCCTGGCCAGTTAGGCAAGCATGCGAGGCGTGATCGAGTGACTGGCATAGACGGGGAGCCAGATGCTGAGAGCATGCGCTTAATCCGTGAGCTCCAAGAACAGGAATTCGGGCTACGAAAACGAGCCACGAGAGCGTAAAGCAGGTGAGGTGGCCTACAGTTGGTTTGGTCTGCGTCGATTGCTCTCATTATGATGGGTTATGAAAATATTTTCTTTCCTTTTTCCTCTTTGTTCCTTTTCTTTTCTTTTTTTTACTCCTATCTAGACTACCTCGATTGGGCAACCACTGAACTTGATATGAACTTGAAAGAACTACACTCGAGTGATTTAATCACCTACTGTCGGGGACTTTGGGGAGTTTGAAAGGGTATGAGTGTGGGACCTCGTTGGGGCTTTGTTATTTGTGTTATTTGATTTGGCGTTTCATCGTCCCCAGGCTGTGATGTTCGTTTGGGGGTTATTTTATTGCATTGGACTTCGCCCTTTCAGCATGCTTTCTTCTTTATTTCTCCATGTTTATTTAATTTGGCGTTCTAAGTGGGTACGTTGATTCCTGATCGGTCTGTTGATCGTTGCTGTTCCCTCCACCCCCCTGTTTCATTTGAATTCTTGCTAGTTCCTTGGTGTCCTGCTCATTGTTTCAATGGAGTCTTGCTAGCGTCGTCGTTTGCCATTTCCATCTTATTCCCTTCACCTTCACCTTTTTCACTATTATCCCTTCTCTATACCGATCTTCTTTGTTCTAGTGTTGCTTGATATAGCTCTGAATATCCCAGCGATTCGTCCGATAATGGATGTATAATCACCAGTCCAGGATTCATTGGATAAGATCTATATACCTCTACATTTCGTCGGATATCTCTGTTCGTAGCGACCGTAAGTGTACCGGATGTCCGATCTATATATCACTGCCTGACATCTGATTTGTATCGCACTCAGAAGACGATATTAGACTCTTGTACGTTTAACTGCCTTGGTTGACGCCCTTGTGATGATGCCTATGCTGCTGACTTCTCCAAGTATGGTAAGCAGGAAACACCAGCTAAGTGACAATCGTGTAAAATACATAGGTCGTAGGAGAGTAGAACCGTCTTACGATGTTGGTCTTGGGAGCTAGTGTGTAGATCGAATAAATGAAAGGGGCCTCATCTATTTGTTCCTTTATCGACTCATATGTTCATCTAGTACCAGCTTGCTTTCTGTGCAAGAAGCTCAGAAATAGAAAACATCGGTAACTCCGTCATATGTAGCAGTAGTGTATTCATCACCCATTATAATTCGTGAGCTTTATACCCTCAACCCCCAAATCTAGGGTCAGTAGGATTAGATATAGTAAAGTAGATGGGGTATATCCTATGACACAACGTGGCACAACCGAAGAAAAAGACGAAGGAGTGTACCAAGCATTCAAAATGAGGGTCACCCGAGAGTCCTTTAATTGTGGCTTTTCGAGTCGGTACTGACCCATCGCTTGGCTCGTTTGCGTTCCCCAATGTAGTCCTTGATCACGCAGGGTTCCTCATCGGGCCCTTGACAGACCTTGTGACGATCTAAATGTTTGAATCGAGGGCCAAGAGGTCCGTTTACATAATGATATTGACCTGCGAAGCGATACTGTCGGTGGTCTCCTAGAGGGTAGAATTTATCGCCCCAATGACCATTGTAGTAAAACCACCCTGTGGGCGAATCTGGGCTGGAAGTAGACGCAAGAAAAGCATCATTGTCATAATCGTACGTATATGAGTGAGAGTTTAAAAGAGGATCCCACAGCGGGCCGCGGTCCGTCTGATCGTGAAGGAGACCCCACGGTAAGATATAGTCATGGATACCAGGGGTTGCATACATCGCGTGGGTACCCATCGCCGAGTAGATCACAGGCTGGTGGTTTCTATTAGCGCCAAACCTAATGCATATATTCACTTGATTGGACTTACTCGATCTCCAATCTTTTCGACGGCTTCATAGCTATATGCTTCACCTGCGCTATGTGCACTGAAGAAGAGCGCCTTGGGTTTGCCATAGTGGAATCGTACGAGACAGTGTTCCCAGTCGCCGACATGGTTTCCAAATCGCACGTTCAAAACTACATTTCCCAGGTTGAAGCTGTAGAAATAGAACCAAAAAGCGTCAATGATGCCGTTTCCTTTGTCCATTACGATGAGTACAGCCGGCGCGTCGCTGTGGCCCCCAGCCTGCTCCATGCGGATTGGCTCCCCACCGTATCTTTTGCGAAGTTCGTCCCGAACCCGTGTATCTTCTATGTCTAGATAGCCGAGCTTATCTGGCGTTATATAGCCTTCTCCGTCCTGCGGGGATTGACTTGCATCGTACCACTTAACTCTTTCACTCGGAGTATCATCCGGGATATCACCATCAATTCGACCGTCCCAATCAGCCCAAGACTGCAGCACACCTCCATCCTCCGGTGGATCGGGTATGTTTTTCTCACCTTCCATCCAAGGCGGGCGATCTTCAACATTGTCATTGCTCGTTAGAAAGATGTAGTGCCCTTCTTGGAACTGATTCAGCAGGTCGAGATCCTGTAGAGTGGGATGATCTCGTTGTGACCGAATAGGTGTATAGTTTAACATTGGAGTTGTGTGATAGAGATGCTCGGCAATGTCGCCAGGCCAGAATTGCTCGCCTGAAAATAGATGGACGAGAGGTGCATGTCGGAAGACGTAGTCTGGAATTTCTCTACGAGACCTTTCAAATTGGTCATACTCGGCGCTGTTGGAATGGTTGTCCCCGTTCGACCAAAACGCCCTCCAAGAAGTAAGATTAGACTCCTCTGGTGACGGTGGCTCCGTCGCAAGCTTGTGTTGGCCGAAGCGGGGACGGGCAGCGCGGTAATGCGCGGTACCACAAAGCCCTAGCCACCGACAAGCTTTCCGGTCAAACCATGAACGAGATGAAGCGATCCAGCGGGCCTCGTCCTTATCTTCCGCAGACCAGATAAAAACCGAGGGATTCACGGCTCGGATCAAGCTGTTGATTGAAATGTACGCGATCAGCGACCAAAGAACGACAATTACAGCGGTAGTTCTTTGCACCATCTGCTGGCAGAAGTTGGGCCGAGCCGGGAGGTCGGAAGAGTGAGAAAGTGATAAATTGCGAAAAGCAACCCCGACCTCGTCAGAATGGGTAGTGGCGGTAGCCGTTGAAGGTAAAATAGTGGCAATGGTGGTGATAATAGAATCTCTAGTCGCAATGGCACCACCACTAGGCTGAGGTAAGGCCGCGATGCTCAAGGTGGAGTCCTCGGAGGGATATAAAGAAAGTAAGGAACGGGGAGCATGAGACCACGCGGTGACGGGACTATGGCAGACAAGTACCAAGAGAGGGAAGCAATAGAGCCAGGCAGCCAGGCCCCGCGTTCGAGACGGAGGGTAAGGAAGGGACACTATAAAGGAAGCGCATAGGCATTGTTCCGTCAGCAATGGTCGAGAACAGCAGAGCGGGAACTAATAACAGTATGACTACCCAAAACAGTAAAAGACCCCGTTAATCAGAGCGAGAAGAAGTAAAATTGGAAATAATCGGCACTAAGACAGTGAAAGATCAAAAGATAGGCAGACAGACCGGGAATAACGGAAGGGCATTAGATAATGGATGATCAGTAACACGCGAAAGCATGGAAGATGACGGATGCATCTTGAGACCTGCTAAGCTCCCTTGCTTCCGCGCGATGCCGAATCGTTTGTCAATAAGGAAACGGGGACGGAAAAGACGGAAGCGGATTCGCAACAGGTATGTACAATACATACAGTACATGACAAATGATTCGACCAGCGCAGTAAAGAGTGAAGCTAGTCGTGTAAAATAGGTACAGTACTTACTTGGCATGATGTGAAATGGAGACAACAAACAGTACTTAAGGCTGAATGGGCGGAGACAATGAGGTCATAGATTGAGTGAGTGACCTTGGTACTATACTAATCATATCTGAGTAGTACTGTACCTAAGTCATTGGTAAACAAGGCAACTATGGAAAGGGAGTAACTATCGAGATATGTATGTACTAGGGTTAGCAAAAAAGAAAGAGAGACGAGAAGAAAGAGAGATGGGTGATGATGAATGATGTGATACGTATGAAAATAGATTTATGGTTATATAGATAATAGCCAAGTAAATAGTTAGTATGATTGATTACATACAATTCTGCAGTCACCGCCTCCTTTATATCGCTAGGCTAGACTAGACTAGACTAAAAAGAGGCTTAATTGAACTTTACGTCCGTTTCTGCCCTTCTCATGTCACACCAAAATTACCCTTTTGCTTCCATGCAGCTCATACAGTTAGTCCTCATTTATGCTAATGATCTACTGGCCGGGTCCGGGAAGAATTACTTAACCTTAGTCCCACCATGCAGCTTCACACGGAATCAATGTTGGCCCTAGATCCTGCCATGCTGGTGGACACAGCGTTACCAGATGAGGACTCCGACTATGAGTACGAGTATGATGAGCATGAGACCGAGGTACGCACCGATCCAATTCCTTGTCGCAATCATTTTGCATATCTCGTACAGACACCTCAGTTTGTGTTCAACTGACTGAAAGTTGCCCATAGACCTTCTATCTTAACCTCGACCTTACCTCCTCTCATGGTCCCATTCGGCCCCCTCGACGCTGCCACGACCCCGCGACAGACTCCTCATCAGTGGCAGCTACACCGGGTCTATCATCTGCCTCTGCTCCTCCTTTCCCAAGTGATGATAATGAGTCGGCGCTAGCTAGCACCGAGTTTGACAATAGCACCGCGGAGCGGGTGCAGATTCTGGGTCTTCACACCAGCAATCCCATCATCTCGTACCAAAATCAGGTCTTCAGCTGTTCCTGGACCGACCAACTTGGCACTGAGTTACTCTTCACTCGGCCTGAGCTGGAACCTCAACCTGGAGTAGAATCCGAAGCGGCAGCTTCACAAGTTGTTCCGTTAAAACATGGCAAATACTTCAACCTAATTGCCGCTAACAGTGTCAAGATACTGGGTCGTAGGGCGAACCTCATCTCCAGTGCGAGTCCTATTCAACATTCACTCTACCCAGATAGTGCACTGGACATGACAGTAGGAACCGTCACTCGCAGAGCGGGACCTCAAACCAACCAGGCCCGATTTTTGGAGCGACTGGGGAGTATCAAACAAGCTAGGGGAGAGAAGGATACTGTACGGACCGTGTTCAGCCTAAAACGGGCTCAAAATCTTGAGGAGCGCTTGCGTGGCTGGGCACGGACTGAAGAACAACTAGCACAGATTCAGCAGCTTAATGATGCCGCCCTTCAGGGACATCCCGATGCCATAGCAGAACTAGAGAATATTTACAATCAACTTGGAACTCACGATGCATCGTCGGTTGAACCTCCATTTTAACTGCATTGAGAAGACCCTTAAGTGGTCGTCACTCGAACCCTGCAAAGGAGAAGTCAACCATAGTGCACTCAAAATGTTATTACCTATCACATGACTAAAAGCGAGGCTTTTGGGATACATGGATGCTCATAGCTGATATAACCTGCTAGCGCCTTTTGGCCAATTCTGCATGATAAGTTGATCATGGATACAGTCCTGTTTCCCTAGGTATGTACAGCGTGAACATAGAAATAATTAATCGTCCACTAATATGTATTCATCTTATACAATCATCTACTCCGTTCTATAAACACATTGAACACCTCGGGCCCTGGCTCGGAGTCTTCTATGTACGGAGTACAGTGTGAACCCTTTTGTATCAGTTCTAGGCAATAATAGTTCATTTGGTTGTCCTTTGATAACCATCTCCACAGGTCCAAAAAAAAAGACAAATAAAAGCAAAGGAAAAACAACCGTCTCGCCAAGCCTTACTCCGAGGCCAGTGGTTGAGTATTTGGAGCGGTTAGGGTGCATGCTTGTCACGACGATGAAACAGAAAGGGCGGGGAATACTCGAAGGACGGTCGCATAGAGATCACTGTAGACTTGTGGGTAAATGGGGTATGTCTGGTAAATAAACGTTATGGGGAAACGAACATGGAAAGGAAAGGAGACAAGCGAATAACTCGGTCAACTTATGGGGTTGGCTCAGCAAGCATTCGCTCAATCTTACGTGGCTTAGGCTCTTTCTGGACGTCTTTAGCAGCATTTCTATCAGACTCTAGAGTTGACGATTTCCATTCTATCTTCTATTCGTCCATCGACATCTCAATAAAGTATCAATCCCTTTTATCTCCTTCAATTTTCTTTTCTTCTTCTATTCTTTTCTCTATTTCTTTAGTCCTATCCATCGATATTGATTCAGGTCAGGCAGAAGTCCCAATAGACAGGACAGTTCAATAGCACTTGTCTTATGGCTACTTAGCATAATTTTATTTGTCTACAGGTTTTATGTCTCAGTCTTTATTCGAAGACCTCGTCCACAGATTTAGTCTAGTGGTATTCACTTTACTCATACTGCTACTCGTGAACAATTTATCTACTCTATTTTTTGTCTTATATCGTTACCTCGTTATCCTGCCAAGCCTTATATAGAAAGGCATTATGATTGGATATCACAGTATTTTGGAGCTGAGGTATTATAGTTGCCTTTATTTATCTTTTTCACCTATTATTATCTTAACAGGAGAATATATCCTACAATAATTCTTGTTTCTACTCCAGGGAGGTGGGGATTTTCAACCCAAGGCATCAATCCAACTCCCAGCTTTGTCAAGTCTATGATTGATCCTCATAACATATAATTAGTATATAGCATATTGATGTTAGAGATAGATATATACACGCTACTCGCTGCACGTAAGGTGATTAGCAGAGACTTGTAGTTTAATTATATTGTAGTAGTTAGTAATTCAACTCCCTTGATTCTTGTGGAAGGACATTTTGTGTCACGGGTAAGCCTTAGGCTTCAGGCCCCGATGGCAAGTTGCGATACTATATATACCGCGCCTGGGAAATCAACTCCGATCCGAGTTGATCATAGTGGATCTTTTTACCTAGTGGGAAGATCCTACGTATTGAATTGCTAATCCCAGGAGTAATCCTTTACATTTTGTTGGGCAGAGGTATAATTTCTTGACTCTTTTGCCATGTAAGATGTAATTCAAGGTCCAGCACCTAGTGCCAGATCTAATCATACACGGTTAAATATGCATTATCCCAGAAGTACTTTACCTGAAAAATTGATTGCAGTCTGTGTCGCACAGCTGTTTCTTTTTAGGTATACATCATTAGGCAGAACCGCATAGGTTTATTAGCATATTTTACTGCCTGTATTTAGAAAATAGCATGACGTTAATCGTTGGTGCATCCGGATGGCAGGATTCCAGCCGTGTATCTTAAAATCTGTGATATTGCCTAAGGTAGAGATGTAGGAACCATATCTATTAGTGGATTTCCTCATTTCATTGTAGGTATATACACAAGACTAGGTCCTAACTTAGCACGACTCCTTACCTATCATTTTTATGTTATAGTACATAAGACCCAATCAAAGACTGTTATTGACAAGAACATCTAATATGTTATTCAACCTCAAGGCTTTTTTATATCTGTTATTGGTTCTTAAGTCAACTAGTAGCCTGTTCAACTTCCACCGCGTCCTTCTATTCGTATCATTCAAACAGACGTCCGGGCTTTTGAGATTACACTCTTCCAAATAATTCTGAGCATTGTACGCGTTGGTCCATGAGAAATCGCCATATTCAAACTATGTATTATGGATATGAGTTTGCCGGTGTTAATAGACTAATCCCTGACCTGGCTGTATTCCCCCAGTTAAAGCCACTCATAAATACTAATAGAAGAGACCCACCAGGTTCTCTGTCAGCCAGTTTGTTCCTTGTGTAAGTCGCAATTAATTCAAAGTCCGTCAGAAGATGTTCAATTCTCTACTCGGTACAATTAGCAACGTCATTGTATAGCCGAAAATTCCTAGACTATCCTGAACCTTTAACGAATCGGCCGCGTTGTGACAAAATGTTGGAGAAGTGGGAAGGGCTTTTGGGAATCACCTCATACTGCCTCTTGCATTGTGTAGGTAGGTGGAGATCCACAACAGATTCCGGATATCGCAGTTGGAGAGATTTTAATGAATGGGACAGTCCAAGTCAACCCCACCTTCATTCCCGGCAGTGGCTTAGCAATGTACGTGGGCAAGATTTTTATGGGGTAATAGCATGGGGTAGAACTGAGCCATTTTAATAATGAGAAAGGGACCTTGAAGGTTATGGGGGTTCTCATGGAGTTGGATTGGACTGTGCGGATCCCCCCTCCCCGCAACTCACTAATACTGGGTAGGTCATTCATCCAGGTACGGATCATGGTTGGGGTCGACCCGGCTCACCCCGCAGTATTGTGAAAAATTCTACTGTAATTAACTCATAACCTGTGACTTCATATGGGGTACTCCATATTCATAGCACACATTTGTATGCTCCTTTTTCCGTCTTCTAAGGTCCCGTGATCAGATTCTATAACGTCTCCATTCTTCTTTCCGTTCACCCTACCACGTAAGCATAAATGTATATATATCGTATAGAGAGGTAGACATGGCAGGTAAACAGGTATATACTCCGAAAGGCACAAGGTTCATCCTGCACTGCACAGTCTGGACGCAGAATATTAGTTACGAAATTGCGGCATTTTCTGAATTAGTTATTACACAGAGAAATATGCAGATACAATTACATGCGACAGCCGTCGACGATGATTTGCAGGTCACTAGCCACCATGACACACCAAATTGCCCTTTCCAGATATACAGCCCTACTAAGTGGAGAGTTTGATGAATCCACAAGACCCGGTCCAAAGCGTCTCTGTCAGCTGACTAACCTGTCGCCATTAAGACATATCTGCTTCTTATCATCAACCCAATATGAACTTGGGTAGTACATAGTTGCTATCTTGAAACTATTGATAGTTCTTAACTAACCTTTTTATCTCAGGCAATGTCTTTTTCTTTCCAACCACTCAGTATAACAAATGCCAGGATACTACTAGGTAGTGATGCCTAAGGCACACACTAGCCGAGCCACATGGAGATGTTGAGGCAATTTTTTTTCCAATTTTAGCCTTTGCATAGCCAATCACATATTTCCAATGCGGTATTTTTTTTTGCCTCATTTGCGCTATTATGGCGCTAACACCGAAAAGGGATAAGAGCCCCCCCAAACTTGGCAAAATCTTTTCAGTACAATACTTAGGTACTAAAAATACACCAAAAATCGAGGGATAAAAGGAGCAGGGAATATTAGAATGAGTAGAGACTCAAGTACAAGAGCATGTATACCAACTTATATATACAAAGATCTAATTACATATCCTGAAGCAAAATACAAAGGGCGGCAGAAAAGAAAGAATGCAAAACAGGGGCTGTCAGTTAGGACAAATGTGGAGGATACATGTAGGACCAGTGACCACACCGCATTGGGCCATCATTCATCCCGATCCACATATACTAATCCACTCTGATACAAGGATGGCGACAGATCAACAATTCGAGACTCATCCATATTACAACCCACTCGTTCCAGGACTGACTTGACTGCCCCGGACCGGTCCCCGTGCCTGGCCGATCGCATAGCGCCGGGAATGATCTCAGCAATATTTAGGGACTTATAAGGACTCGAAGCCCGCTGTGGTTTTCGTGAGGTTTTGCTTGTACATGAGATCATATAAGACATATTCTCCTTCTTCCTTCTCTTCTCCCTTTCCACATTATTGGCAGTCCCATTCCGGTGACGTGTCGATTGCATGGCTTATACGAAGAAGTAGAGTGACTGCTTGTTTCCCCCGTTCACAATTCTCCGATAAGCTTCTATACTGAAGGGGCTGTTCTTGTTATCATCTTTGGTTAAATAAAACCCAAAATTTAAACAAGGAAAAAGCAAGAAAAAGAATAAAAATAGATTGCTGTTGTCTTGAGGTATGTCCATCTTGAAATTACCGCTTTTATCATAACGGGTCTCTAAACCCTACCGTTCGTATCTCTCCAAACCCGCCCCCCACTCCAATCTTTAGAGATTCTGCGCCACAGCCTGCCCATGACTAACTTATCCTTTCTACACTTCAGCAGCTTGTTATAATTCTTTTCAATTGGACCCCTCTCTGACTAGAGTTGCTTTTCTCTTTTACATTATGGTGTCTTCTACTACTTCGTCATCCCCGCAGCCAGACGGGTATCTCAATGGCGCCCACACTCTTCCTGTGCGCCCAGGTCCCAAGCTCTACGGCAGCAACGATGGCGCCCAATCCGGCGCTGGAACCCCCATTGGGTTCCAGAGGCATCCTCACAACAAGCTCCTTGATAATGTAGCAGGTTCGAGTGTTCGCCAACCATCGCCTCAGCCTACTCATCTAGGATTTCCCGGCGGTGGTTTGCATCGAGTCTTGTCAGAGGAGGATCCAGGCTATATTGCTGCCAAATTTGAAGGAAAAGAGAAACAGATGGAACAGGGTAAGTCCTCTCTCCTGCCAATCGCTACTTTACGCTTTGGGGCTCTCTTGTCTGACAGTATTTCTTAGTCATGGACCAGCTGGAAAGCAAAGGCTTTATTCCCACCGAATTTGTTGCCGGAGAAGCCGAATGGTTTTACAATCAACTTGGAATCGATGACACGTATTTTCAAACCGAGACTGTCGATGCCATTGTCACACAGATTCTTTCTCTTTATGCTGCCAAGGTTGCAGCTTACGCCCGTGATGATAAGAAGCTTGAGATACGTTTAGACAAGGAAGCCGAAGATCATGCAGTTTACATCGATACAAGCAAGCCCGGCGTTACGACGGTGGATGGCCCCCGATATGAGCAGAGAATTGAGAAGAAATACGTGAATGGCTCTACACCTAGTAGTAGCTATCGTGTTGAGACCTTCCGTTCACCAACCCCGATCCCTGGGGACGATGGCCAGCAACTCCGTTGCTACTTTGTGTACAAGTGCCAATTCGTCAACCCTAACCCGGGTCCGAACGAAACGAACATCGATATTATTGGTGAAAAAAGATTCTTGCAAAAGGCAACGGCCAACACCAAAGCCATTTACCAAGAAATTATTACCAATGCCGTTAATCGGTCCGGTCCTGTTATTGAGATGTTTGAGATCGAGAAGAGTCGCGAAAAGAGGCTGGTTATCGCTTACCGCCAGGGCTCTGCTATGGGTCTATTCAGCGCCCTTTCTGATCTATACCACTACTACCGTCTAACAAGCTCCCGTAAATATCTGGAGAACTTCTCTAACGGCATCACGGTCATCTCTCTCTACCTTCGCCCACTAAAAGATGCAGAAATTGCCGCCAAGTATCCCCCAATTGAGGCGGCCATTCACCAGATCATTAAGGAGGTCTCTCTTCTGTACTGCATCCCCCAGAACAGATTCCAGCATCACTTTGCGGTCGGCCGTCTCAGCTTGCAGGAGACCATCTATGCCCACTGTGCGTGGGTATTCGTGCAGCAGTTTCTTAATCGCCTAGGATCTGAATACATCTCTCTAACCGACCTTCTGGACTCCAATAACAGCGTTCACGCAGAACTGTTAGCGAAGATCAAGAAGAGGCTGCGTACCGAGACTTTCACGTCAGATTATATCTCAGAGATTGTTAACAAGTACCCGGAATTAATCCACAAGCTGTATTTGGATTTTGCGAACACCCATTACGTACAAACTCGCGGCCCCGCCGAGGACGATTTTCTTCCAACCCTAAGCTACCTGCGCCTCCAGGTTGACGAAGTCCTTGATGGCGCGAAGTTGAAACAACTCATCTCGAGCACCGCGGCCAACGAGCATGACGAGATGGTCATGAGCGCTTTCCGTGTATTCAACGCCTCCATCCTCAAGACAAACTTCTTCACACCCACTAAGGTGGCACTCAGCTTCCGACTCAATCCTGATTTCCTGCCGGAGCACGAGTACCCTCAGCGTCTCTATGGCATGTTTTTAGTCATCAGCTCAGAATTCCGAGGCTTCCATCTGCGGTTCCGTGACATTTCCCGTGGTGGTATCCGTATCGTTAAGAGTAGGAATAAGGAATCCTACAGCATTAACGCCCGCTCGCTGTTCGATGAGAATTACAATTTAGCCAACACCCAACAGCGCAAGAACAAAGACATCCCCGAAGGTGGTGCGAAGGGTGTGATTCTTTTAGATGTAAACCATCAGGACAAAGCTGCTGTCGCTTTTGAGAAGTATATTGACAGCATCCTCGACCTTCTGCTACCTCCTGTCAGCCCAGGCATCAAAGACCCAATTGTTGACCTGCATGGAAAAGACGAGATTCTCTTTATGGGGCCCGATGAGAACACGGCCGAGTTAGTGGACTGGGCTACCGAGCATGCAAGGAACCGTGGCGCTCCCTGGTGGAAGTCGTTTTTCACAGGCAAGAGTCCCAAGCTGGGTGGTATCCCCCATGATACTTACGGCATGACAACCTTGTCCGTCCGCCAATATGTTCTTGGTATCTACCGCAAGCTGAAGATCGACCCATCTACGGTCCGGAAGCTGCAAACCGGTGGACCCGACGGTGACCTGGGATCAAATGAGATCCTTCTTGCCAACGAAAAATATACTGCAATCGTTGATGGATCCGGTGTCATTGTTGATCCCAGAGGTCTAGATCATGAGGAGCTGGTTCGACTGGCCAAAAAGCGCGTGACTATCTCCGAATTTGACTTGTCGAAACTATCTCCGGAGGGCTATCGAGTTCTAGTAGATGAGAGCAACGTAAAGTTACCGAACGGCGAGCTTATTCATAACGGAATGACTTTCCGCAACACTTTCCATTTGCGCCGAGAGCTGCCTTACGATGTCTTTGTTCCTTGCGGTGGACGACCGGAGTCTATTGATCTTTCCACTGTTGGAAAGCTTATTCAGAATGGCAAATCCACCATCCCTTACATTGTTGAGGGTGCCAATCTATTTATCACACAAGACAGCAAGCTGCGACTCGAGAGGGCTGGCTGCATTTTGTTCAAGGACGCATCAGCGAATAAGGGTGGTGTGACATCATCGTCATTAGAGGTTCTTGCGTCATTGAGTCTCAATGACGAGGAGTTCGTGGAGAATATGTGTGTTCGCGAGGATGGCAGCGTTCCCACGTTTTACAAGGACTACGTCAAGCAGGTCCAGGAGGTCATCAAGCACAATGCCACCCTCGAATTCGAAGCCATATGGCGTGAACATGAGCAAACCGGCCTACTCCGAAGCGTTCTCAGTGATCGCCTCAGTTTGGCTATCACCAAGCTTGATGAGGAGTTGCAGGAGACCGAGCTGTGGGATAATGTTGAACTTCGCCGCTCAGTGCTCAGCGATGCTCTACCAAAGCTCCTTTTGGACAAGACTGGCCTTGATACAATCCTACAACGGGTAAGCTTCATCTATCTTCCCAATTCGGTATCGGCTCTGAAACTAACGATATGAGTAGGTCCCTGAAAACTACCTGCGGGCCATCTTTGGCAGCTACCTCGCAAGTCGGTTTGTATACGAGTATGGCAGCAGCCCTAGCCAGTTCTCCTTCTTTGACTTGTATGTTACACCGGCTCCCCCAGTCAAAAGCCACTGGTCCACTCTGCTAACCATAATTCTAGCATGACTAAGCGACTTTCTAAGATTGGGGCGTAACGTAGTTTAGACAGATGACAACGATGTTCCTCACTTATGATATTGCATCTTCCGGGTTTATACATAACTGCACATGAGCAGTGTTACAGGTACTAATTATGGCAATTTTGTTCATCGCGTGGATGGGATACAAAAAAAAAAGTCACGAGTAATGAAGATTTAATACATCCTTCTGTTTCTTTCTGATTTTGTAGATTTATTTGCAAGTCAAGTATCTATCCCACTCCACAGTCAATGGCACAATTAGGTTCCGCTGCTTTCCTTGCACATGACAAAAGCGATCTCCTTCAGTCTAGGTCTTGTACTACAGAGTTTCACAAACCACTTGGGATTTATAGATTTTGAAGAAAGCTGGCGCACTCTACCTCTGGATTTATTATTATCGTTTTGAATACGGGTTTGAACAACCCCCGGGGGATATTGTTAAGAGCCCATGTACTGTGATATGGTCGCTGATTACTTGGTATGGAGAGGCCGTTTTATGAGCTAGCACCCGTTTGAGATTCTTTCTAAGCGTACCCCCGATATCACTGATAAACCCGTAATACCTCGGGCATGTTACTAAATTCCCGCTATTTGAACGTATTTTTTTTTTCTAAACGTTTGGCGCGGATTGCAACCCCGTCTCCGGACCACGTAGCAGCTTCTATCTCAATCGCCACCCCATCGAGCCCATTAGAGCATGCTTAACATGAATTGAAGGATGATGCATGCAAATAGAGGTTTTGAGGGAAGTGGGATAAGAATGGAGGGGAGGGAAAGCGCGGGGACGTGACTGCATTTTCGCTGGCGATAATTCTTAGAACACTCGACATGTAGGGAAAACCGGTCTATGCAAGAGGATGCACTCGTAGTGTCTCGATATTCCTCCTCTTTTGCCAGGGAGATCACGCCTAAATGGTTATGTTACTAATAAAACGTTATTGGGTATATATTCCGAGGTTAGACGACGATTTCGTAGCCGGTGATGTTGAACCTCAACCCCTCCTCTTCCTCCGTGCGTTCGATCTCGTTGAGTTGGGCCCAAAGTTCAGGGTATTTCTCCTTGGCCCATTTCTCCACCTCATCTTTCCAATATTGATATGGGACCGCGTTGTAGAGAAGGCCAATCCTGGAACCTGTCAACAATCATACCTACCGCTAAAGAAAAACTAAAAAAAGAAAAGAGACCAAAACTTACGAGTTATGATTGGGCATGTACCCTGTTTCACTGTGCATCTTGTCTATAGCCTCTATGGCGAGGTCAAACTCACATTGCGCAGCGAGAGCTTCGACATATGCCATGTACAGCCGGCGATCCACTTCGATTTCGAGAAGTTTAACCTTCTCCATCATCTTAATTGCCTCTTGTGCACCATTGTGGTGTTTTTCGCATAACTTGAAAAAGATAGCCACTGTCTTATGCGTGGGCCCTTCGTCCGACTGAAGGATTTGGCGGAACACTTCCATACTCTTCTCGGGCATGTTGCAGGCGGCATAAGCGTGCATTAGCCCATTTAGCAGCTTGGTGTTAAGGTCGACCTCGACATCTAGTTTGAGCATGTTGTGAACTAGCACTAAATGTTCTGTGTCGTGCGTTCGAGCTATCCACCGGAAGCATTTGGTATAGGTGTCTGGCTTTGGACGGCGAGCAAAGTCCTCGGCCTGCCGCATGTGCCCGAATATTAGGTATGCCAGGTCACTTCGGTTTCTCTTGTAGAATGCTGTCATGATCTCGGTTCGAGTGCTAACGCTTGTTTCGGGGAACGCAAGCTGCAATAATCCGTATGCCTCCCAAGCGCCTGCGCTATCTTGGCTCAGGTCTAAGATAAACTTGGTGAGCGCTTTTCGTATTTTCGATCTTCCTTCGTCATCATATGAGGCCAGGCGAGGTCGAAGGAGATCCGACACTCCCTCCCAGTCACGACGATAGATTAACATATGTGTTAGTGCTGCCAGCGTCTCCGGCTCTAAGTGAACGTTGTTCTCGAATAATGGGTCAAGAACAGATGAAATCTGATCGAACAGAGCATCTCCCTGCCCCGACAGACAAATCATTGTTATCAGCTTGTTCATCAGCGGCATGTTCTCAATAGCTATATCGTTAATATCATGCAAGTCCTGAACATGGCTTAGTGTTCTTTCCACATCGCCGGCTTGAATATAGGATTCGAGTTTCAACAAACGCGATTGAATGTTGGAATGCAGACCCCAGTGGGAGATTAAGGCAGCATACTCAGCAGACAATTGAGGATTATTGATAAAATTGGCATACGCAATCAAGTTGTTCACACATTCAATCGTGAGGGATGACTTCGCTTCTGGGTTAGTTTTGATCAGAGTCCTGACTTTTTCCGTGATTGCAGATGCATCTTTGCCATGGGCCGCTTCCCAAAGCAGCGTAATGCCCATGGTCTCTGTGATTGGTCTCTGCGAGAGTGACTTAAAGATAGGTTCCGCCCATGCCATTTCAGAATGCAGAATTGCATATTTGATCACAGCTTCTTTCGTAGCCAAAGTAGGCTGCCTACCATCAAACAAAGGGCACTCATACATTATCTTGACAGCAGCCAGGAGATCATGATCAATGAGGACTCTGAGCACCTCTTGGTGGGAGGCGGGGTCGAATTTTACGCCATAGTCATGAAGACTCTCGGTTGTTCGTCTGAGGAGACGCCTATCTCCATTGATCGCGAATCCCTTCAAGACCGTAAGCCAAGGAGAGGGGTTAGTTTTGCAGAGCCTGTTCCAAAACTTCTCGACAACATGCCGTGCTCCTTCAGGGTTGCCATTCAGCGCCTGGATATTAATATAGGCAATGAGTGCGGGTCGGCCTATATGGTTGGCTCCATAACCATGGTCTGCGCAAAGTTCCAGAAACACGTAGCGGGCTAATCTTTGAATGACTTCGCGAGATTCCGGTAGGCACCTCGCGAGGGATAGGACGAACAGGACATTCTCCAAGTTCTCGGTAGAAAAGGCTAATTGCCAATCTTCGGACTCCAAGTCGCTCTCGTTAGCTCGCAAGTGTTTCCAAGTCACAAGGAGCAGGCGAGCCTGAAAACCCGTAATGACCCCCGGAATAACCGCTCGTGCCACAAAGAAATCTTGAAAGGCCTTCGCGAGAACACTATTTGCAGGCCCTCTACTTTTATCACGCATCGCCCTCATCAAGTCGCTCATTGGCTTTAAACCGGCTTCCGATGGCAGAGTCGCGGGTTGAGGAGTCGCTGACGGTCCCACATTACGAGCGAAAAACCCACGTCGCTGGAGGTGATAGAACCTAGAAAAGATTGGCCCTTGGGATCGATAAGTTCGGAGGGTATGTAGTAATCGATGTCGACATTGTGAGGACGAGAGCGGCTCATTGTTCAGAATAGCCCGGAAGACCCTTCTAGTGAGGTGAGCTTGCATGATGGTAAAGTGAGACTGTTAAAAAAAAAGTAAAAGTGCTAACGAGATAGTATTCTGTCCCTTTCGAGCTGGAACACTGCTACTAGAGGTTAAGCAACGATTACCAATCAAGTATGTACCATGCTTTTTGAATAAAAATGTATCAAATAGAACAATTCTAGCAATAGACAGTACTATAGAGTGAAAGGTATGAGGCGGAGTTCTGGAGAAAGATGGTTCCTTGCGGCTCTTAGCGCGCCCCTAGAAAAGATAAATGTTAAATCCGATTTATTTCCCTTATGCGCTCCACTTCTGCGAAACCCCCGACCATCTCATTCTGTTTCTTGCTCGAATTGACGCTCCTCAATTGTTCTGGTAGATCGTCAAACTGTGCTTGAAGATGGCAGTTCATCTGTTTTCCTGGTCTCCTTTGCGCAGCTTCGGGTCGACCATGAGCTCCATGGTTGCAAGTCGGTGGAATTCGACTCTTGCGACAGATGCCGCTGCTCACCAACGTACTGCCAGCGTCAACCAAAGTACGTGATTATCGTCGAAATGTGGCTACTTGTGTTTTTCTCGGAGCCAAGTACTTATCAACACATTACTTCCTTGACTGGCGCTGACTGCCCCGAAAATAGGACCAAGAGTATTCAGCCGCCGTCGTATTCCGAACCGCCAAAGATTCATCGAGGACCAAAAGACGCAAGGAGAGAGTCGGATACTAGAAAAATACCAGACCCGTGACTGGCGGGCGGGCGATATTTACACACCCCATGATCTTAGCGCTGCCGAAATGAAGAAATGGAGGAAGCGCTACAGTCCGGCCACAGATGCTTTTGATTCTCTGAATATGAACCCTTTAGACTTGTACAAGGTAAGTGCGGCTATTCCCCGAACAAGAGTAGTGTTAACCCAATCTACGCTATCACAGAACCTTTCGATCATGTCCGAGTATATCACCCCGATGGGGCGTATAAAGCATAGAAACACGACTGGCCTACGACCTGTCAACCAACGAAAAATTGCAAAGGCTATCCGAAGGGCCATCGGTCTCGGTCTGATGCCTAGTGTTCATAGACATCCAGAGATTCTTGCGGCGGAACTGAAGGCGAAGGTAGATGGAAGCAGCATCTTTTAATGGAGTTATGGCATGCCAACGTTGCACTTTTATGCAGATCCAGGGGAGGGTGGGAGATCTGACTGCAATTTTTCCTCGAAGACCCTCACTTTAGAGCCAGACATTGTACTACTACATTCAAATAAAATCACTACTTGGGATTGGAATTGTAATTTACGTAGCACAATTTGCTCGATGGTAAAACTAACCCCTCCTCTTCTCCCTGGATAGTCTGTTCGAGAATCTTAGCATTGGGGGTTGAGGCGGGGAGGGGGGTTTAAGGCTTCTTTGCCTGGATATAAGAACAAGGCACAAGATGTTCCGTCCGTGGCTCAAATGTTCCCCACCGATAAATACGTCAACCAGCCGATTTCCAGGCATGTAAACATCGTCTACGCTCCCCTACCCTCCCCACAGTCATTTGCCCTTCCTTCTGCTGCCAATACTGTCTGCTGGTACAGTCATGTCAATTAAAAACGGTCAAATCATCACCTCCCCTTTTCTATACATTTAACTGACACCTACTAGAATCCATTTGGGCCGCCAGCCCTTCTACTACCAGGGGTCAGCCCGCTCATCTCTCATCAGATGCCAAAGGCGAACGGCTTGCTTATGCGGTAAGCATAAGGGATCCAACCTTTATTTAAAACATGCCTGAAGCTGTTGGCTAACGAGAAATGAGTCTTAGACAAATAAATCCATCTTTTTGCGTTCAATCGATAACCCTGCTATCGCGAGGCAGTACACCGAACACAAAGCGCAGACTACGGTCGCACGCTTCTCACCGTCTGGATTCTATGTCGCTAGCGGTGATGCCGCTGGTTTAGTTCGAGTTTGGGACTGCGTCGGTGAAGGAATAACAAAGGGGGAGTACAGTATTGTCAATGGCAGAATCAATGATCTCGCTTGGGATGGTGATTCGCAGCGTATTATCGCCGTAGGCGATGGGAAGCAACGATATGGCCACTGTATTACCTGGGATAGTGGGAATACTGTCGGGGAAATTTACGGTCATACCCAACAGATCAACTCCGTCTCAATCAGGCAGCAGCGGCCTCTGCGAGCTGCTGCCGCCGGTGACGACAAGAGCCTAGTCTTCTACCACGGAGCGCCCTTCAAGTTCAATACGGGTATCCGTGACAAGCACACTAATTATATATACGGTGTTGGCTTCAGTCCAGATGGCTCGACGTTGGTTAGCGTTGGTGCTGACCGGAAGATCTGGCTCTATGATGGCAAGACGGGAGAGCCGAAAAGCCTAATCGGGGAAGGTGAACATAAGGGCAGTATTTTTAGCGTCTCGTGGTCTAAAGACTCTCGGAAGATCGTGACTGCGAGTGCCGATAAGACTGTCAAAATCTGGGACGTAGAAGCCGGCAAAGCCTCGCAAACATGGAATATCGGAGGGGATGGCAGTACAGACGTCAAAGATCAGCAGGTCGGTGTGGTTTGGCCCCCGGGCAGAAGCGACGATCTGCTTATCAGTTTGTCACTGGGCGGTGACCTTAATTATCTCGTTGAAGGAACTCCGGAGCCTAGGCAAGTCGTCCAGGGCCACCAGAAAAACATTACGTCCTTGACACAATACCACTCTGGCAGTGACAATGACACATTGTGGACTGGAAGCTTTGACGGCAGAGTCTGCAGCTGGAATGTTCCTACAGGAACTGCGGAGAAAGTGGATGGTGAAAGTCACTCAACGTACATTGCTGGCCTCGCACCGACACAGGAAGGGAATGGTAGAATCTACAGCGTAGCCTGGGATGACACCATAAGATCTGTGGACATTGGAGCTAGAACTTACAACGGGAGCTCCTCCAAGCTGTCTGGACAGCCCAAGGGTATTGCCGCAGGTGTGGCTGTATTGGTAGGAACCTCAGAGAGCGTTGAGATATATAAGGACGGCCAGAAAGTTGGAGAATTCAAGCCAAAGTTTCCCATCACTACTGTGGCAGCACATGGGACCACTGCAGCCATCGGTGGCGAAAATTCGGCTGTTCAGATCTGTGAGATCTCAGACTCCACCTTGTCCCCTAAAACGGATATTAAAGCTTCTCGGAACCCCATATCTGCGTTGGCTTTCTCGCCGGATGGCTCTCTGCTGGCTGTTGGCGATTCTCGTGGTCGTGTTCTTGTCTACAAAATCGCCGATGGTAGTCTAGTCACAGACCGTTGGACAGCGCACACTTCCCGGATCACTTCCATTGCATGGAACGAAGATGGCACACACGTCGTGAGCGGAGCATTGGACACTAATATATTCGTGTGGAGCTTGAGTAGCCCTGGAGAATGGCTTCAAGCGTCAAATGCTCACAAAGAGGGTGTTAACGGTGTAACCTGGGTGTCGGAGTCGAAGATTGCATCAGCCGGGGCTGATGCAGCAGTCAAAGTATGGAAAGTAGAGGGTTTAAAATAGAGGAATGCGAAAAGAAGAGTGGAAAAGAGAGCAACGGCAAATGTGAGATCAAGATGACTGCGTACCTTTTACCCTATGTCAATATGTTTACCTCGATTGTTCAAGATGTACATAACATGCCTACAATGAAGTTGCCAATTCCTAGCTATATCTAGACGTCTTGTGTGGAGAACGTCACGCAAGGGGTGTGTGTGTAACTCAAATTGCCGTGGTGATAAGATGGCGTGTGATCAAAGCTCCACTCGAAAGGCGGATAGACCAAGCAATGATCGGCATCTACACATACGTCAGGTGCGTGCGAGCACCTTGAGTCTTTCTGCTCACCTGAAAGAAGCCAAGATGAGAGAATGAGATGAGAATATGTCTCTCTCTGGAGACGCGTCGAGTAGTTCCCGTCGCTTTTTGCGGCCGAAGAAGGTACTTTATAGCGGATCTTCTACATCTGAGATGATAAAGAAGCAAAAAAAAAAAAAAAAAAAAAAAAAAAAAAAAAAAAAAAACAGAAGAGACACTATTACTGACCTTGAGTTTGATATGAAGTTGCGGCAAGCCACGTTTGTTTTACCGAAGACTGGTCAACGCTTGAGAGGTCTGGTTACTCTACGAAACCCTTATTCCGAACCGAATGGCAACAATGACGAGGAACGTCGGGGGCTACTCTCCGGAGAAATCTCCGCGCCCCGTGAAGGGATATATTCACGGTTGTTGAAAACGATGCGGGAGACAGAACTCTGGGTACATCGGGCTGTCTCCTCTGAGCTAGGTATTGGTGTCCTAAAATGCAGTCTAGCTTACCTACTAGGATCGCTCGCAACTTTCGTGCCAGCGATTGCCTCATGGTTGGGCCATCAAGATGGCAAGCATGTTGTGGCCACCGTAACGGTCTACTTCCATCCAGCGAGGTCTCAAGGAAGCATGTATAAGGCGTTAATTTGTGCCTTTTTGGCATTTCTCTACGCTGCTTTCATATCTTTAACAAGCATGTGTGTCTCCAGGTTCTTTCAGGACACCCTTGACTTACTCCCAGTCGGCCATGCCGTAGTGCTCATAGTATTCTGTGGGGGTGGTCTAGGCTTTATCGGATGGACCAAACAGAGACTGGGCGACCCCCTTGTGAATGTTGCGTGTTCCCTCGCTTCGCTTTCGACCATTACCGTCTTAACGAAAGAGGGTGCGGTACAGAATGGGGACCTTTCGTTTGCCAAGATCTCACAAGTATTGAAGATGGTCGTGATGGGTGTAGCCGCGGCCATGGCTGTGTCATTTGTGATATTCCCAATATCTGCACGAAAAAAACTCCGGTCGAACCTCACTATTGTTACTGAGACGCTAGCGACGATGCTAGCTCTGATCACAGAGAGCTTCCTCACTGGCTCTGAAGAGGAGCTTCGGACAGGAGAATACCTAAATGCAGCCGCGCGCCATAAGAAGGCGTACGGCCAGCTCGACAGGCTCATAAGAGAAGCTAAACTGGAGCATTTTGTGGCAGGTACGGAGAGACAGTACAGGCTGGAGAAAAAGCTTGTTCGATGGGTACAAGATATCACCCATAACATGGGCGGTTTGCGCAGTGCAGCTCTTTTACAGTTCCAGCTACTAAAGCAAACCAATCCTACCGGGCCGATGCAGTTAAATAGCCAAGGAGCGACTATGAACGGAATCCACCCTGGATCATTGCCTAGTCCATGGTCACTACACGAGGAGCGTCCAATCTTGGAACCGATTGATGAGAGGCCGGAAGAAGAGGTCTCAGACTCGGATAGAGACAGGCCTACTTCAAGTCCGGAAAGAGACACTTCTGATTCAGAACTTGATCGCACTCTTCTTCCTGCTGACATTTTTGCGCTTTTTATCGGTCACTTGGGGCCTTCTATGGTACCAATCCTTCATTAATAATTAACGCGCATTAATAGATACTGATTGGTTATAGCGATCCCTCGCTTTCACTTTAAAGGAAATTTTCAGGGAGATCCCTTTCAAGCCTGCACCAGATTATAGGGTCGCGGTCAACAGTAGGTTCCGAACCAGTCTTGATCGGGCGCTGGATCTTTACCGAAGGTCCCGAGAAGAGGCGTTGAAAACTATTTATCGGCAGAAGGACGTCTTGAATATTCAGACATTAGAAGTTGAAGCGGATCTCGAGGAAGTTGCTGCTAGTTGCGGTCATTTTAGTTTTTCACTTCTGGAGTTCGGTGAGCAGCTTAAGGAGCTGTTAGCTATCCTTGATGAACTTCAACTCGAAGCTGAGGAGAGACCCAGCGGCAGATCTTGGAACTGGCTGATGTTTTGGCGCCAACTAAATATTGGAGTAAAAGAAAGGGATAGTGGTATGTTTGCTCAGCTGGCATCAGCCCAAGCTGTCGCTATGATGCTGACAGGCCTCCAGAACAGCCAGTGATCGAAACGGATCCCATACAAGGTACAGCGTCTCAATTGAAGGTCACCAACGTTGGGCCGCACGGCAAACCATCGGTACCATCCTTCCAATTAAAGAACATGCCCGGGAAAGAGGGGTTTGGCTATCGTGTCTGGAAGTCACTCAGGATCTTTCGGCGCGATGATACCAAATTTGCTATCAAGGTAGGTACAGGAGCGGCACTCTATGCCTTGCCATCATTTCTCCCATCCACGAGACCATTCTACTCTCATTGGAGAGGAGAGTGGGGACTTTTGTCGTACATGTTGGTCTGTTCGATGACCATTGGTGCTTCAAATACTACCGGGTATGCTCGTTTTCTGGGTACCTGCTTAGGGGCACTTTGTGCTATCATATCATGGTATGTGACAGGTGGAAACATGTTTGGACTCGCATCCCTGGGTTTATTCATGGCGACTTGGACTTCGTATCTCATCATAGTCAAAGGACAAGGTCCGATGGGCCGCTTCATCATGCTCACTTACAATCTCTCAGTTTTGTACGCCTACTCCCTTAGCCAGAAGGAAGGTAATAATGACCAGGACGAAGGAGGCGAGAGTCCAATAATAACTGACATTGCCCTTCATCGAGTTGCTTCTGTTCTGTCTGGCTGTATCTGGGGTATTATCATCACGAGAGTCATTTGGCCAATCAGCGCGCGGGAGAGGTTGAAAGATGGTCTGAGCCTCTTATGGCTTCGCATGAGTCTGCTCTGGAAACGGAGTCCCTTGTCCACTATGACAAATGAACCAAATAGCGCAGGTTTTATGAGCCCCAGGGAGAAGCTAGAGGTCGAACGATTTCTTTCTCGGTTGGAGTCTCTTCAGGCATCTGCACACTCCGAGTTTGAGTTGAAAAGCCCATTCCCTGATACAATATACAGCAGCATTCTCCGCCGCACAAGGAGCATGGTGGATTCTTTTCTTGCGATCAATATCGAGCTTGATAAAAATATGACTGCATCCGAGGGCGAACTTACCATTCTCCGATATACGAACAAGGAAAGGCAGCAATTGTCGTCGCGCATCAGCCATCTATTATCAGGTGAGTAAAGATCGTCAACCGGAAGGGGTCCTGCCTACGGGATGAGCCTCTGGCAATTGACCACAAGTATAGTGATGGCCTCGTCCATGAAACTCGAGTACCCCCTAAGTGATGTCTTTCCTAGCATTGAACATGCTCGAGACCGACTACTCGCCCGCCTCTTTCACTATCGCAAGGATCATGAAGCGTCTCGCCTGTCTACGGACGAGGATTATGCGTTACTGTATGCTTACGGTAAGTCGAGAGAACGCTGTCTTTTAAGTGTTTACACATGCGATCCCCGGTTACAACATTGGCTAAATCATCTATAGTCCTCGTAACCGGCCAATTGTCGACAGAGATCGAGGGAATCATGGCGGAAATTAGTCAATTGTTTGGGGTACTCGACGAGGATATTGTGAAGCTGTATGACTAGCGGATTTTCCTTTTTTCTTTTTTCAACATTTTACTTTATTCTGTCTACCTTTGGAAAGCAGAGGACAAAGTATGAGTTCAATGATGTAATCTATAATTATCAAAGGGGGAAGGGAAAGAAAAAAGGAAGATCAGATTGAGAAAACAGCGTAGCATTTTCTTCAGGTCTTTGTATTGCTTCATTCACTTGGGACAAGTCCAGTGACTTTTTTTTTGGCGGGGAAAAGAGAACCAACCCCAGCATTTTGTCAACTTCAACCTCCTTCCATCACTTCCCCCATAGACCCACTGCCCTTCCTATCACGGTCGCCTCATCTCTCGCATGCTCCTGTCATTTACCAATCTTGAACCGTCTTTCGGGCTTCTCTGGCATGTATTCTGCTTCATGAAGACCTAGCTCTCCCCACCCCCCGGCTTCGCGCAGCCCGTCGCGCTTCAGCGAGCTTCGCAACCATGCAGATCGATCCGGCTGCCTTGAGTCGGACTGAGTCTGCGTCGACCGCAATAACCTCCTCAAAAAACACGGCCCTTAACACTGCGGTGACTCCGAAGTCTACAAAAGCGCTGATATCTGTCCCGCGACTGGATCTCGAACCTATCTACACGGAGCTGAAAGCCGCTATCGGCGACAACTGGGCTGAATACAAAGAGGCCACCACTCTCTTCCTCCTAGGTGCGAAAACATGGCGTAGACCTTTGCAGTTTCAATACGTTATCTGTCCCTTTTTTTGATCCATGTATATTTCTCTCTAAAGTTCAGACTAACATCGTTCTTCCCAGGCCAATTGAACCAGCATGAACTCTCGTCGCGCGTCGATCATATTATTTGTGCCGATCACAAGACTGAGCATTTTCATAATAATTTCATATGCGCGATTATTGGGAATCTCACAAGAGATCTCCCGGACCATGGTGTCGCAAGCTGGGTGTCGGCAAACGACAAACCATCGGTGGTGTCCAAGCCAACCTCAGGGGATGCAGCAGAACAGAGACTGAAGACGGAGATTATGCAGCTCCCTCCTAGAGATCGTCGACGAATCAAAGCAATTCCTGAAGTATGGCTACAAAAAATTTCAGAAGACTATATGAATATGCAGGTGATTCTAACAGTGTTTTTCCAACCAGCGTGACCCCGGTGAAACTGCGCCTAATGAATTAGAAAAATATCATCTGGCAAAACAAATCAAGTTGCCGAGCCAAGTACCAGCAAGCGCAGGTGGCTTAAATAAAACAAGTAGGCTCAGCCGATCTTAGTCTTTTCCCAACGAATCTGGTGATGCTTACTCTGTGGTTCGATAGATTGGGAATTAGAGATCCGGAAACGTTATGCGCAACCTCTAGCGTCGGAAACCGGTGAGTTTCCAGATGCGGAGTCCATCCATGCCCGCATGATCCCTATATGCTACGAAGAGTCTATCGTTAGTGGCGCAGGACTTCCTTGCGCGGAGTTCATGGCCATTGCTACGGAAACATTCGTGAAGGAGGTTTTATCTGTCGTGTTCTCGCGGACGAGGTCCAACGGTCCATCTGGGACCATCAATGGCATGATGATGCGCAAATACCGCCAGCAGCTCGAACGAGAAGAATTGGCTTTTACGCGTGGGGAGATTGTGAAAGATGGCGCAACGGGCTTGCTACCCGTCGAGGCCAAGGAAGCAAGTATTAGAAAGCCTCTCGGAGTCAGAGATCTGCGTTTAGCCTTAGAGCTTGGGGGTGGGGTTCTCAGTCATATGCCTCTAATCGTGGATCAAATAATGGGCGGTTATCTTGAGGATGAGCTTGAAACCGAAAAACAAGACCGAGCGGAAGAAGTAGTGGAGATTCCTAGCGATAACATGAAAGTGAAAACCCCGACAAATGAAATGGAGGTTGATGATGGGGAAATCGCATGGGAGGGGGCCACAGTTGCTGATCGAGAACAACTAGGGTCTTTACTGGACGAGTGCTTGTCTATGGCCTCCTAATCGCTTTCCCCCCTTCTACTGCCTCTTTCTTCCCTTTTGGCCCTCTTCCACAATTCGACTCCTCCTTCCCTTAGAACATAGGGTTTTCTTCTGCCCCGTACCTTTATTTTTCATCTTTTTCTCTCCCCCCTCCTCTCTCTCTCTCTCTCTCTCTCTCTCTCTCTCTCTCTCTCTCTCTCTCTCTCTCTCTCTCTCTCTCTCTCTCTCTCTCTCTCTCTCTCTCTCTCTCTCTCTCTCTCTCTCTCTCTCGCTCTCTCTCTCTCGCTCTCTCTCTCTCTCTGTCCGTCTGTCTGTCCGTCTGTCTGTCTGTGTGTTTGTCAGTTCATGTAAGTCTTTGATCCCCGCGACCAAAGCAGTGGCATCTCCATCTGGTAAGGGTCTAAAGGCGTACTTGGATTGCGAAAGGAACTTGTTATTGGTGTGGTATTGTCTACTTTTGTTTTGGTATGGAGTTCAAGCGTTCTGTGCATCTTCTATATTTTGTCAGTTTCCTCGACTCTTTCCTCTGGAAACCATGAGTCTTCCTGGGAACTTGAACATGGGGGTAACACGCACTAAGGTGTTGTTGTCTGAAGAGACGCCACAGGGTATAACTCATGGGCAGAGACCCTCTTATCCCAGAACAAAGAATGGAAATGAAAGAACAGGAGGTTCCTTATGTGCGGCAAACTCTTCCCTATTGCTAAGCTTTTTTGCTTTTCATTCCAGGTTAGGGAATGCATGGCATGGTTTATATATCTTGAGAGGCATGATGGCGATTTGGTTTACCATGCATACACTTATATTTCTTTTGTATAGGTACTAATTTTCATTCCCCCATTTGGTCTGCTTTCCTTCGATTAGTTATAGACTTGTTGTAACGATTTTGCCCCATGAGGCTGATCAATAAAGTTTCTTTCTTAAGTCGCAACATATTAATATATTCTCTTTTTTTCCCTTGCAATTTCTATCTCGTGATGGGGGTAACCATTTGAAGATAATCAAGGCTACTTCGCCTTCCAACGCCATGATCTACGATTTTTAGGTATATACAATGTACTATAACATGGGTGGAACTGCAAGCCTATTCATTACTTACGAGAGTCGCTCTGCGACTATCTTCAAAATCTCTTCAGTCGACTTGTGAGCGTTAATAGGATCTTTAGCCACCGATTGCCAGACTTCGCCATGTTTGGGCTCAGTGGAAACGCACTTCGATATGACATCTGCCCTTTTCTCCTCTGTACCATGCTGCAATAAGAACTTGAGATACCAAGCCCACCCGTCCCCAAGATCGCTGTCGGACACAATGGCCTTTTCAAACCATGTCATTGCTTTCTCCAATCGACGCTCTCCCCAGAAGATCCGCGCTACTGTAATGAATAATATTGGATCATTATCGACTTTTTTGATGGCCTCCAAGCTACGAGCTTTCCGTTGGGCCCGCGGCTCGAGATGCCAAATACTCTCGCTCCATAGCAATCCAGACGTTGGGACTTCCTGCAATGCTTTGGCCATCAATACCTTGGCTTGGCCGATATTGTTCGCACGCCGTTCAACTCGGACACTTTCCGTCCAAAGCTCAGCATTCTTAGGGACAGCAAGACGAGCTCTGTCAAGAATCGAGCGAGCCTTGACGACTGCACCAGCCGTTTCTTCCAGTCTTGAAGCCAACAGCCACAAGGGAACAGACTTGGGACAGGCCCGGGTCCCTGTTCCATACGCCTCACGAGCTTGAGGATACTTGTTCTGAGACTCGTAGATTTGCCCCTTCATCATCCAAAGCTTGTCTGTCTTCGGATATTGTTGGAGGCCCTGATTCACTAGATCAAGTGCTTCATCCACATTGCCCAGTTGCCGCTCAAAAGCAACACTTTTAGTCCAAATGCGATCTGTCCCGGCCTCTCGACGAGCAGTTGCAAGGAGCTCTCTAGCTTGATCTGTTTGTTGGGCCTCTGCCTCGAGCTTAACGGCAGCAAGCCAAATATCCTCATTGTTGGGGTTCTGATTGAAAGCGCGGCCTAGCACCCGCCTAGCCTCATCAATTTCTCCAGTTTGCCATTTCTCTTTCGCAAGGAGCAACCACAATTCTTCGCTTTGAGGGCAAGCTTCCACAGCCTTTTCCAGAACCTGCCATAAGGCTTCCTTCGTGCCATGATTGCGCTCCAGATCTGCTGCTGCAAGCCAGATAGACTTGCGGTTAACAAACACGCGCAATGCATAGGCATACATAGCTCTCGCAGTCTCAAACCTGCCCCTAGCAATACTAGCTTTTGCGTCATCCATCCAAATGTCTTTCCGATCATCATCCTCGTCTAGACCCCAACCTAAAGTCTCACGGATGATAGCACCGCAAGTGAGAATTGCTCCCTCCTCTTCACATTTTTCAGCCTCTGCTATCCACTCCTCTCGCTTGAGCATGGCATTTTCCCTGGCGAGGGACTGCACAGCTCTCTTCATCACATTCACTTTATGGAAAGTACCCATTTGCTCTTGTAGCCGTGAAGCAGCAATCCATATCTCATGACTCGCAGGGACAGCTTTTCTAGCAGCATTCAAGACCTTTTGGGCATTTTCGGGCGTCTCGAGGCGGGCAAGGGCAAGCCATAGCTCCACAGATAGTGGTATCATCTCCACTGCCTTTGCGAGAAGAAGGCGTGCATCGGCAGGATCTTCTTCTAAGTTGACAGCCTCTTTCCAGATGGTAACAGACTGGGGATTATGGAGAATAGCCTGTCTCAGAACATTCTTCTTTGCGCGAGGCTCGGATTCCAACCTCATCGCTTCAACCCACAGTCGTGTGGAGCGATCATTGTTCTGAATAGCATTTGCAGCGATAACCTTGGCATTATGACCTTCGTTAAGCCGAATATTTTCAAGCCATGCATCCTCGCTTTTTGGACACAGCTCGCAACCTTTAGCGATGCAGTTTCTAGCAGCCACGATCCTACCAGCAAGCTCTTCTAGACGAGCAAGTGCAATCCACCCAGGTGCGTGCTTGGGGTTGGTTCTCGTTACAGACTCCAGCAAAACGCGAACTCGTTTGATATCTCCGATCTCCACTTCACCAGCTTTGAGCTCAGACTGTGTAAGACTCGTAAGATAACCCTTTGGGTCGATGCTAGTCACACTTCCGGAAGCCAAGTCCCCAGATGAGCCTACTGCTGCCTGATCAAGCTTGACTTTAAGGGCTTTATCACGAGCAGCACTGATATCTGCGAAATTTGTTATTGTGCCATCTGCCCCTTCTTCTCCACGAACATCAGTATAAGCGCCATCGTCCGTAACGGTGGTCTCAAATTGGGTCGAGTCTCTTGCACTAGCGAGAACACTATCCGGTACCGCGTAAAATCGTTGTCGGAGATTCTGCTTCGCTCGTCTATTCTTTCCTGTCAGATCTCCAACTTCTGGGAGGTTGGCCCAATCGTCTTCGGAGACAGAGGCTAATGATCGCTTTAAATCGGCGAACTGCTGCTGAATTTTCGGGTTTTTACGTTCATAGTCTTCTCGTTCTTGGCGTTCCCGAGCTTCCCTATAATTCGTGGAGGAATCAGTCGGCCTTCTATACAGACAACCAAAAGGGGGGACTTGAACCCGATGAACAAGTCGCTTTATCAAAAAAAATGAAAGGGGAAAGAGTTAAGGATACCAACCTTCTTGCTTTCCGACGTTTATCCATCTTCTCGTCCACTTCTCTGTATATTCGATCGGCTTCGTCATCTTCTTGATCGAACTGTCCGTATGCGAAAAGCCCAACTTCATTATCTGGGTCCTGAAAACGCTCATCGTCCTCCTCTTCCTCAGCTTTGTCTTCTTTGCCACCTTTCTCACGCCCTGCGCCGTATGCCGTCGGTGGAGCTGCCCCTAGCAGCTGTGCCCTCTTCGCGAGCGCTGCTTGGATTTGTTCAGGCGTGGGACCTTCCCGCGCAGGCCCCAAGTCCGAACGAGTAGTGAAGCCAGTCGCACCTCTGCCCAGGCCCGCAACGTAGTTCTCAGGAGCAGGCTGGCTCAAAAAGTCCTTCCGCCCAGAGGCCATATTGACCAGAGAGATACAGAAAAGACTGGGCGACGCTAATGAAGAAGATTGAGATTGCCAGACATCGAGATAATAGAAAGTTGTTTCATGCTTCAAAGAGGAAACAACCGCAATAATATTATCCCGGTCCGGTGTCTTATCGTATTTTGGCCCATGTACATATGTACATTAGTGCCTACATACATAATTCTCTGACCACATTATGCAAACCGTACCTGTATTTCCTGGGTGCAAGGGCTTTGTAGCCCCAGGCTTTAGGGTTGGCCATGCATGTGCAGTATTTGCTCCGCGTGTATGTGTGTAATTTATGTGAATATGTACATTTTGACTATACAAATGCATCCAAAGCTGTTCTTCTATGGTTCGGTGCTTATGTTAACTATATTCCCTATATCTGGGATGTTCTACGTCTAAATGCTTCCTTTAGGCACCCAATGCCTGGCCGCACTGGCAGAATCTCATGTTCCAACTTCTCGCTACCTGAACCGTTCTCCAGGCTGCATGCTTGTATTATCCACCCGAGTTCACACAGCGGCTTCCCGTCCTTCGCAGATCCTACCGTTAAGTTACAGAGCAGACGCCCCAACATATAGGTACATGTTGAGATTAATCACCTGCAAGCGGCACGCAAGAGCAATCCCTAAGCGGCCCTGCCCATCTTTAAACCCCTAAAACCCTTAAAACTTAGCTAAAACAAATGCGGCTCCGCTTGATCCTCAAAATTCCAGTTCGCAAATCAACTATGGCCTAAGATAGGATTGCTGAAAAATTGGCTCTATGGGTAAGCGCGAGATAATTCCGCCGTGGCTTTTTCGGAAGACTTAGCATAGTAGCTTTGTAGAGGCTAGTAGCTGGATATGATATACTTATAGGTACCGTCCGCAAGGCTGGGCTATTTGCAGATCATGAGATTGGGATACGATGGACAGCCATAAGTGAAGGATGATGGCAAATCGGAGCTTATGAGGCCATAGAGCTTGATGATTTGGAAGGTCCTTTCTCTCACCCACCCTCTCTCTCTCGCTTCTTCTTCCCCTTTCCGATTTTCATTATGTTCTCGCATATAGCAGATGGGGAGAAGGAAGCAGTTAGGTACCGAGGGTTCGCAAAGAACGTGAGAGGATACGTGATAGAAATAGCTCTTATAGGTTGTTAGGGTTTTCATATGAAGGGCATCGTGTTCGTCAATCTTAGTCTGCACCAAAAGGGAGAGGGCCTGGACAAGCTGGTAATTGAGGGCTTCAGAGTATTATAAGAGCTTCGTTTCATCACGGTAACCCATTATCAGGGAACGGGTCGCTAGCGGGACGAAGATGCGCGCGAGAGTCCTGAAATAGACTTTGCCAAATGAACGCTTCGCTCAATAAGAGCTCTATGTCCTTCTCCGTCCAGTTTTTGGTTGGAAGGGCTTGCAGAAACATCATCACTTCCTATGTCCACTTAGTACTAACTTCCACGTCACGACCTTCTCCACGAAAGCGCGTACCTGGAAGTCCATTTTTATCAACTGCTCTGACCATTTAACTAGAAATGCAGCACACACATATAGGTGGAAACGTGAGAAGCCTTGCTCCTCGGCCTAGGATATAAGATTAGCATAATGAATTTACTCATATTCTAAGGAGTGGCATACCATGTACGTGTCCCACATCCGTATTGTATTCTGAACGCTCATCTCTCGCATGAGCAAGCAGTTCATCCATCGGAAACTGAATTGCATGAACTCAACACCTTCATTTTCTAAATGCTTCGCAAGGGTCGCATCAATGCGCAAAGTCAAGTCACGCAATGCTCTGACCTGCCGGTGTATACCCGGCTGAGCATAAATATAATTGTCCTGGATACCGTCAAGGAGTTTCGTAAGACACCAGAATGTATCCGCTTCAACGGCATCCAGTACGCTCCTGGGCAATTGACCCGGATCCATCCCCTCTTCAACATTGAGGTCCGTGACATAAACACCTAGAAAGACTTGCCAGAATGGCGTGACAAGATCATTGATCCCTTGCACATAGCCGCTAGCCGGGTGTCGGATAGCCCAAACATAGAGGATCCTTTCTAAAGAACGTTGAGTAGCTTCATAGCTGTAGAGCTGAATATGTGGACAAGTGCGGGGGACATCTATGCTAATCTGATGCCATATAGCCTCGTCTAGCCCTCGGCCGCGCCCCGTTGTCGAAGCAGGCGGGTTCCCAGTACCTGCGGCACTGCTGCGCTCGAAAGCCTGGCGAACACCATCTAAGTACTCCCTACGCTTTCTTTCGAGGGTTGAAATACGTCGTTCACTATTTGTTGGAAGATAGCCCAGGAGAAGTTGCCATGTCATCGCCCGTACTTCATCGGGGACTCCCGACCATGCTAGGTTTCTCAGTTCTGCCAAAGGAACCGTACTAGTCTGCAGAAGGCGCTTAAACTTGTTGATTCTCGAAATGCGGCTGGTGTATATGTCCATTTCTTTTGGAGTTGCACTCTTGGGGGGCAGGGCATGGTTAATAAGGTTCAGGGCGTTTGCAGGATCTAGGGAGGATAAGCCTCCTGTCATATTTGGCGAAAGGGGAGTGGCGCTTACCTCGTAAAATGTCTTTATATTGAGGCCGCAGTATTTTCCCCTCCCCCTTTCTGGCTGTTGGGTACATGGGAGCCCCTCGTTCTTCTGCAATATCTGAGCTGTTGGCACGTTGCCTACTGTTCCCTAAACCAACACTGAGGGTCGTGGCGCTGCTTCCAACTCGACCTCCCCGGTCAACACTCTTGGATGGAAGAGAATCGGCATCCCCAGTCTGCTTCTTCCGCATGCTGGAAATACTGGGAAGTCCGAACTCATCCTCATCATCATCATAAACAATGTCCTCATCTTCGTCTTCATCTTCGTCTTCCGTTTGATCGTGACTCCAAGATTCGATCCCCTGGTTCATGATGCCGGTGTATGACCTACGTGGAGAAGTGACCCACGATGTAGGTTGATGAGTGGATGGCGCAAAGTGTTGGGAATTAGTAGAAGAAGATCGCGAGGATGTCCGCGGGCACGCATGCTGCTGCGATTTACCTCTGGAAGACACCCTTGTGTATTAGACCAAATGTATCTTGAACGGGTACTAAGATCTAACGCAAGTGCGAAGGAAAGCTTACTTTATAATATTAGCATGGGAATATGAAGAACCAACGACAGTATTCTGATTGTTGTTGTGTTTGGGAGACCCTTGGTTATGGGATACTGATCGTCCTTTCCAAAACGGTGTACCAGTTCTCCTTGGGAGAGGGATTAGCAAGCAAAGGACAACAGAACAGGTGCATTGAATTGAATAGGAAAGAGCTGGGATCAATTAGGGTGGAACATACTCAGAACGGTCTAATAGTTGAAAGTGGGGGAGCTCTATCAGCTGCTAGGACGAGATATGAAACATGGGGTTGTGAGGTACGAACCAACCTGGACCATTTCCTATAGCAATGAGACGATTTGTTTGGGTTAGTTGCTTGTCGCATTAGTTTGAGGAGTATTTTCAGATACACTTTACCTGTGGCTGGGACTTTCTAGTAGCCATTGCGTAATGCTACCGGTTGTGCGGAGGATCATTCGGAATGGGAGAAGGGGATGTAGAGAGAGAGTAGAGAGGGAAAGGTTGGTTGCGGGGTGCTTTGCGGTACCATGATGCTGTTTTAGTCCTTATTAGTAGGTAACTAATAGCAGATCTGTCAAGCCAAGACGAATTTACGAATGGTGATATTTTCTTTTAATTTTAGGATTATGCAGTCATCCTTTGATACATAGCCTTTTTTTTCATTTTCCCTCTCAGAATATAAATTCCTGTGTTAGTCAAAAGGCAAAAGAGGACGAATGTACTCTGTATTTCATTCACTCGATCAGCCGAACGAGTTTCTTTGCATCTGAATGCAAATGTACTTACTGTACTGTACATACTTACTACTAGGTAGTACGTGTATACAATACATACATACAAATTAACCCTTACCTGTATTTGTGTATGAAGATGCCTTAGGTTTTTATTTTATTTTTCTTTTCTTTTCTTTTTCCTTTTTCTTCTCTTTTTGTTCCTTTTCCTTTTTTTGCCTTTATTTTATTTTATTTTATTTTATTTTGATAAATAGATTGAAATTTATTACCACTCTCCAGGTTTACGCGGTCAGCGGCTAACTTAAACTCGAAGAACTCACTCCTCTCTCCTCACGCTGACCTCCGACGTAAACCACAGAACTCTCTCTTCCGTTCTTCCTTCCTTCTTTCTCCTCTTCTTCCAAACTTTCCAACTCGCAATAATTCTTTTGGCTTCCTCCTACTTGTCTCGTTCTCAAAGGATACAAGTCTCGCTTCATCGCCAAACCTATATCTCTAGGGTTCATCGTCTCTACCTAGACTGATTCAATTGGCTTCATCACACTCCAGCTGCTCAACCCTTCACTTACTTTGTTTTTCCTTATAACTAATCCATCATGACTGAGCCAGAGGATGTTGAAGAAGATCTGTTTGCGGATCTGTATGCCGCTTCTCTTTGCCTAAGTTAATCGTACGAGAACTCGCCTAATGTGCTCATAGGTATGATGCGGATGAGACCACAAATCAACCCACGTCTGCTGTTGAAACCCCAATCGTCACGGAACCATCAGCTTTCACCCAACCGGCTCTGTCGACGGGTTTGTCTGCAACCCATGCCTCCGAAGCTGCACCCATCGATATCGAAGATACGCGCGTTGCCCACCAACAGTTCCCACAGGATGGAGTTTACCAGCATGGTACAGGCAACCTAGATTCTAACTTCACCAATAATATCACTCCTACATCTGGGGAAACAGAGCATCATGGAACTGGGATCAAAGAGGATGGGTAAGTTTCTGCTTTTTCTCGATAGGGAGGTTTTTGAATTTTCTGTACACCTGTTGGGAGATTGAAATGCACATTTGACTTGGTTTGGCTACCCTACCGGTATCACTCATATTGCCCTACCCTGGCCATTTGGAATGACAATGGAGAGACTGGCAAGGGCGCCTCCCTCTCTTTTTTCTATCGCTACATCGCTCTCTATAAAGACGAGCTCTTGTGGACCAGTGATGGCGATGGTAGCTGAGCTGATATTGCGGGTTTGTGGGAAGGCTTCTACAAATGTGACTGCTTGATGCAATAGGAAGAATGATGATGTTCTTTGAACTGCATTCAGGTCTTTTGGAAAACGAGACATTATGCTAGACAAATGCGGTTATGGCGAATCTTTGATAGGGAGCCTTTATAAACTCTCGTCAGGTTTAGCTATGGAGAGCAATCTGGTGGAAACAGAAGCTACCTCTGGCGTCTTGAAGGACAAAGTGTGGATACATTTCAACAGCCCATCGTCGATGTGACAGTTGCAAAAAGAAAAATTTCGAACTCCTGTCTCTACGAACCATTGTCGCGAGCAACTATAGTACAGCCGATGCTATATAGCTTCTTGTCGAGATATCTTGATAGTGCAGAGCAGAACAGAACAAGGAGTTAGGTGCCTTGGCTGCGTGGTTGCGAACAGTTTACCTAGCTTCGGACTATTAGACAGGCAGAAATTCCTTGGTCAGAGCAAGAAGAAAAAAGAGAACGAGAAACAATTGACTTATTCCGCCTGAGATGTTTCAACTTGTGGTCTTTGCTATCACCGCCGCATGCCTCCTGGTCCCGAGGAATTGTCTTACGTTTGACCTGCAGTTCACTGGATCGTTTCGTAAACCAGTGGATAATTGACTAGAGGTTGATTGTCATCATGAGCCCTCTATCCAGTCGCAGTCCCTGTCAGCATGTGCATGTCACAGTCTGGCGAACTATCCTGAAGCGACCATGATGAGAAGTCTCCCCACACATTGCTTGCAGAGGTCTCGCCCGCTTCCCAAGCTAACATAGTGCTTGTCAATCTGCTATCGGTTCTCAGATCATAAGTTCTTCATCACTGCACAATACAAAGCCTTCCCTTAAGACATCTCGCAATAGCCGTCCATCTCAACATCCTTGTCCATGTTCGCAAAGGGTACAGAGCATCAGCCTACCAACAGCCAAGATCGAAGTTTTTATATCTGTTTTCTTTTCTTTTTCCTTCTTTCTCTCTTTTCTTTTCTCTCTTTCATATGCCTCTCTCTAGCTTTTTCACGTTCCCTCCTGAAATCCATTCCAATCTCTGGCCCTCCTTTACCTCGCTGACTGTTTGGTAATTGCAACTAACGTACTCATACTGATGTATTCATTGAATAGGAAGATGTTTATCGGTGGTCTCAACTGGGAAACAACTGACCGTATGCACCCTCAAGATCTGCTGGTAGTCATTTCGTACAACTCCGGAAATTCTAACTTGCCAACTAGAATCTCTAAAGGATTACTTTTCTCAGTTCGGAGAGGTTCAGGAATGTACTGTGATGCGAGACAGCGCTACTGGTCGCTCCAGGGGGTTTGGTTTCTTAACATTTAGAGATCCTAAGACTGTCAATACTGTCATGGTTAAGGAACATTACTTAGATGGAAAAATTGTGAGTTATGCGTCTCATATCCATAAAGCTCTTGAAATAAAGCATACGCTCACATGGCTTTAAGATCGACCCGAAGCGTGCGATCCCCCGCGATGAACAAGAGAAGACGAGCAAAATATTTGTTGGCGGTGTTAGTCAAGAAGCCAACGAACAAGACTTCAAACAGTTTTTTATGCAATTTGGTCGCGTGATCGATGCTACATTGATGATTGATAAAGATACTGGGCGGCCCCGTGGCTTTGGCTTTGTGACTTTTGACAGTGAGGCTGCTGTTGAGGCAGCACTTTCGCGTCCGTTAGAGATCCTTGGCAAACCTATTGAGGTCAAGAAGGCTCAACCTCGCGGTAATCTGCGGGACGAAGAGGACCGCAGGAACCGTCGTGGCAGAGATGGTTTCCGCGACGGGAGCCAAATCGGCAGCGATGGGTCTCAGCAGCAAGGCTCTCAAGGCCCGGCAGGCATGCCTAGCGGTTTAACCCCACAGATGATGGCACAGTATTGGCAACGGATGCAACAATATTTTGCGTTGATGCAGCAACAAATGGCCGTCGCCGCTCAAGGGCAAGGCATGGGTACAATGAGCATGGGTGGTATGAACCCCGCTATGATGCAGCAAATGCACATGAAGCAGATGCAACAGATGCAAATGGGCAACAATCAACAGCAGGGAAGTATGAGCCCTCCATCGCAGAGTCAAACCCCTCAAATGCAGAACATGATGAACCCCGCTATGATGCAACAGATGCAGCAGATGCAAACCCAAGCTCAAGGAGGACAGATAGGGAACGCTATAAGTATGGGAGGTAATAGCCCTGGAAACGCAAACATGGGTGGAAATTATTCGGGGCCTCGGGGAGGCCCAGGGTACAACGCTCATGAGCAGATTGCTTTTGAGCAACAGAAGTACGAACAACAGCAAGCTCGCCGGGCCATGGAAAACCGGGCGTTCTCTCCCTACCAACAAGGCGGTCCAACTTCATGGGACGGTATGTACGATGAAGTGCCCCAGCCCAACATCCCCACGGGACCGCAAGCCATGAATCGTGCTGGCAGTATGGGACGTGGTATGTATTTGATATATCTTGAAACATCTGCTTGTTACGCGTCCATCCGTATCGTACGTCTGCTAATTCCTGTTCAGGGCCCACACCACAGCCCCAGAGTGCCGCACCAGCCAACGCTCCCACTGGACCCAAAAACGCTGGAAAGCCTGGGGCCAATTATCGCGGTGGAGGTCGTGGAGGCCATCGCGGTTTTCATCCTTATGCTCGCGGCTAAACCGAAGCACTTACTCTACTTGACTTGTCCTTCAGACTTTACTTTTTGTGTGCTCTTCAATCCATTCGACAACAATTTTTTCAGTTAACTGGTCTGCTTTTCTTGCGTTCATGGGTAGCAGACAACAGTGCCGCATGTTGAGCTAAGCGTCCAAAATGGTGATGTGTCTAATGTACTTATTTAACTATGCTACTCCCATCCGATTTCTGAAAGTGCTCTCCGCTGTCTACTAAGTCCTTCCGAATTTCTCCGCTCGAGTAGATAAAATCAACGAATATAAGCAGCAAAAACTCGTCATGATCACTTACGCGCCAGAAATGGAGACCACTTGATAATGTGATGCTTCACCTATTCCATATCACAGATTAATCAGCTGATCCCATGATGGGACGGACTTATGATGAGGATGCCAGTAAGGAGACAAAAATAAACAAGATATAGATATAATAGAAATGTCAATGACAATAAGTAAAAGCAAGACGTCAATTGGAATTCTGGATATAACCCAGCCTGTTTCATTATTACTAGGAAGTTTAAATCACTGTACATGCACACTCGATATGTTCATTCTACAGTTGGATAGTGTCAATCACGTTGCTTTGGTTCCTTCTCACTTTTCTTGGCCCTTGGAATTCGCGATGTAATCCTCAAGTCCAATGTCCGGGTCTGCACGGACGCAACCATGCCCCTCTATAAAGACCATCTAACACGATACCTTGCATTTATCATAAGGGATGATTGTGCATCTTGTGAAGAATACGTACTTCTGTATATGGCTGACATTGATCTGAAATCAAGCTAAATATATATGCGAAATGGAAGGTGAAAAAAAGATACAGCGAAAGGGAAAGGGGTAACATCAAGTGCGCTAAATTCATCGGATATACCTAATAAGAGGGAGTGTCTATGCCCACATGAGAATGAAAGGGAAGAGAAAAGGTGAAGAAACAAAAAGAAAAAGAAGGGAGGGGATGTATGCAGAAAGCAAGGTATCATAAATCGCTTCTATGATCTGGTAGCTCAATAGGCAAAGCCATAACTAGGAGCGGTAGGTTTACGTCCATCAGGGGAGTCACGACTGTCACGTGCATATCGACTCTCTGGGCTGGGACTTCGACCGTGTTGACTTTCATGGTACCCAGGAGGATCCACTAAACGATCTGTACTTCCTGTAGGGCTCAGTCGTGCCTTCGGGTCGTAATGGTCCCGGTAGGGCTCATAAGGACCGGTAAAGTTGAACTTGCTCATTTCCGTGTACTCTTTTCGGGGTGGGTTCTCCATGAGGAGCGACTCCCGTGCGTCCAAAGGAGTCAGATCGTCCATATCGCGGTTCATTTTTTCTAGGTAAAGCGTTAATTGTTATTATAAGAGAATGCTTAGAGGTTTTCAACTTACTGGCTTCTCTTCTCCGCTTTGCATGGGGATTCTCGCGGACACATAGGATAATGGCGTTAGCAGCAATGAGGATGGCTAATATTCCAGTGAGGGCGGACTGGACAACGATAAGAACAATGCCCGTCACAGTCTTAGTTGTCTGCGAGAGGCCTAATTCTTCGACGAAGATCAAAACACAAGCAACTGATAAGACACGGACCACCTGTATGCTTATATTGATCCACTGACTCGATTTGGCAACATACGGCCGGTACCACAGCAAAAGAGCCAACATGAGGGCCTCAACAATCAGCTGGCCTGCCGATTGAACCAGCCCATGGCCATTGCCCGCAGCGATGATTACACCCTTGGCAAACATGTACAGAATTGCAGGGACAAAGAGCCACCAGTAATCCTTTTTGTAGTTGTCGTAAAAAAGGCTGTACTTTCGCCATGTCTCTGTGTCCTCGTACAATCCAGAGGCATCACCCTGAGCTGCCTTGTATTTACGAGCCACATACCAAATCCGGACGCCAAAGAAAATCAGAACACCGGTAAAAATGACAAGCGTGATAGCCGCCAATACTTTTGCGGCCCATGAATCTCCGCCAGTGAGCTGGTAGACGCAATACAAGACCCATATCCCGTAGAGAAGGAGAATCAAATTAGTGATAGTCCTGGCCAGCAGCCCCCAGTAATCCTTGCGAAAATTCGTGAGCTTCGCAGGGAAGGAGCCGTACAGAGCCCATAGTTCGAGGATAACTTTGAGAAGCAATATTCCCACCGTGATAGCAGCTATAACGATAGCGAAGACCAGTAAACATGTCATGAATATGTTCGCTTGAGGAATGGTGAGTTGTTCTGCCCAAGCCTCTATACCGGAGACAACCTTCTTGACAGAAGTATCGCTTGTCTCATTATCAGACGTCGAATTCGCACTATAGGAAGTTGAGACATCACGTATGGCCAAGTCAGCGACGCCTACAATTAGATTGAAGCCTCGCTTAGCCTTAGAGCTTGTGGCCGTGGACGACCCGTTCGAAAATTCGAGTGTAGCATTGCGAAGGAAGTTGTAACTGTTCTCCGTGAGGTTTCCGCCGGTGGACTTTCTGAAATCATCGATAGATTGTTGCATTTGGCCCCATGGTATTAAACCGGTGCTAAAGGCGAAATTCTTTGTGAAACTGCGATACACCGCGGGGTAATTGACACTGAGCATGCCGTTTGTAGCCATGCTATGGAACCATCCCATGACATCACCAAAACCTGGACTAGATGAAGCTGCCCCGGGATGACCAGCAGCACCTATGATAGACAGGCCGCTCATTGCCAGAGCGGCTCCTGCTACACCGGCAGCTGCATAAGTAACACTTGGCATTTGTGCTGACTTTCCGTTTGACAGGTGGGTTGCAATACAAGCAACGTCATGGGTATCTTCCTTGGATTTAAGCTCCAGTTTCACTTGCCCATCCAGGTCAGGAATGGCAAAAGCTATCGCAGGAATCTGGCTAGCGAAGGACTCCGGGATTTCTTGCGAACCAGTCGCTTGAAAGGTGCCGGAGGGGACTTCATTGAGAACATGTCAGGCGCGAAGGGGCAGGAAAATTTCAGGTGGACAACACGTACCAGGGCAGAGCCTCTCAACATGATTCTCAGAACCACAGGGGTCAAATGCCTTGCTATACACTTCATTGCCATAGGCATAAACCGACAAAGTCGCGGTGACATTCTGCTGTTTCTCATTTGTTCCGGAAACATCAAAAACAACCACCCTAGTAGAACGTGTGTAAGTAACGTCTAACTTCTGAACCTGTACTTCTGCGCCCGTCAGACAAGTTGAGATGCCGTTTGTGCTGAGGGTGTCTGCTGCGAAAACATGCGCGGGTAGAAAGCCCAAGGCGATTAGGGTAATTTGTGAACGAGAAATCCGCATCTCGGCAACAATTTATCAACACTGCAAAAAAAAAAGCCCCAAGCGCCAGCGTCAAACGTGCTTTCCAATATTCGTTATAACAAACTTGCTAAACTGGTCCCCAAGATTGTGACTGGATAGGTAGTTGAAACAAGGTTTATGGTATTTAGACGAATGCAAATTGCGAGTGATGCAACTGATAGCAACTGGACCAGCCGAGGATATCAGAAATATGACAGGATCAACCTGTATAGAATAGAAGAGATCGTGTATGGTAAAGGGCTCAGTAAACTTGGTCACGGTGGAAAACAATAAGCATCGAAAAACACTGAAATTTGGGAGGGCGAAGAGATTTGAGGGAGCTATAAAGAGAGAGGCATGCACAAAAAAAAGCCAAGACTACTCAGTCCTTTCGCTCACTCCGTCTCTTGTAGCCCTCGCCTTTTTCGGTCTCAAGGGATACGATAGAGAAATGGAAGAACTGTATGGACTGAGAAGAGGAAAGGAAGAGATTGGGGATTGGTTCTTGAAAGAAACAGTAGCAGCTCAGGAACGGATGGAGATGGATCCAAAAAGGAGACAAAAGGGAACGTGTGAAGGGGAGACGAGGCAAAAGCAAACGGGAAAACGTAAGAGGCAGCGCAAAGTCAGGACACGACTTGCATGGCAAACGAGTGATGTGATGAGAGAGAAGCAGAAGGAGAGGAGAATACGCAAATCAATCAGTCGATCAGGCAGGGAAGAGAAACCATCTTCCTCAGGGTGTCTGGCTGGACCGGTACGATGGATACGCACAAGTACTAGGTATCTTCTTCCCGAAAGTGTGGTACCAGAATTTACTAGTGAGAAATAATACCCGTTCCCTTGCCGAGGATGCCTAATAATAACAGGACAATGTCAACTGGTTGTAGGGTTCGAGACCCGACAACTTGCCCCTGAATTGTCTCAAGATTCGTTTCACCACGACCACTGATTGGCCCAGTGCCCGGCTCAGGAACGGCCCATGAAAGCGCCGTCTAGACTCTAGGCCGGTTTATGGGACCACTGACCATTTCCCAAGACAAAACTATAAATAAAGGTAATGAAATTTACCTTGGTAAGTAATTGATTGCAGGAAACTTTGTACAATATAGTACTAGGTACGAGTGGTATGTAGGTAGTAGGTATTCCGATCCATTTATAGTCATTATCATCATGGCAATAGGTTAGTATTTCACGAATAGTATATAAAAGTGCAGTAAGCCGGAGAAGAAGAGGGGAAGCAAATGTTGTATCCTCCACATAGGTACTATTTATTACTTTCAGACAATCGAACTTTCCTACAAAAATGGGACATACTCCATAAAAGAGACACTGGATTGAATTACTGCCCCACTAACCACCCGCCACTACGCCACAGCGAAGGAAAAATTGGATTACTGTATTACACACAGATCATTCATAATTGATTCTCTTTGTTTTTCTTTTTCATTTTCCTTTCTCTTTTTCTGAATGCTCGGTAAGGGGGAAGAGAAGGTGCGCCAACGGGAGGCGGATTGCTGCAGTTTCCTTGATGCCACTTAAATCCATTAAATGTATATAATCTTCTACGGAGACAAATCTCTTTGCATTGAATCAGCGTCTGCTCCCAGAAACAAATCAGAAGGTACTAGGTGGAGAGGAAGGGCTAGAGTAGTCTGCGTCAGCTCTCATGTGCCAGATTGACGTCTTTGATAGACCAAGTCTGGAATGTTCATTTTTGGTGATACACGCTAGACTACCAAGCTAACTTAATACAGTCTGTTAGTGTACAGAGGAGAGGTACTATTTCCATCCCCACTAAACCAGCAGAGTAGCATGGGTAGCGTCTGGCTAGACGGCCATCTTGTTATCAAGTACTATTTATGTGGATGCAGTAATGTTGCTTTCCAAATTAAGCTACGGGCAAGTTTGTGGTTTACTCTCTTTGCGTGTTGAGACAATCACTAGTTGCTATGCTTGTTACATCAAACCCTTGTGGCTCCCGTTGTGGAGGAGAACTAATTTGGACTGCACTAAAACCCCATTCCTAGTATACCGTCGAACATAGGTCGTAAAGGGGCATATAAGAATTTGTTTTCTTCTGCTACACCTGCCGAATGCCCAGTATTAGACATTCAAACAAGTACGGGGTTAAAAGAGGGAAGGGTAAAAAGGAGATTGTTAGTTGGGCTTGATATATTTTCCGATAGCCTCTTCAACTACACTGAATTCCCTTTCTTCAAGTCTCGGCTGACATCTACTAGCTCTTTTGATGCTTGCGTTCGGCTTAACTATTCGGCCTAGAGGTTCAATGTAGATTCGAGCTCATTCATCAACATCTAGTTCAGTATAACGACGGGGGAGCTACAGCTCTATCGTTGAACAGAAGAATATTTCGCCAAACCCGTTTTCTAGGTATATCAATTATGTACTATGCTCTACTACTCCATGCTGTACTTAGTACTCGTTGGTCTGGATAAGCTCGCGATTTCGGGGTTCAACCCCTAATTTGAAAGAGAACTAGATAGCTAATGCTTGGAACTAGTACGGACCTAATATACTGCATACATACAGATACAGTGGATGGTAGTACGTATATACACCTTCATCTTAATATCTACGGGCAGAACAGTCAGCATGGGTCTAAGGACTTAGGTACTTTGTAACTCATCACCATATGTATCCCTACACATTGCCATATCAGGGTCCACAAGTGAGGTATATACATTATACAGACTATGGCATCAGCACGCCGGCCAATGTCGCAAACAAGATGAGTAATTCCACGCACGCACGGGCTTTCGATTGAGACCAAAGGCTTGATCGATCGGTTGTCTCAGTTTCCACTACTACTAGTATTACTTACCTTAGCAAGTCTTCCCGTACGGGGAAGCCTGGGGTAGATGGAATAGTTCGACTTTCAGAGGGACTAAACATTTCTAGTCCATCAAATATCCACATCATTCAATGTGAGACACATTATCGGACGGTAGCGCCACAAAAAGACCGAAGATCTTCTGTACAGGCTAAGGGGCCTGTTTTCATTCACGAAACAGGGAATGCACCATGAACAGACAAGACAACGGAGATGGCTGTCCAAGTGGGACAAAGAAAGATGCATCCGACACAGGGCATACTGATTACACCGGTATATGTCCAAAGGGTAAATAAATACCTCAATCACAAAGCGGATGTCGGAATTAGGATAAGATGGTCCCCGCATTTACATCTAAGGACGGTATGTAGCAAGGCGAATTCATTTCCGTCCTTGCTTCTCCTGAATTTCCCGCATCGCAGCTCTAGCACTCCGGCTGCCTCCTAATTTAGGACCCCGTGATGCCTCAGCCTTCGTGGTTTTAGTGTTCTTCGCTCGTGTCACCCGACGACGTGATTGAATTGCATCAAGGAAGTCTCTCCGGAACTGTTCAGCGACTCTATCATCAGCAGCTTGGTCGTCTCCTACTGCCGCTGCTTCAAGTTCCGGTTCCTCATATACATCCACTAAAGTAGGTTTCGTTAGAGCTAGAACATACCCAAGACACTAGGGGAAGGGCGAAGACACTTACATTTGCTCTCGCGTAGAACTTCTTCTACAAGTCTGTCTCTTTCCACATCTTCACTGGTCCGCCGTTTCCTATGACTCCATAGCCTCTCGTCCTTGCCCACAGGCGCAGCTTTTGAAAGAAATCCGTTATTTCTAGTATGCACCTCTTCCTCGTCGCCCGCCAACTTTCTTGTCGCCGCCTCAGTTCGCGCAATATTCTGTAGCTTGGTCTCCTGACCAAGATCAATCTCATGGAGTTTACCTAAAGACGCTGGTTCACGTTGAGGAAGATTGGTCGCGGGCGACGCAGCACCCGCTTCGCTCGCCAATTGAATATTCGAGTCTGTAGTATTTGTTGGAACGGTGCGTCGTTGTCGCTTGGCCATTTCAGATTCTATATAAGCCATCCTTATATTGTCAGCTTCCATTACAGAGAATACGGACCATATAAAAGATACAGTGTAAATCGTACATGTGCTTGTCGACGTCCACCGTCTGCCCGGTGTGTGCTGTAAATCGGTCACACATAGCTTGTATTTTCTCAGCCTCAATATCCTCCGGAGTCACTACGGATACACCAAGTTTCTTATTGTTTTCTGCGGATTGCCGTGAGGTTGCAGAAAATTCGATGCCACCTTTGCGGGAGCGATAGAGACGTCGGAGACGAGTAATATTTGCAGGGTGTACAGGATCATCGCCTACTTGCGACTGGGAAACGGTAGAATTTGAATCTCGGTCAGCGCCTCCATTTTCAATGCGAGTTTCTTCTTGTGTGTCTTCAGGTCGGCGTCGCAGGAACTTTCTTCTCTTTACCGGTCGGAAGAGAGTATCCGGGTTCGATGTAGTATCGGTGTTCATGATCGTTGAACTCCACCTGAGAGATATGTTGAAATGGAACAATAGAAGATAGAAAATAGCACCGATCAGGTGACCAGAAGATAGTGATAGCCAGGTTTAGAGCTTTACGTATAAAAGGGGGATATATGTAAATAATAGAGTAAGTAGTAATGCAGAGTACGTAGTCGAACGGAGTACAGGAGCTGGTGAAGACGCCACCAGAGCTTTTAAGTTAGGTTCCCGCCGCCGCACCGCAAAACACACCCTCTATAAATCATCCTATGACCACACTGCCCACAACTTTTGTACCTCATATTGTAGTATTGTCTCAACCTACCAAGCCTGGACTGCTTTCTCTTACGCATCATCCCTGAATTGCGGGCTTGTATTTCCGTTACTGCTAATACTGCGGCGCTTCTCTTTTGAATTTCGTCATGAACCCTTCTATTCCACCTTCGACTGCCGAGTACGGTGGAGGTATGTTATCCCTCCTCAATACATCGTGGAGTCAAGAGCTTTCCCATGTGCATATTACAACTTCAAATGTGTTTGCCTCAGGTCAGATACTGATGGCTCATTGCATACAGATGAGGTTTCAGCTATTGTACTTGATCCTGGATTTTCGACAACGCGCGCCGGCTTTGCAGGCGAAGACACGCCAAAATCCCTGATCCCAACATACTACGGGAAATACACTTCCGAAGGACGGGAAAGGCTGGTATTTAGTGATGATGTCTTTGTCACTCCGCGTCCTGGTTTATCCGTCCACAACCCAATGGGCCGGGATGGAATTGTGGAGGATTGGGACATGGCAGAGAAAGTGTGGGAATATTCTTTCACGTCTCGACTCACGGGTCCCAAGCCGGGAAATCCATTCCAGAACGGCTTGAACGACGTTGCCGATGGAGAGCTGCCCACAGATATGGAGGGAGTGGAAACTGAAGAGAAGCCTCTTGCGGACAGCCCGCTTTTGATGTCTGAGTGTGGCTGGAACCCTACGAAAGCGCGCGAGAAGACTATTGAAATCGCCATGGAGAAATGGGGAACGCCAGCTTTCTATTTGGCAAGGAATGGTGTTCTGGCAGCGTATGTATTGACCCCTTATTCCATGCCGTTTGGCATGCTCTGCTGACACAGTAGTTCTCCAGCTTCGCATCTGGAAAAGCTTCTGCCCTTGTTGTTGATGTCGGTGCTTCCAACATCTCAGTAACTCCGGTGCATGACGGGATGATTCTAAAACGTGGGGTCCAACATTCTCCTCTAGGCGGCGACTATATCTCGTCACAAATCCGCGCTCTTTTCAAGACCAACACACCGCAACCGATCACCATAACCCCACATTATCTCATTTCATCGAAAACCGCTGTCGACGCTGGTCAGCCTTCGCAGGCAAAGTACAAAGCTTTTCCACCTGAAAAGACACCGGACGCTTCATACCGCACCCTGCTGGAAGAGCGAACGCTTTCAGAGTTCAAAGAATGCGTGGTCCAAGTGTGGCCTGGACCCAACAAGCTCTCTGCAACGGGCCCCAGCGGGGTCTCGAATGAGGAGGTTGCTAGAAGTAGTCCCGGTCGGCCATTCGAATTTCCCGATGGTTACAACCAGGTATTCGGCCTTGATCGCTATAGAGTTGTGGAGTCCCTGTTTGATGCCAAAGCTGCAATTCCAGACCCGGAGTCGCCATTTCCTACCCCAACGCAAGCTCAGACTGTACCCGAACTGATTAAAAATGCGCTTAATGGGGTTGATGTTGACATCCGCCCGCATTTGCTGGCTAATGTTGTTGTCACGGGGGCATCCAGCTTACTCCATGGCTTCACCGACCGCCTCAACCAAGAACTTCTGCAGACCTATCCAGGACCGCGAGTCCGGATTTCTGCACCAGGCAATACGGCTGAACGCAAGTTCGGCTCTTGGATTGGCGGAAGTATTCTCGCTAGCTTGGGCACCTTCCATCAAATGTGGATTTCGAAGAAAGAGTACGAAGAACATGGCCCAAGTATCGTCGAGAAGCGCTGTAAATAGCGAATCGTCTGACCTGACCTGCTATTTTTTATTCTGTTCTGTCCCATCCCACATGAAAGGTAGTTGCAGTTCATTGTGCTTTCAGGCTTTTCTTGGCGTTTTCGTACTACTTTGGATGGTTGAACAGGCTCTTCTGGAAGATTTTATCATAGGGATAGGATTGAGGAAAGCAGCAGAGCCCATCTATCTTATTATATTACCTAGCTGTACAAGTAATGCGAATTTATTCGGTGCATCCTTCTACACTTTGTCACTACACCCCAAGACGTCGAGCTGATGTCCACTGACGACTAGTGTTCACTTGTCTGGCAATGATAGGAAGAAGTGTTTCAAATTCTTCCAGAAGAGTAGCATAGTCTTGGCTGTGTAAGTGCTTATGCTTAAGAGAGCCGAAGTAAGGCTTCGCTCATAGACAATCTCCAAGTAACAAAACTTAGCCCAAGACTGGATTCAGATAGTAGAATTCTGAACACAATATGCCTGGTCTCTCTCGGATGCACTGATGACAAATCAGGCATTTTAATCCGCTCGGTCAAGATAAACCAAGTCGTTCCGTAGCCTGCTTATGGTCAGCTTCTGCAATGACAGCAATTTACGCCCGTACTACCTACTAATGGAGATGGTACACATGGCAGGGCTGTTATGATCGAATGTGTCTCTAGCCCTGTTGTTTCGTTATCATGGCTATCGTTGGCACCACAGTCCTCTTCTAGCTCTTCTGCCAGTGTCATATGGACCGAAAGGGCGTGGATTCTAGGTGCAATATGACGTTTCAATTTCAGAGAATAGGTGTTCTGTGATGTATTGCCCTGTAACCAGGCCATTGATCTTTCCAGCTCGTCTCCAAATACTTCTGTTTGAAGCTGTCCGGAGGCCTCAGGCGTTGTTGATGTCGCACAGAACTCGCTGCAAGGCCCCTCCTTCCTTCTCTGTGGGGGATAGCAAGCAACCTTTTCTTTTCGAATCGTGCTCTCCCAGTCATCGACTACTCGATCCGACTTGAAGTAATGCAATAACTGATTTATCATTGTTTCTCGTCTTATTGGTGCTCGGGCAGTATAAGGTTGTCTTGGCGGTGACTTCGGAGGCGGCTCTACTATATCCTGTTGGTCGTGCTGCTGGTCTTTCTTGAGTTTCCGGGAGGTCAATTGCTCTAGGGAGATACTTCGGGACCTCAAAGCCTTACAAGGCGCTGTAGCGGGCCGGGATTGCTTTATTTCGACATTCTCGCTCTCAGGCCCCTTATTGGTAGATCTAGCTTTTGAAAACCTCCTGCTAAGGTTCCTTTGAATTCTCGGCACAAGCGTAGTCAGACTAGAGCCGCCTATGTCAGAATTTAGAGATTCTGCTTCACGTGGGAGGGTTGCATGCCCTTTACGATTATGAGACTCGTGCAATGCTCGGAGATTCGGGGCACTCTTTCGCGTGATTCTGTGACGTTCAGTGCCCCATAGAGATGCCCCGGCTGACTTGTTTGTGAAATCTGACAAGCACGGGTCACGCGGCAGAGGCTTTTCCGAACTAGAATGACCTAAAGCAATAATCGACGTCCGCTTTTCAGACAGTCGTCCTCTTATTGATTTGCTTCGGTACGTAGCAGTTGCTGTTTGTATGGAAGGCATCTGCTCTACATTAGGAAACTAGTTCCGCCGTGAGAGACGCCTGTAGACAATCGATGAACCAAGTACTTACCGCCTCTTTCCTGCTCGCTACACCTACACGCCTTTGCATTTCGGTGGTTGCCAGGCCAAGTTGAGACAGTGCCGAGTGGAGTGCAACCCCTTTATGGCGGAGTTCCGAAAAGACTGTATTCCAGCCCTCCGTATTTGCCAGCATGGCATCATAAATCGCGAATACCTTGCTAGACAGGGGTCCGTATTCTTTTGCAGACTGTTTAAGATATTGCCATAGAGCCCCAATGGCATCCTTGCCTTTCTGCATATCTTTTAAAGAATCTCCAACGGCAATAGTGAACCTTTCAACGGCATGCTCAATCTTTTCGTTATAGTCAACGACGGCGAGGCGGAAGTTGCGGTCCTGTAACATCTCATCGAAGAGCTCTAAGTTCTGAAGGGGAAGACTGAGATATTGAATCCGTGTGCGCACATCGATCTGTATTATAAGGAAGTCTTCGATAGTCCTTCCGAGAAAGCCGTCTAACTCATCCACATGGCCTTGAAGGATTCTCAGGACTTCTGAATCGGACTTGGCTAGCCTATGAGCTAGAAGGTAGATGCCAAAGGATATCTGAGAGACAAGCTTCCAAAATGGGTGATATCTAAAATGGGTTAGTTTGCACATTGATCAGAAGGGGGTTGTGCGTTATGCAGGCGTAACAACTGCTTGCCTTTCTCCGGGCCGTTGACGCCATCTTCTGCCACACAGTCGTTCATATTTGATACTCTCTAGCAGGTCTCTGCGCCGGGATTGCGCATCAAGCACAACCATCCATTCGCTTTCGGTTCCTTCGGTGGCTTCAATTATCGACTCTTCAAAAGGCCCTTGTAATTGAGAGATTGGATGCACAGGTACTCGACTAGTGTCTTTGCTATAATCTGACCCATGCTTTGTTCTTTTTGCTGCGTCGGTGGCGGAGGTCAATTGCTGTTGAGGGCTAGGTATGAAAGACATGAATGCTAGGGGTCAAGCCAAGCAGGTCACCGTGGGTACAGATTTCGCCCAACTGTTTATTCTTTTCTGTTGTTTTTAGTGCAGGTAGGATAGAAAGAGGTTTGTATATTTCTAGCTGCACATGTCAGGAGGAGCAGTACAGTGAGCTACCTCTATATAGAGTGATAGGCCGAATCAATCGCGCCACATTCGCACATTCAAGCTTTGGCAGGCTGAACAGTCACACCAATATACTTTCCTAAACAGATACAACAGAAGCGGGGGGCAAAGAAGGATATTCCTGGGGTGGTATTTAGAAGAAGTCGATAGACAACACCACACTGATCAAGAACTGAATATAGACTGAACTTTTTTCTCCCGCTAGATAAATGTGATTCCTCAAACACACGCAAGCGCAATGTGATCAGGATATTGATTATATATGAGGACTAATGCTCTGCTGGACAATATATACTTCGCCAATAGAATAACGCGGAAATGGCAAGCTCTACAGCACAAGCAGGTGTTAAAGTCCATATATAATGAACAGTGGCAGAGTTAGAGAACAAAGAAGAAAACAATGAATAGGTGGAGATTTAAGAGTGGATGTTCCATGTCAGTGTGCTGAGCTGTTCGCGGGAGCTGAGTTGGATTTCAGGGGAAGGACCAATGGCTGTGGATTTTTTCTTTTTCTTTTTTGGAACTAGGTAGGATTCGAGATTACTGTTTAATTTAATTAAATTTTCTTCCTTCTATTTAATTTGCCGAATACCATGTATTACTAAGTTTACCTAACTGTAGTTATGTACATACCTATCTTAGTGGATAAGACCACCCTTGAACTAGGTCTCATTGGATGATTATGAGATCGGAACATTCCAAGACATCATGATGTATGTACATACCTTCTGAGAAGGGAGGAGGTACAATCATAAGGAGACCAATAATAACAAGGATAGGCAGAGGGAAGAAGAAACAATGATGAGGTACCTACTGCCAGCCAACTTTCGCCTCTTTCTCTCTCTATTCTAATAATACCACAAAAGGAGGAAGATAGAAACGGGGCGGGAGAAATTTGGTCACATTATCATCCCTGTCTAATGAGTAAGTATTACTTACGTGCGACTCCACTCTAAGCCCTAAGCAGATTGTCAGACTCGTTAGCCGGGTTGATCCCTCATAATGAAAGTACGGAACGTCATAATTAGTCAATGGTCCTCCTTTCCACCTCCGCTTCTGGCTCCTTTACCCCTTGTGAAGTGATAGTAGACTGTAGGCTCGCACCGTAGATCCTATTCGACTGGAATCGCCAACGGTAAATGCCTAGGGACTAAAGAAGTAATTCACAGAGTATAGACATCGTATTTATTGACACGAGATAGTTAAGATGGCATCCTCAAGATATGTACAGGATAAGATCTAGCACATGAAGTAAGTATGCATCGGGAAAGGCAACTAGATCGGAGTCGCTAGAAAAGTAAAGGAGGCCTCAGGGCCCCGCTGATGAGGATCGGCACTGACTCCAACAAAATGCCTTCTCTACAAATGAGACGCCGTAAAACCGCCAGGCCTGAGCAAATGCTGTTCTCCAACCTTACTTCATAAGAGAGTTACCGGTGTCGCCCTTCTCACATGTTCTTATTTGGGTACGCGGTTTCGTATGCTATTAGTATTCAGGGCCAGAAAACCGGGTCCCAGAAGTTTGTAGGTAACGATAAATTCAAGAAATCTCCGAAGAGCATATCAATATCAGATAAGCCCTCGGCTTCGGAGCTTTGCAAGCTATTGCTTGACGTGTCTAAGGATCCGTGAGTTAAGGAAATTTGTGTGGTAGAAGGCACGTCACTGAGACGATCATCACTCTGGTAGGTTGGGGGCGGTAAGGTTGATATGGCATCTCTAGGGTCAATGGCAACGTTTCCCGATCCTGACGGTTGATTGGCGTCTTGATTGGATCCGTGATGCATAAGGTCCAAACCGTCAACCTGGTGTAGGGCTCTTCGTCCTAGCCGTGCCATGGCTTCTGCAGAATACCAGGGCTTCCCCAAGGCTTCCAGAAGCGTACAGCAAGATTCCAAGCTAGCTTTGGCTCGATCAAAATGTGTGATGAGCTTGCTTGAGCGGATCTGCTGGTACGATACGCTCATAGAAAGTGCGAGCGCATATGGAACAATGGGAAGTGGAGGTAGATCTTGCGAACATTCAGTGGCTACGATGGAGTGTATTCGAATAGCCGAAAGACCTTGACGGATATATGAAGGCTTAGAACCGTCAGGATGGTTAGATACTTTGTATCTACATGAAAGGATGCCCACAGCATGATAGAAAAGCTCTAGGATGCCTATTCACTTAGTCAACTTAAGGAGAACGAAAGGAGGTCATAAGAGGTGCAGGGGCGACAGATTATGATTAAAAGAGACTAGACACTCACCAAGGGTAGCAAAGTCCAGATCTTGTCTAACATTATCACCCATAATTTCTTCGAAAGTTGGAAAGCCCGTCTCCCATCCAACCGTATGATCTGAGGTTGGCCTATAGAATGCAATCACGTGGGAGAGCAAATCGGAAATTGCAAACCAAGCATCAAAAGCAGTCCTTTCATGGGAGGGTTTGAGCCCGGGCTTTTCAATACCAATATCAGGGTCTGCAAGAAGAACAGGGCGGCCGCCCATACAAGCATGCAGTTTGTCTAGGGCCCACAAGCACCAAAAGAGGCTCGTCGAAAATTCCCCTGGTACTTGACCAGGCCGGTCGAGATGCAGGCCGACCGTCTGCGCCTGGTGAATGGCCTGGCAAAGGTGCATGGAGGCCGCCTCTGCTCCTTCATAACCCTCGCAATGCAAGGACATTAGTGCTAACGTGCGAATACGAGTAATCCGGTCGGACTCAAGCCCCTCATTGAGAGCGATTACAAGGCCTCTGTATAACTCAGAGCAGAACTGGCGTGATGTCATGAGAGGTCCATAAGTGGTGAGCCGAAGCCAAGGACCGGCCGCTTGGTCTTTCGCAGCAACAAGACAAATTGCCCTTTCCAAGAAAACTGATGTCGTACCTCCAGATTGGGAAAGAAGGAACGACTCCTCATCGACAATTGGTAGAATGTGATTAACCCTGCAGAAATAAATGGAGACCAAGCGGTCTCTTGTCGAAAGAGGGAGACGCTCACAAGTTTTAAGGGCTGATGCATACCGCTGGTGCAACAAATTCGCAACATATTGCGACCCGACGGGTTCGGATGAATAGCCTGATGCAACAGTAAACGCATCGGAGGTTGTTCCTATACCTCCTGCATCGCTGCGCGTAGCTGGGGAGCCAATCCAGAGGCCAATCCGGTCTCGAAGCTGACTTTCGCATGAGACGTCGAGCCTTTCCCGAATCACAGCTTCCGGATTAAGATCTCCCACGAAACGCTCTGTTCGGGTGAAATCTGTAGGCACTGGGTGGGTGACCCTTGAGCTGGTCTGTGTACTAGGGTACGAGGAACTAATAGATTGGTGATTTATAGGACCGAACTCATTTTGTTCGATGGGATGGCTTGACCTTTGCTGGTTTTGGACTTGGCTGTTTTGCATACCTAGATGGCGGCAGCGTTTCTTTTTACGACAGTTGAGCTAGCTTAGCTTCAAATTTTGATAACCTGCTTTACATTCCACGGCCCCTAGTGAACCACGCATACACAGACGCACCTTTCTTCGTTGGCAAAGAGCGCACGCTCTCAAGGCTCTAGTGCGACGCTGCGATTGGGGTGTGTCGGCGAGCCAAATGAGTTCCATCTTGTAAGAATAAGTATGAAAGTGGATAGCTATATTTGGTAGAGGTACAATAAGTCGCTATGGATGCATGTACTGCGTCAGGTAGTATCATGCTGATATGTAGTATCAAGAAGCATTGCGCTTTCAAATTTCCGATGATTGGTTTGAATCGATTGAGCTCGGACCTAGTACGACTAGCGCTACTATTTGTAGTATGGGCTTTCTAGTAAGTTACTAACTACAGAACGACGGGGGCGGGTCAGTGACCCGTCCGGCCAACTGCGGGACCGAAAAGAGGTTAGTGTCCAACTGCCAGTGAATACATTTAAGTAGAACCTGCCAAGCCCTGTCAATCTACGCGCGCGATTGACGCGTTGCACCCGTACGGAGTCTGTACAATATCTCAAATCCGGTGAGTATTATATCCGACAGATATCACCATTGCTATCATCGCGTTCTTCAATCCGAATTGCTAGATACCCTAGCCAAAACTCGCCTCAGCTTTTTCTACGTCCAAAAAAACACGTCGATTGCCTACCCGACAGCATGTCCAGTCCAGCAGGTCCGAAACGCAATGCTAATCATTTGACCACTCCACCGGTTGACACGAAGAAGCCGAAGAATGGCAGCATCACATCCTTCTTCCGTCCTCCTAAGGCCAAGTCTGCCGAATCCAAATCAACGTCCACCCTCTCGTCCAGCTTCAATAAACAAAAATGGGTAGCGTCGTTAACCCCGGAACAGAGGGAGCTCCTGCAGCTTGAAATCGAAACGTTAGATGAGAGCTGGCTGTCTCAGCTGAAAGAAGAGTTAGTGACACCCGAATTCCTAGCGTTAAAACGTTTCCTCCAAAAGGAAAAGCAGTCTGGGGCAAAGATATTTCCCCCAGAGAATGAAATCTATTCTTGGTACAGTACCATGTAAAGCCTTGACAAACAGAACCTCTCTTACACTGCTCTAGGTCCCGACATACCCCCCTTCACAAGGTGAAGGTAGTGATTGTCGGGCAGGACCCGTACCACAACGACAACCAAGCACACGGTTTAGCATTCTCAGTCCGGCCTCCGACTCCTGCCCCTCCCTCCCTGGTCAACATATACACGGGTATAAAAAATGACTACCCATCCTTTCAACGACCCCCTAACAAGGGAGGTCTTCTAACCATATGGGCTGAGCGCGGGGTATTGATGCTCAACACCTGCCTAACAGTCCGCGCGCACCAGCCTGCTAGTCATTCGAACAAAGGGTGGGAACGCTTCACTCAGAGAGCAATTGATACGGTAGCCAGAGTGCGATCTCGCGGAGTGGTCTTTCTTGCATGGGGTACACCTGCAGGGAAGCGTGTAGCAGGCATTAACCGACAGAAGCATTCCGTGCTTCAATCAGTACATCCTAGTCCTCTCAGTGCATCTAGAGGCTTTGTGAGTATATTAGTACACATGCTTTATATGATATTGTCACCTATAGCTAACGCAGGTCAAATTTTAGTTTACCAACGGACATTTCAAAAAGTGCAACGAGTGGTTGGCTACACGTTATGGTCCAGACGAGGTCATCGATTGGAGTCTGACGTCGGGAACAAAGACTAGCGTCCCCCTTGCTACAATTCAAAGCCCTTCTGCCCCGGCTGAAAAACCAGCGGACTCTGTTACAAAGATATCTGATCCACAAGCCTCAAATACGCCCGACAGAACAACCCAGCCCATGAAATCCCAAACTACAGATGAGTTCGATGACGATGTCGATGCCCTCGAAGCTTTAGTGGCAGCAGAGACTGCAAGCTAAGTTTCCGTGAAGCCCACTCCAAAATATCACGTCGAATTCAATACCTTGCAAATCCTTTGATTGCAACATGCTCATAAAATTCAATGAAAATCGATTCGCCTCTACAGCATTTGTGGCTTTCGTGGATATATGGGTGGACTGCGTTCGGTTTGGATGGGGGATTCTATTGCCTATAAGCCTACTTAGCCCAATACGCTTTTTCTCTAAGACTTGGATTTTGTCCTCTCTTCGTTACACTTACGGAAATTCTTTCTGATATTCGTGATGTATTGCTCGATCGCAGAACATACATTAGAATTTGTCCCGTCGAAAGTGGCATTAAGCCTATCCAGTAATGCTGAAAAAAAGGGGCAAAAATAGGCACCGAAAACTAGTACGAAAAATCGCAAATAGGATAACAGACCGTTTTAGCAGGTGCTGCACAAGATTACATATAAAATGGCCGAGATTGTTCAACTGCTGGTAGAATACAACATCTCATAAATTTGAATATCATGCCAGATGAATTTCACAATTCATCGTGCTCGGCCTTGTCATCGCTAGCAGAAGCAGGAGTCTCAGACTCGTCGGAAGTACTCGTAGTCTCGGTGGCACCGCCACTTTCCTGTTCCTCCTTTGAGCCGATATCAATCTTGTGCTTGCCATTCTCCTTGACAAAGTTCGCTAGATCCTCGACAGTACGAGGGCCTTCATATTCAACAGGAGAATCCTTGGCACCGGCCGGGTAGAGCTTGATGGTGGGGAAGCCTGTGATGGAGTCTGGAACATCATTGGCAGTTGCGTCAATCTTAGCGATGGTGACTTCAGGGATATTGCTATAAAGACCCGCGAGCTCCTCATACTTGGGGGCAAGGCTATCGAAGAATTGGTTAGGCTCACAATACCGAGTAATGTGATTTGATAACTTACGCCTTGCAGTGTCCGCACCATGGTGCATAGAATTCAAGAAGAACATCCTTCTCGTTGTCAATGACGAGATCCTTGTAGGAGTGGGCTACTACAACTGTCACAGGACCCTCCTGGGTCTCAGGGATAGCCTCGGACTTAATACTGGGCTCCACATTACCATCAAGAACATCCTGAATAAATTTACCGATATCCTTGGCCTTGACTTCTTTCGACTGGTCGTAGGGGTACTTGGCATTCTTTTCAGGATCTTGGATAGCGAATGCAGGGAACTTGGAGGGGTCGAGATTGAGATTGCCGGCATGAGCACCAAACATCTTAGCGTCGATGGTGACAATGTTGATCGCACCCTTATGTTTCTCGGCGACTGGTTTGAATTCCTCGGCGAACTTCTCACGCTCTTCCTTGGTTTCGGAGAAAATGTAGGCCAGTGGGATGCCAGCCTTCAATGAATTCAAAGGTCAGGAACTTGTTATAATGCACTACACACTGTTGCAAGGGATCGCGACGCCCATGACATACCGTGATATATCCAGAGTAAGTCTCTGGGCCAAGCTCGCCCACCAAGGGTGTGCTAGCAGTCTTTACCCAGCTGAGAAGAGCATCCTGCTCGATCTCCCCATCATAGATAGCCTTTCTCTCATCAAAGTCTTTGTACAGAATAATTGAAGGCTGCTTGGCACCCTCCGCCTTAGCAATAGCTGCATCATTTGTCATGGCGAAGAGATAGTTGTCTCTCTGGGACTCGGCAAAAGTGGTGAAAATGTCATTGGCCGCCTGGTCGTCAGACGGGATGTAGCCAATAACGACAATTTTGTCCATAGTCTTAATTTCTTCAATATTTTCTGCTGTGACAGCGGATACAGCGGGAAGCGACTGCTTCACCATGTATGAGACAATACTGAAGCTAGAGTCAATATCCTTTGGACAAGAAGTTAACGGGCAGGTGTCACTTACGCCTCGGTCTGACGAGCCCCCTGGTAAGGTTTGACAGAATCATGACCACGGAAAATCTTGAGGGTGGGATACCCTTCCACTCCTTGATCACGACAAATATCCTCTTCCGCAGTGCAGTCAATCTTGACCAACGGAATGTTCTTTTCTTTCAATTCAGTCGCAGCCTCCTCATACTTAGGAGCGAGAGCCTTGCAATGGCCACACCAGGGAGCATAGAACTCGGCCAGAACTAGGTCATGTTCCTTGATGAATCCATCGAATGTGTCCTTAGTAAGTGAAATAACATCGGAGGGAGCTTCAGCTTTTTCATCAGTGGCAGAAGCTACAGCACAAGCTCCAAGAAGGCTCAAAGCCCAGAGTGCGAACGACCGCATAGTGTCGCAATTTTGTCAAATAATAAAGTGGATCTTCAAAGGGGGCGTGTTGACTGTCTACGCGGACAGCAGGGTACAAAGAATAGCCTTGAAAGAGGTCTTCAAATGGTGCCAGCGCTTCCCGGTCCCCCTCGGTAAAGAGGTAATGATGAGGAATGCGTGGAAGGGGGAAAGAAGGAGAAGAGAGGTGATGAGAATCTGTGGGAGGTGAATAGGTGAAATGTCGAGTTAAGTAGTGACCTTGGTATGGAGAAGCAGTTAAGGACAGTTTGTTCTTTCTGCAGTCAGCTGGCACCTGGGCAACCTGACTGGCCTGTTGGGTCCCGCCTCGTATGGGACACAGCAAGGGACTACCTGTAAGAAACCCAGATACCATGGGCCTTACTAGACTCGGGAAGCGCCCCACAACAATAACAGCCGTCGGGCAAACTGGGGGGGGGCGCCAGTACAAGTAGGAAGTACTCTTCTGTAGTAACTTGGTTTACCCAGGAACTATGTTTTTGTTTTCTTTATTATCATTACTTTCTTTGTTTCTTCTCCATTTATATCCAGATTTGGCTGTAGGTGATACTGGACATCTAGGCAAGTAATACATGATGGCTCCCAACTTAGAGTAATTTGCCATTATCTATTCATAACTGAGCAAATTAAACCTTTTGTTTCCTAGGTACTACTGGATGTGTGAAAGAAAGACGGAAGAATAACAATAAAAAAACAAGCTGCTTTTTTTCAGTAATGTGAAAGTGGGGGAACACTTGAGCTTAAATTCCATTTACTAGCATCACATTGCTAGGTTTGATCTAGAATTGATACGTACAGTGTACTGTATGTACATACCTCCAGGCTCCAGGGCAGCTGGTAAGAACTCGTCCGGTAATACACTCATAATATAGAGTACATCTGACTAATTTTATTGGGTTCATATAGTTAGTTAGCACTGCCTTACCCAAGACACTACCTACCCACAGGTAGTAGGTACCTATTCTTTTCTCCATGGCAAGGTGCATGGTAACTAACTGGTCCTGGTAACGTTAGTTATGGTCCATACTAGTTAGTAAGCGCTGAACTCCTGAATTGTCACGTAGGCGCTAGTCAAGGACTAATTTCTTGCCTAGATCAATGTAGTTAACTACAGTAGACATGCTTATATAACAGACTATAGTTAGTCAGAACTTCGTTTCGCAGTTAGAACAACTAATCTACACGTATGAAGTATAGAAATATAGGTACTAATACTATCCCTTCGTCCATCATTGGAAATCAAGATCATTTTAGCGCGGTATTGACTAAGCTATATTCTATAGACATAGCTACGCTGTATGTAGGGATACTTTCTAGAGATATAAAATAGAACGTAGTCCTTAATTTTTTCTTATCTGACTTATTTATATTGTTATGTAATCCCTAGAGCATAGAATAGTTGTGAATCAATATCGGAAGATGCCAGAGTACCTTAGTATAACCACCCTGCAAATCGCTGTGGCTGTGGGGAAATATGTTAAATTGCAGTCCAGGGAACCGCGGGTAGGTGTGCCTAACAAAATAGCCCTTCAACAGTACTGCCGCATACGTGGCATTCCAAAATTCGGCAGACCACTAGGTAACTACTCTGTAATTACCTACTACCCGTTGTACTACAAATAATGAATTTGATAAAGGGGACAGCATGTATCATTACTGCATATATAGATACTACTTAGCAGTTACATGTATGCATTGGAAAGTAGTATACTTATCCTCTCGACTGTTAATCTAGGCATTCTTTTTTTCGCAAATTTACAGGTGATAAATCTTCAAAGATAAAATTTCATTGCACATGCTAGCTCCTTCCCGTTTGCTGTTTCCTTTTATCAAAGGTCTCAATGCCGATTGTATTCTGCAAAAACTTTCTTTATCGGGCTCCTGGACAAGTGGTGGCTATCTAAAACAGACGGGAGTGGGTGTAAATTGCTCGGAGTACATTCAATTAGGTAGGAAGATAATTATAGTATTCCAATGTAGTAGCCTGCCAGGAAATTGTGTAACTCGTCATCACCCACTCTGCGCGGCGGCATCTTCATTATCATGTCGACCACAAGAAACCGACCCATATCTAGGCGCGCAGGACTTTTGGCTACCCTCCAGTTCAGCTGATAATGCAAGTGCGTCCCGTTTTCCTCGGTCCACATCCACAAGAAGCATGAGCGGTAGTGGAAGTATTATCAAAATCGCAAGAAAGACAAATGCAGGTCTAATCTCTCCGTAGCGGTCTGTGATCATGCCAACGATAGCTGGGCCAAATATGCTCGAACCCTTATCAGTGATAGCGTAAAGGGCGTAAAAAGCTGCTTCGTATCCGGGTGGTATCAACTCCCCAAAAAAGCTCCGGCAATAAGAAGATAGTCCACCCATAACCAGCCCATACACGACACTGAGGGGAAACATCTCCCATGGCTGTTGGAGACCAAGATATCCAAGATCTCTGATTGCAGGAATAAACCCGAGAATCCCATAGAGCGGGACGAGTTCGAATAAGACAATGCATGCAATAATAGTTTGTGATGCGCGAAGATTGAGCGCCCGCGATATGTAACTCCAGGAAAATGCACCAAAGACCCCGGCAAGCATTGCTACCACGTTAATCATACCCAGTGCGGCAGGCTGCATATCCAGCTGGGTTTTGGCAAAAAGCACGGCCGTGCCACTGACAGTGGCAATTCCGTCGCTGAGAAGAAACCATGACGCAAGGAACAACAGGATATCCTTTAAACGACGTGTCCGAACTACTGTCCGGCCTAGTGCTTTCCAAGCATAAAGAATGTAGCCAGGCCATGAACGATGTTGTCTTCCGTCTTGGGCACACGGTAACGGTGGACCAGGACGAGGCCGTAGCCAAAGTGCTGCCGGGATCGTAAAAACAAGCCACCACAATCCAATCAAAAAGAGGACAAGTCTCAGGGAGAATGTTGTTTGATGCGTGCCGATAACAACCAAGATACAGAGTATCTGTAGTAGTACAGCGCCAATATAACCAATTCCAATTCCATATGAAGAGATCATCGTAGAGAGCTCTAGCTCTTGCGACGCCCCCTTAAGAGACACGGGGGCCGCATCCGCCACGGCCGTTCTATTATCGACTTGGTTTGCATAGAGTAAAGGCGTCGTGGCCTCATTGGCATGGTTGCGAGTGTTGTCTAAGGCATTATCCTCTAGTAAGCCTTGACGGGATATTCCATCATTGCCTCCAAGTAAAGATGGATGATGACGAACTATAAGCGGTAAAAATGAATTCAAGAGTACAAATGATGCACCAAAACAGGTATTTGCTATAACCGCAAACAGAGCCCCAAGAAGATAAACTTTTGGTACAACTGAGAGAAATAACATTGTAGAAATGGAACCGACAACGGCGAAAATCAGCAGAAAGAGTTTACGGTAACTCCCGTGGTCTGCAGCACCTGACATAGATATTATCAGGACGGCTTGGACTAAGACACTCACCGAGAATGTATACATGGCGAAGCTAGCAGTGTTAATCTCAACGCCAAAAATGTAAACAACACACTGGCTTGCGCCCAGTATATCACGGCCCTGGTACAACATATTGATGGCGCTTTGGTCCACGGTCTCATGTGGCGATAACTGTTGCGGACCTTTCCATGTTGCCCGGCACGGAGTCACTTTGTCGGATAGGAGAACGCCACGATCTCGAGCCATTTGCTCTAGTGTAATAGGGAGGAAAGACCCTAAGACATAAGACAAGATTAGATAGAGCACAAGGAAGCAAGCAACGGGAACACATGGTCGGATGCGTTGTTCGGCATCGTACATACCCATAGCACATACTGTGAAAACCTCAGCTGCCCAGCCATAGCTATACCACCCCGCAATTTCCTTCCTACTTGTCGGGCGAGTGTCATCGCCTGGGTATTGTGGAAGTAATAGGCCTTCACCTCCCCGCATACTGCTTTCGGGATAAGTCATTTATGATCATATCCCCAAAATAATAAATATCGATGAATTCGGAGGAAATGGCCGTCAAACTAATTGCTCTTCCGCACCTTCAGGATTGCTAGCGGATCGGTCGCATACCATAGGGTCAGAGGCGAGGACTAAAAGAGGTCAGAGGAAGCAACTGGAAAAGAACCGTGCTTTTATTGTACGCTTACTTACCTTTGAATTTCGCTATATGGTATGGTCGACTGATAACTGGAGAAGGAGTCTTCCGGGAGGTGAGAAGATTCGTAAGTGATATTTGTGTTGTTAAAGACGTGCTATTAAGGAACTTGATAGTTAGTAGACAGGTATGTAAGATATGAAAATCCTGCTGATCAGAGTTGTTGTAGCATTAATTTAGCTAGGGCAAAGAGTCCAACCCAGGAGCAAATAGTAAGGAAAGTATGAGAGCGGAGTGGCTTACCAAGGATCCTTTGAGATTAGCCTTTGTGTTACGAAGTACATAAGTGCATTACATTACCTTACCGATTACCATGCAAAGAAGCAGTTTATTGGCAGATCCGTATCTAGTGTAATTCAAACCAAGCCTTCTCTATGGATTATCAGATACTGTAATTACCTTACAGCTCAGTACAAATACCCTTTACTTCTAGAATCATAGTGGGGACTCAACCATGTTTCATAAGGCAGAAAGGCATCAACCCATCAGCCACTGAGGCTGCTCCCGTGCCCCATGCATTCGCATTGCATGGCGCGGGCTCTCATCTTCAAACGATTCACCTACCACATTCCCTCAAGACTTCTGTGCTGGTATGAACAGTTACACCTTCAGAACCTGTGTTCCTCTAATGACAGTACCTGTTGAAATCCTTACATGTCTTCTAGTTTCTCGATTTCATCGTGACAATTTTACCCTGATCTCACCTCAGCTCCCACCTCTGTGCTTTCCATTTTCATTTATCTTCTTGAATGTTTTCACCCTAGATACTCAGTTATATCATTGCCTTTAACTGCTATTAGTGACGCGGGCGCTTGCCACAACTTTCCAATTATATATCATATTCGATCGGAAAACCTGCATAGCTATTGTCTCAGTTGAAAGCAATTGAATCTCAAGAGCAGGATTTTCCCTTCTTGCTTGGTTTTACACCCCTTCCCTCCACTGCTCTTTACTCCGTCAGTCAATTGAATATACACACGCGACAAAGCTGACTTTGACGACCATTGCAACACTACTTGGGTACCGCTACGACCACTGAAAGTTGAGATATTCTGCGCTTTGACCAGACATACATGGCATTGCGCTGAGACTTTCGATTGGAACATAAGTCTCCATCTCCTGCTTCCCTTCCTGCCCCAGGCGCTATCTTGAAATCGAAACAGAGTATAGCCATTAGGTCAGTCGCCTTTGCTGCGCAGAGGGTGAAGGAGGGGAGGGCTTCGAAAGACAAAGTCACCAGTTTATGTCTAGATATGCCGGGGGTCGTTATGGACAATGCAAATTTCGGTGAAGCCGGACAAGGGCCAGCTGCCAACAATCCCTGGAATGGTATGCCACCTTCGACTGTCAGTGCCGATAGGCATTCAGTTTTAGGCGATGCACATAATAGACGACTTCATATCAATGGGATGACGAGGGGTACGGAATTGACCGACACCTCTGCGGCCAATGTTATCTCAACGAATTCTGCGAATCTACCAGAGTTGCCACATATAACGCAAGGCTTTTTCCCGTTCTCGAAATTGATTAATAGATCCGTGCAGCAATGCTGGAATGATCTTTCTGACTTGATCGCAGAAATGGCAGAGATCCAAGTCTCACCCCAGGACTCGAGTTCACTGCAACTACCTACCAGTGGGAAGCCACTGGGAAACCAGACCCCAGAAAACCTCCTGAAAAAATCGCGGGTCCTTGACTTTGCACATGCTAAGCGCGCAGAGTTCATCAAACTCCTTGTTTTGTCTCAATGGAGCCGACAAGCAGCCGATGTTAGCAAACTTATTGACCTACAAAATTTCATCCGTACTCGTCACCAGGCCTACATGAGCGCTCTACAATGGGTTGGTGACATGAAACGAGATTTGGTGCAAGCGCAAGTAGCCAATCCGGATTTGAAAACGGCTCTTGAGGTCCTGTCTATTGGTAAAGTATTGTCAATGTCAGATGTGCGCTCCATCTTTCTTCTGCTGCTTTTTAAGATCCTATGTTAACTTCTTACCACCTAGCTTGGATATAAACCACCCAGGCCGTTAACAGGCAAAGGCACACTCAAAAGATTACAGAAAATAAACCGGATTATCAGCGTGAGACTGGCTTTATACGACCTAGTTCCTCACGCCTTTCAAACTTACAGTATTCACGATGGCCGAGTCACATTTGCTGTGCCGAATGAGTTTGAACTCGATCTTTCAATCGGGCAAGAAGACGAGTCTTCCCAACTATACTTCGTCGACATACGTTTTCTTTTCACTCCATCGTCACCGATTCCCAAAGGTCGGACTCTCGATGAATTTGATATTAAAATCAATGATTCACTCCGAAATGGCGGCCTGACCGGATGTTTCGACTTATTGCATAGTCTTGTGCTTACCAATAAAGTAAATATACTTTTTAGGCAAGCCATGGAATTGGCACGGGGCGTCTGGTCCGATGTCTTACACGTTGAACTGTTACATCGAACGCTCGTTGTAAATTATTGGGCGCAAAAAGTTGGAGCTAAAAGTTGGCTAGAAATTGGAATCAAGAGCGGCCATCAATGTGGTGAAAAAGATGGCTCCACGTATCCTTATCTGGGCTTGCGCTGGATGAAGGACGGGCAAGAAGTTAACAGTGAGGACATCGAGTTCAACACAGAGAACCTTTCTGTGGAGTGTATTTTGCGGAGCGTCATTGCGCTGCATATATCTCACATACTCTCTTCCGCATACCGCATCATGAGCGAAAATTTACTCTATTCTGCCGGCAAATTGTCTTTGCGAGCTCAATTAAATAGAACCGAGCCTGGAGACTGTGAAATGAGCATCCAGCTTACGCCGTCCAGATATCTTCGAGTTTCTATTGAGCCAATGTCGGGAGCAAGTATTATATCGGCTACTCCCAGCGTTCAAGAGCGACTTGATAATGATCGCAGCTCTGACAGATCTTCCGCTGAGGATATAGTCACCCGTGTTGCACGACTTCGTTGTATTGCTGCGATAGATGAGATTGAATCGAGTGTCAGGATGTTGGGCTTTGAAACAGTGAATCCAAGGAGTTTAAAGATCGATTTTCGGAGGATGTTTCCGAGCAATGTCCTGCGATTTTCTTTTTTCTGGCACCATCTCTGGGAACGTAACTGGATTGTAGCAGCGACAAGCAGCATGGATGGTGATAACTGGTGGGTGGTGCAGCTTCAAACGGCAACTACAGCAGAAGGTTATTCAGCCTTCAATGCAAGCAACCATAGTTCGTCCAGTCTTCGTTCAGCGCAGGTCATCGGGACATTCCCCCCTAAAATTCAACATGTCGGCTACCCATCCTTGGCGAATTTATGGCATTATCTTTCTGGTATTTTAGCAGTCCATGCCAATGCGCGCTATCTAGTGGATTTGCAGTCTGTTGATTTCTATCCTCCTCCGCAAAGACTGGTGATTGAATCAGACCTTCGTGTCCCTGAAATCTTCATCCGCTACAGAGCGGCAAATATTCCCCAAGCACTTCGAATAGTCTTGCCTTGTGGGTTGAAGAAGAGAGTTCGTATCAAAGACACTATTCGTCTTGCATTTCATGGGATCGACCCTCACAAGAAGGTTGCCACGATGATCGCTTACGGGAACCTATTGATACCGACCAAATCTTTCAACGCTTTGATCTCGAGATGGGACCACTCGCTAGTTTTCCAGAAAAGAGGCACTGGGTTTGCTATCCGTTTGCTCGCCCCAGCTGGCCGTCCTGTCATAACCGAACTTATGGAAAATTTGCAAAGACTTGAATGTGTTCTGTCCATTTTTGAGAGCCTTCAGCGAAAGAAAATGGAGCCTCAATCCCTATCGCTATCACATGTTACTTTTGCTTATGGCCCTGAGAAAGACCTCCTCGCCACCCTCAATATTGAAACATCCATGCTGTCAAGCCACACTGAGTTTGACCCCAATGTTGTCGCGTCTCAATCACAGTCACTATTTCACCTACGCATTGGTGTATCTCTTGAGTATCCAAATCCTCATCGTCGTATTCAGAATTCTCTTGAGTCCACATTGAATCATAGTGCCGCCGATGCGGGTCTAGACACTGTGGCTGAACTTCTCATCCTTACACTTCCCTTGATGCGAGCCCTGGACCGAATGTTAGTCAACCCATCCTATCAACAGCAAATAAGGATGCAGGTGACTGTTCGCAATGCGAAGACATTCCAGATTCACTTCCCTGCACAGAAATTCCACTTTCAGTTAGCGGCTACTCATCATCGCAGTCACGTGGTTTGGATTCTAAGAGAGTTAAGCAAGCCAGGGGAAGGATCAAGCCACGATCAGCTCAAGTTGAGGCTTCAGGAAAGGTTGTATAATTCGAATGGCGATGGCTGGAGAGGATTGGGTAACGGAGTTGTTGCAGAGATTGACAAAGTTGGAAATCTCCTGGCAGAGCTTGACAAATGCTTTGTGGCTAGCGGCACTCTAGGTTATGAATTCCCCAGTTCTGAGGTGAAATTCAACGGCTCGAAAAGTTTTGGTCAACACTTGACAGAAGAGAATGGACACCCTGAAAGCATGCTCCATGAATCAGCAAGATTGGTAACTGCACCAAGCAACACAAGCATTCAGCACAAGGCCGGTGTTACCATGCAAAATGCAGATATAATCATGATTGACTAGAGACTTGGACTTTCTGGCATATTTGTTTGCCTTTTTTGAGTCGCTAGATTCTCAGGAATATATAAGCAAAAAGTTTTGCGTCCCTTCCCTTCGGTCTGCAATCTCTTCCTGGGTGTTCACAACCACATTGCTTGGGTATGTTACTGCAGTTGCAGTTGTAGTTACGTGTACAAATGATTTGTTTCGCATGATTTCCCTTCTCGCCCAGCTGCTCTAACCGGTTATGATTTATATAAGGTGGTTTCCATTGGTTGCATATTGAAGCAGGAGAACTAAGCTCGATTAATGCAATATTATATTGTGGTGTTTGCACGGCGTAATTAGGAGGGATTTTGTTTTTATTTATTTTTATCTTTGGTTATTCCTCACATCCGACATTGGCCTAGACTCTTCACTGTACCAGCATTCCTCTGTTTTTCCTCTTCGTGAGCGATCTTGCTACTGATGACTACTTACTGAGCTGATTACGGACATCAGTAGTCCTTGTTGAACACGTCGAATCATAATCTCATATACAATATCTTGTTTCCACAGGTGAGCATAGGTTGATAGAGAACTATGCTGTCGCTTTATAGAATCACATTAAGAGTCTAGCCCAAACCGCAACTTTGATCCATACTGACATGCCTTACGGTTTCTATTTCATCATTACATTAGTCTCGTTCTTGCCATCATAAAACACGACATGCAAGATGTTGACTTATGCCCGCCTTTGTGGCCACTGGCTAATAGTGCGTCTCTCTCACCCTTCCTCGGTTCCTGAAAACATCATATTCAACCCATCTCACAGATGAAAGGTCACCTTCAGGGATAAGCCTCCCAGGATTCATCACATGGCACCCTTCATAAGTCATACAAAACGGCGCAGCTTCAGGATCTGCTAGAATAAAGCTCGAAGGCAAGGGGTATAGCTGCAAGGAAGACGCATAATCCCATAAGATGGGTCGTAGCGAGAGGGGGAAGGGTGACATGGTGCCTTGATCCAGTATTGTCTTGACAAGTTTTCGAGACATATGAACGGCTGAAGAGACTGAATAAGACTCGGCTCCTATTCGTGGGGTCCTAGCCTCAGTCAAGCTTCCAGGAGATGCAATGTCCTTTTGATTACCCGTCGCGTCATCTATTGCTGTAAAATTGTCCATATCCTGCCCAATGCTTATTGCGTTGCGTCTCAGTCGACCTGAAATGTCATCACGAACTATAGCGATGTCATGGACTGGTCCAAATAGGGTGATGTGTGATGGATTCGTAGTCCAAATAGCTTCGCCCATAGGTTCGGACGTTTGGGAACGGTCTGACTCTGCATTGGCCGTAGCAAATGCACGTTTCACCCTCGATGTGAACAGTTCTGGAACCGCCTGGCGTGGGATAGTGGCAGCAGCACCAGCTGAAAAGGCAGATGACCAGGGATCATTGTCGCCTGGCACGAATATGAATGTAGAGCGCTGTAACAATGAGGGGAATTCAGATAATATCATAGCGAGCGAGTCAAAATATTCTTTGTACTCAATACCACCTGCCTGACCCCCACCATTGATCATGACCTTTTGGACGAAGTTCCCAATTAAAATGAAAACAGTCGGTCGTTCTCCTAGTGATAAATCACTGTACAGACCAAAAAGTCTCTTTAGTGCATCCAAAGTTTTGACATGATCGAGGTTGACCTCGCCCATGATTGCTATTTTGGTGCGGCGGGAGCCATCTTTGCCCCCGTGCAAGTCTCGCAGACATTTCGCCTGGATCTGTCTCATACGATGCCCCTGTGCACGCTCGCTTCCAACCCCCAGGAAGTCTACCCAGCCAAAGCCCCCGCTAGAGCTCACTTCTGCGGCATTTTGTTTATTAGTCCCTAGAGACAAGTCTCGTCTCTCGCAGGGAGGTCCACAGATAGAGACTCCGACAAATCTACCCCCAATAGCACCCCCAATCCCACTATTTCCACCCAATGTTGACCCCTTCATAGTTTCTTCCTCTTCATAGATCCCATCAATAAGCACAATCATCCCGGGCGCGAACCAAGCACCATCTTCAGGTATCATCCGTGCATGACTCAGTTCTAAGGCAATGCTCCCCGTCAAATCGGTAAGAGACAGATCACCCGTGGGGGAAACTGAGAGCATCCCGAGCAATAGATGGGAGGTACCACTCCTGCCGAGCAGGTTTGCAATTGGAGTGAGCTTATAGCATTGGTTAGCAGCGAAGGACGACGACGGTCGTGATAGTAAAGCTACACTGGAAGAGCCCAGTGTCACTTGAAAAGATTCGTTTCGGAGCAAGCGCTGGTAGATCACGTTATAACGATCCCGGAACAATGCAGTCTTATGGCAGGGCTGCGGAAACAGAGAAGGTTTCGACTTGGCAGCCTCAAAATATTTCTTGTCAGCGTTGTAGGTCAAGCGAGGAATATCAAATGCATCGACGACCTTGATCCAACTTCTCGGGTGTGCCGGCAGGTCTGAGTCTCCCTGTTCCCGGTCTTCCAGCGTCGTTGCCGCGCAGGGCGATAACTGTATATCTAAATGCGCTCTGCCCCTATACTGGTTTAAAACCCTCAGAGACACGTCATCTGGTGTAGCGGCCTTGCCAATGATAACCCTACCGCCGCTCATATTCCCTTCAATGGTCTGTAGGATTGTTTTCAGCGAGGCACCTTTGCCTTCTTCTATAATAACGCCTCCTCCGGCTTTTTTCCAGCTTTTAGCCACCTCGTCCAATACTCGTTCTGCGAGGCCTTCTTCGCGCCATCCTGACCCACAATTCCTGCCCACGAAGGTAGCTAGAGTCTGTAGTGCAGATGATGAAATCGTCAGGTTGTGTTTCCGAGTAAACGTACGGAAAGCCACAGGCCGAAGAGTAGAGGGGGGAAGTAAGATGGGCAGTATAGATGTCCTCGCGGTAAGATGATTGGATTTGTTTTTTCGCAAAGGGTGTGCGGGAGATCCAAATGCAGGTGATGAAGAAACTAGATCCGAATCCATCATCATATGAGTATTCGCATGTATCTATTGATATCTGATATCGTGGGGTCCGTTGTAACTGCTTTTGATTATTCGGCTGGCACCATGGGGGTTTACTCTATTTGCACAATTTGTCGATCTCGCCGTGATATTGTGTTGACTGCCAATGAGTACCTGAAATTAGATTGGTAGACGCGTGATCACGCCTGCCGAAAGACGCGACCCGTGCGGGTCCAGACTCTTGGCTCCTCGATCACTTATCTTGTATTAAACCCATGAATTCTTCTTTTTTCCTGCAGACCTAAATCCTCGCTGCGTAGGGATTATTTATTCGCTTCTATTGTTTCCGGTGTTTACCTACCTTAGACCATCAACAACCTCGGTTTTCAGGAACGACCGTATCCCACACCAAACACTGCGACAATGACAGAGCATGTCCCTACTGAAGTGATCGCCACAACGCTGCCTAATAATGCCGGGGATATGAGGGCGCATTTAGCAGATTTAACTAAGCGGGCTGCCGCTAAGGATGCTGTCAAAGATTTCAACGCAGCTGCTGAGCTCTACTCTGAGGCTACGGAACTCCAGGCTAGGTTGAATGGGGAATTGTCCCTTAACAACGCTGATCTCCTTTACGCTTATGGGAAAGCCCTCTATAACGTAGCTGTGAGCAAGAGTGATGTCCTTGGGACCAAAGTGGCTGGGGAGAATCAGACACAGACACATGACGCGCTTACTGAGGATGCTTCTCTGTCTCGGGCAACTTCTGCTAGTGACCACCTTGTTCATAATTCAATCGCCAGTGGACTAGCTCAGAAGGAGATGCTTGGGGAGAAGGCACAGTCTCAGAATGTCGAGAACAAGCCATATTTTCAATTCACAGGCGATGAGAACTTCGACGCCTCTGATTCCGAGGATGGGGATAAAGGCGAAGGGGCTGAAGAAGACGAAGACGATTTTGCTAATGCTTTTGAGGTGCTTGATCTAGCTCGTATACTCTACCTTAAGCAATTAGATGCAGCGGAAGAAGAACGTGGAAAAGGCAAAGCCACAGGTCTGCCTTCGCATGTCAAACATATCAAGGAACGCCTCGCAGACACATACGATCTTCAGGCTGAGATCTCGCTAGAAGCTGAACGATTCACAGATGCAGTGGCTGACCTCAGAACGGCGCTGGAATTAAGGCTATCACTGTTCCCAATGGAGGATCCTTCTATCGCCGAATGCCATTACAAGCTTTCGCTCGCCTTGGAGTTTGCATCTGTCAACAAGGCAGATGATAGCCCTGATTATACTGACGGCCATGGAAAGATTCATGAAGAAATGAGAAAGGAGGCGGCTAGTCAAATGGAAAAAGCGATCGAAAGTTGTCGAGTAAGAATGGCACAAGAACAAAAGCTACTGGATGACGATAGCACACTAGAGGAAGATAAAGCGACAGCTATGAGAAGAAAAGTGGCCAATGTGAAGGACATAATAACAGACATGGAGCAAAGGGTAAGTTTCTTTATAGCCACCGCATTTTTAAAGGCCCTCCATGACAACACAGACATCTAACTAGTCAACAGCTTATTGACCTAAAGCGCCCATCGGTGTCTCTTGAAGACCATGAGAAGAGGAATGAAGCTGTGTTGAAAGGCATCTTGGGTCAAATAGTAGGACAGTCACCCGCAGAACAGAGGGTACAGTTGGACAAAGTCACGAAAGAAGCCAATGACCTTTCTGCTTTTGTCAAGCGGAGGTCAGGTAATAACCATCAACCCGGATATGCGCAGAAGCGCTCGGCTCAGGAACAAGACCAAGGAGAAGAAGGTTCGAAGAGAGCACGGGTCGGCAGCACAAGCGGTCCCAGTTCATAAGCAGTTCTATTAGTTCCTGCTGCGTTAGCCTTCACTCAGCTTCGCCCTTGGTCATCCACTTGGCGCTTCTGTCGGGCTATGGTTTGTTTCACCTGGAAAAAAAAAGACTGGATCTAGTCTGGCGCGATATTTGGCCTTTTTCTTTCTCTCCTTTTCTCTTTCTTTTCCTTTCTCTCTTTTTGGTTTTTTGTTAAACAGAAAAGATACCCAATCCAGCATATATTTGGGTTATGGACGCTCGAAAATGAATTCGCGACCCTTCTAGCTTAAACATTACAATTATGAAATCCTTTAGAGGCTAACTATGAAGAATTTTTTGTTATTGGAGGCAAGATGGATAACGGGGTATCAAGATGCGACAGTTGGTATAGCAGTAGCGTTCAGGGCGTGATACCGAAAATTGACGGATGACGGTCTAGTTTGCGGCTTCGCCGTCGGATAGCCAGGCCAGGACTCCAAACACCAGCGAACAGATCTTCACATTCATCTTCGTCCTGGCTATCGAACTCCACACGATCGCCCGATACCTCGAGGTCCAAGGGCCGCAGTCCAGGTAATGCAATAGGGTCGGCATATGAAGCTGACTCCCATGAGGAAGACGTCATAGTCCGTTTCGTTTCCAAAATAAATTTGCCAACCTTGTAACGTTGCGATTCCTCCTCGGCGGCAACATATTTCCATCCAAGCACACTGCCGCAAAAAGCACAACTGATGTCACTAACTGTATGAGCACCGGTGACTAGTTGACGCGATACGGGGTTCTGTATTATGGTATTTGGGAGTGAATCTGTCGGTGAGGACGTTGTACCGAGGGATACTGCACAAGCGATAGGTTCCGCAGACACTAGATACGCGCGGCCATGGCGACCGGTAAACCCTTTACTGATTATCTGGGACGTTAAACATAAATCTGTTGCGCAACGCGAACATCGAATATAAGATATGTGGCCACTTAGGTATTTCTTGTCCATAGACAAAGTTTGGACAGGCGCGTTGGGGGAGGGCGAACACCCCGCATTGCGCTTTCGGGAACGGAACACGGTCGGTGGGAGAAGGAATTTGGGGAACATGGGGAGCAATATATGATTGCAGAGTTATGTGTTGTGGTTAATTTACGAAGTATAGAAGTGGAGCAGCTGGGACTTGAGAATCAATCCCACTGTAGTTTGGGTTTAGGTGGTATACGGAATAATCCATAAAGAAATAACCTCGTATATATTTATAACTAGAGTGTCATACTGAGGTCATACCACCCTTTTTGTCCAACCCAACACCCGACTGGAGCCGAGACCTCGGGAGGAACTACAATATGCATTCTCATAGACCACCAAGCGTACCTGACTTCAAATACACTGTAGCCTACCTTATGGATAAGCAACTAGCCATTGTCACAATGATCCCCGCATATCGACCGTGATTTCCATTGACCGCGGAAGGCAAGCCATTTACCGTTACCACTGCTTCAAGAAACAAAACATTAATTATGGTAGACAACGTATAATGCATTCCATGCCGCCTCATGTTCAAAAGATAGTAGAAAACTGCCGCCGCACTTCTAGACTTCCGCACTCAAAAAAAGCCACTTAGCACTAAGAGAAGAATCGAGACAACCCCTAGTATTCCATGGTTGTAGTGTTGTCAAGCTAAACCCACACCATCCCAGGTTCCTTACAACTTCGAGCTCTGTTGCATCCTGCGAACGCGGAATACATACAATGATCTGGGAGCACCCAAATTCTGAGAGACCTGCAAGCTCAAAAAGGGCAATCAACCTAATGAGTCGTGAGTCTCTATTGTATTCCATGGTGACATGCCTATAAACCCGAGGTAAACATACCCAGTCTTGAGGCCTTGCCCTAGTGCACGTTCCCCGAAAAATATAAATAGAGCGCGCTCCTCATTCAACTCGGTCACGAATCCTCGGTAGATACAATCGCTTGTATAATCCAGAACCTCAACCCAGTCTTGAAGTTGGCTATGCTCATAACTTAAACTGCTCGGTTGTGCCTGGTACGCATCTACCCCAAGCAACTCTTGTCTAGAGAATCTCCCCTCACCAAGGAAAATCACAGACAGTGTGTCACAGAAGAGCCTCTCACACTCTCCCGGGATAGTATGCGTTGCCTCCCCTTTATGTTCCGGTACAATGGTGCCCGAGAACCCGCTCTCCATTCTCGGACGAATGGAGAGATCAAGGGAAGGTCTTGGAGACAAAGTTTTCGACCCTGAGGGGACCTCAGGGATACCACTGGGCCCCTGTAGAATATAGTAGCACGACATCAGCACTATTGACAGAGCCTGCGTTATTTAGACATACCGGCCCCAGTCGTAGTGTAATAGTGGAAACCATTAACTGTCGATGTTGACGTTTTGACACTGTAGCAGCTTGCAAGTACAGTTGTCTGGGGAGCTTTGTCAGAAAATCGCTGTAGATGGTTGTACGTATTACTATTGTTGTTCATAAACTTAGCCATTGCGGTGGTTGAGGTGGCCTAGAGGAAGGGATTATTGGGTATAATTCTTTGCATAGATGGGTTAGGAATGGTAGCGAGAGGTTCACGAAAACCAACTAGGAAGGGAGGGTCTGATTGGCAACGTAAGGTGATTACGATCAAAGAGTAGCTAAGATGTATTGACAATAAGTTTACTGCTGGGCAGTTATTTGTAGTTTGTCAGCCGATGTTGCAGACGATTGAAAGGGGGTTAACTTTGGGCCGCTGTTGGCCATTATTAATTAGTCAAGATGATGATACGGAGTACGGTCATCTGACTTGGTTGTGGATATAGTCACGTGTCAATAAACTACCCTTCTGAAGGATGTGGTAAACCTACGTCTTGGATTGTCTATCATAACTAGAATCAATCTTGCAAGGTCTCTTGGCAATCATGGCTGTTGCGAGACGTCGCCCGATTTTAGCCCAACTCAGGTAATACATGATCAATGCAACGACTTATAGTGTATACATCACATATGTAGAATATACAGGCAAGAAAGATACTACATGTGAAAAGAGAAGAGTAGTTCCCACACACAGAATATGCTCCGTAACTCCCAAGCCGGCATGGACCCAAAGTAACAAAGGGGAAACATCGCCTGGATCCCTACAAGGAGCTTAAAGCTCCCGATAATCACTAGGCCTTATCCTCCGATATCTTGCTTGATGACGTTGTGGGTTGACAGGCTGACGAAAGTATGCCGTATCTTCCTCTCTGGCATAGGGGGTGCTAAATGTGGTCCGCTGTTGGTTTGAAAAATGGCCTATACTTGGCGTCTGTGCGAAGCCTATATTCTGTTGCATATTCCCTGCCATGTGATTAATGGGAAACATGTTCATTGGAGTATCGCCCACGCCATTGAACATATTCGCTGCGCCATACCCAGAATGGACTGTACCATTTGTGCTGTCGCCATATAGGTCGCCTTGGAGCGGGTTAAAATTCATACCACTCATAGCATTCCAGGATTGGCCGATGCCGTTGGGGTAATTATTCGACGAAGGCAAGCCCACAGGATTCATGTATCCCATTCCTTCTCCAACGAAACCAGTATCAGGAAAAGACATGGAAGGAATGCCCTGGCTCTGCATAAAATTGAGTCCACTAAAAGGCATTTGATGACCAAAAGAAAGCGACTGAAATCCGGTAGAAGGATCCTTGAGTTGTGAGGGTGGGGTTTCAGTTGGCTTATGATGATCTTCGGCTTTCTGTTTCTTCTGTGTGAAACCTGAGTCTGACTCTTCGGTAAGCCCATCAACAGGACCATCCTCTGCAGGCCTTTTCTTGAAATGCTTCGACAAAACTGCCCTAGGCGAGGCTAGCGATGGCGCCTCTGCTTTGCTATTTAAGTCATCACCCGAGGAAGATGTTTTGTTTGTTGGTGGATTTTCTTGAGTAGCCGATTGCTTCTCCTTCTCTTTCTTTGAATCGGCTTTCTCGATCTCATAAACCTTGGTCTTTGAGATGGCATCATCGTCCGCAGATAGATTATCCAGTAGGACACCTTCAGTTCCACATCCAGGGCAGACGAAATCGCTTTCAATTAAGGCATTTGTAATACAGTCATTGCAGTAAGTTCTGTGGCAGCAAGGCGTTTTTGTGGGCTCTAAGAACATCCGTTTATCAATTGGACATTCTAGCCCACGTGCTTGCAACTCCTTGCTGTATTCTGCTGCCGCAGCTTCTGCTGCCGCCGCCGCCGAGGCCTTAGCCTTTTCTTGATACAATTCCCAGGCTGCCTTGTCTGGTTTGGCAATGACAAAATCACCATCAGCATTAACCATAACGCCTGTATTCTTTAGATCTTCACTAGAGCCATCTATTGTGAGTGAATCGGGCTTGTCAACTTTCGTTTGAAGAGAGCGAGGTATGCCAGTTGACCGCTTCACTCGATACTTGCCATCGAATTTAGGATCATTGTTAGTCGGGCACGCTTGGATCCAGTGACCTGAAAATATTTTAGCCAACTTTCGTCATCAAAATTGTCACCAATCCCAAAATGCACATGACACACCTTTTTCACGGCAGCGATAACAAAGGTATCCGGGAGGTGGAGGATGGTCGGGGACATTAATAGATTTGCCTCTTCCGCGACCGAATGGGACAGGTGTAGCACTGTGGATATTTATCAACGTCTGAAATCGTGTGTATGAACAGAGCATGCTCACTTTGCCATCTCTTGTTGTTGTTCTTTCCATTGATTGGCCTGCAGGTTAAAAAGTGCGTTTATCTTCTCTTCTTCGGTCTGCGCATTGTTAAGCTCTAGGACGCCATTGCTGACTGTATTGCTAGAATGGGACACTGTTCGACTTGACGAAGCTTGGTCATTACGAGGAGCATTGCGCGCATTGACTGGCATTTTGCCGGATACATAACGAGTAGCACCGCCTTTGCCAGGTCGTGATGCAGGTAGTCTGCGAGCTATGACAGAAGTCGAACGAGGTATAATCGTGGTGTCGTCATCGTACTCTGAGGCATAAACATACGTTAGCTGCTTGTTTTCCTACTCTCCCTCCCTTTCTCTCCCTTCCTCTATTCGTGGCTATTCCTTCTCATTCTTTCATTCTTTCTTCTTCCTTTTTCTAACCCCCACCCCCTTTCTTTTCCTTCTCGTGATTGGCAACATGCAAAGGAAGATATGGAGTGGAGAATAATTGGCTCGTTCAACTTACCTTCCCCAGTATCTTCATTGTAGATAGACAGCTCGAAATCGGTTCCGTCACCCAGCCTACTCTGATTGATAATTTCACGTTTCAATTCAAAGACAGAGATACCGGTACCATCAAAAGTTACCCTTGAGGGTTCTTTCTGAGATTTGAACTTGAAGTGAACAGAGGATGACATTGTATTCAATTGGACGTCCAATGAAAGTGTTTGCGAATGTAATTAGATGAAACTTAAGGGGTATCGCTTTCGCAACAAAAGAAACAAGAAAGAGTAGGAAAAGAAAGGAAGCAAGCAACACTGGGAAAGGTGCGGCAAAATCGCCGATAACAGATTATGACTCGAAAATCCTCTTTGATATAAGACCCTGGAGATTGAAAGCCCAATATCTATTGACGATATTGCCCGAACTCATGAACTCATAGACTCTTGTTGAATGCTGGCATACAAACAAGACCAATTCTGAATGAATACAAAACGGGACAGTTTGCGGTTCTGCAATAAACAAAGTGAGTTGAAATGGGAGAGATAAATTTTGTGTGCTTCGCTTTGGTGAAAGCCTTATACATTCAACGAATGAATCTGAGCTTTCCAGTTTCACTTTGATTGCAGTCTGTAACTTGGAAGTTGTAGAGCAGGATGAGGAGCTTTCCTTTTTTCTTTCCTTTCCTTTCTTCGAACTCTTATTAGAAAGTACAGTTCTTGCACGTGTGAAGAGACGAGCAGCTGATACTTAAGCAATATTAAAAAGTAAATGAAACTTGGGGCAGGTTGTGTATTGAGAGACTGCAGGCCATCAGTGTCGCGCGACGATACACCTGACCAGCCAAGAGGCGATTACAACCAGAACTTAGACCGAGTGTACAACGACGAGTGCATATATTTGAAAAAGAATCGCAGAAGATCCACAGAGAGTAAACTGTGTCGCCCAAGGGTGGTGTAAGAACAATGATAATGCCTGTTGGTATGAGTTTTGAGGGTGGAGTCAAATCGCACACGGAAGTGGTGGCAACAAAGTCATTATCACGTGATATGTGGGTCTAACTGAAATAACTGCCCTTGTATACTCCGTAGACGCTAGTGCCTAGTACATGTATCTACTACTAGTAATTCACCACTGCGTACAAAAGTTCAAATAGATAAACCGCACCTGATTTATTAAAAGTGCTTTTAGTATTTACACACTACCAATCTATCTAGATGTCAGTGTCAAGCTTGCGGACCAGAAACCCTTTGTCATTTAAATAGTCCTTGACGTCGCTAACAGTGTATTCACCACGGTGAAACTATTTGCTTGATTAGCAATTGCAAAAAGATAAAGGCTATGTGAATAACATACCATGCCAGCGCCCAGTGCCGCATCTGTAGTGGTGCTCTCAAAAACCTCTGCAAAATGTTCAGGGTTTCCGGCCCCACTGGAGGCAATGACCGGGATTTTGATGGCGGCCTTGACATCGTTAATTAGTTCAAGATCGAACCCACTGTTACTTCCGTCTTTGTCAATGCAATTTAAGAGTAGTTCTCCGGCACCCATTGCCTCGACAGCTTTCGCTAACTGCCGAACATCCAGGTCCCGGGCCTCTCTTCCACCTTTGATGGTGCATTGGTACCAACAAAATCTTTGCCCTTCAGCATTTTGATACTGCGTCTTGATGGTATGATGGTTGGTATCTTCCGGGGAGTTAACGTATACGCGTCTAGGGTCGACGCTCACAACCACAGCTTGATTTCCATATGCACTAGATATTGTTTCTATGGCGGTTTTTCCTGACAGCTTTTCACCTGCCTCATAATATTGCTCAGCTGCAATAACAGCATCTGAGCCAATGCTGACTTTATCCGCTCCAGATTTGAAATACGTAGTGGCGACGTCAAGAGCCGAAATGTAGGTGCCGTCAGGATCAATAGTATCTTTTATTCCGCCCCCAATAGTGAGAGGTACAAAGACAGTTTCTGATGCTCTTTTCAATATTTCCAGCATAGGCGTGTCTGCCAGTGGGCAATTTCTGAATGATGTTATATTCAGAAATGTCACTTCATCTGCCCCTTGCTCGTAATACTTTTTAGCCATATCAACTGGCTTTCCCAAGTTCCTTACCTGGCCTCCAGAATCTATGCCATCTTTTTCGCGTACGTCATATTGATCACCCTTTGTGACGACGAGATCACCGGAATCATTTGTGCGGACATCGAGACAAGCAATAACCCTGCAAGTCAAGCCATCTTTCTTTTCGCCGGAGATTGAAATATCTGATGAAAGAGGTTGGGCTTGGTTACCATTCAAAAAAGCACGGATAGTCCGCAAGCCGGCCTGTCCGCTCTTCTCCGGGTGGAATTGCGTAGCAAAAATATTCCCCTTTGCTATCGCGCCTATGAATTCTTCATCGCCATATGTAGCTGTAGCAATCGACCAGCCATCTTTCTCCAGAACACCAGGTGTGTAGAGTGCTGCATAAGAGTGCACGTAATAATACTTGCTGCCTGGGTTCAATCCACAGAAGCTTTGAGCTCCTGAAGACCCAGCAGTGGTGTTCATGGCAGAATTCCAACCTATGTGAGGTACACTTTTCGTATTGTTATCGAACTTTTGCATACGTTTTCGCACCAACCCCAGCCCAGGAACGTCAGGATCCTCCTCGGATCCTTCAAACAATGCCTGTAAGCCGACGCAGATCCCCATAAAAGGTTTCCCAGAATCTATGTGCTGTCTTATGGGTTCCAAATATCCACCCTCCGAGAGTTGAGAAAGGCAATGGCCAAAATGGCCAACTCCAGGCAGTATAAGTTTCTACAATGAGATGATTAGCACCCACAGGTTATAGCAAATAGATTCGTCTCAGAATTGATAGAAGAAAGAATACCCACCTCCGCATTCTCCAGGTCTTCGGGTGTTTTGATCCATTCAACATCATACCCGACTTTGTTGATTGCATTCACCAGCGAACGGACATTCCCAGCGACATAGTCGAGCAGATGAACGGTGGGCATGGTGGCAGGTCGAGAGGCTCGCTATAGTAAGTATAAAGCTCGATGTAGAATTTACGAGCCTTGGTTAAAAGCCAGGTATCTGCCCAAGACCAACTTGGAACCTGGCGGAAATTTCAATCGAGGCATAGAAAGAATGGAGTCTTTCTTCAGTACCCCACCGATAGCTAGCTGACTCATTCTAGGAGTACATATTCTCTGGGACAGCGGGGAAGGTCGGAAATACTTACCCAGAAAATTCACCGCCTTAGCTTCGCACGACTATCTAGATGCTTTTGACTTTTGGTAGAATCTATTATGACTCAGTTTCCTATCCAGACTTTGCATGGTTTAAAAATTAAAGAATTGCCAAGAAACTATGGGTAGGGGCAAGTTGTGGTCATCCTGCCACTGCACTACAGGATACGAGATATCAGGATCATCCCACAGAAACCTAGATAGCTGGGATCTAGAGTATATTCCGAAGAGATCTGTCTACTTAGAGTAAAGATTTTGCTCCTATGATTTTCTTACAACTTCTATCTATATTAAGCACTTTCTAATCGCGCTACTAGAGTACAAGCCCAATTGAGGCTATACTCACCTAGGTATGAAAACATGCTCTGCAGTTTCTATTAATACTGTACTAGGAATACTCTGTGCTTAGTGTAATAGTAGAAGGAAGTTGTCTAACTTGTCCACGGTCTACCACTCTGGATTTAGTCTACTTTAATTTAGTCAATCTAACACCTAGCGAAGGTAGTAAGTTAGTCTCCCTGGGAGTTACTACCTATGTTAAAGTAGTTTCTAGTCCTATCTAGAATTGGGTTTATTGCAGATTAAAACACCTAAAGAGCGGCTGGGTAACTAACTATATCTAGCTATCACTTACCCACAAAACTCTTAATTATCATTTAGCGGTTATTTTATTTTCCCGGGTCAAGATACATGAACAAATTTTACTTAGGAGGATAGACTGCACGCATCTTGGTACTCCTGCCATATATGAGTTATCATTCAAAACTTTACATAAATAATGATTCGGGCGGTTGACGAGGTTGTTATGTCTCGCACTTATTCCTCGTTTTCCCTCGTGCCCTCAAGATAGATCAGCCCATTTCGAGGCTTTAGTCGGCTCAGCAATGTGCCATAAAATAAAGGGACCAAGGGACTTACGGGGGAGAACCGTCGAAGGCGAATGCCAGCAGCCTCTAGAATCGCAGCACTCTGGGTCATGTCAGTTAAAATCAACCGGATAAAAGGGGAATGGAAAACACACGTCTTGATCCATGTTATATCCCTGTGAGTATACAACCTCAGAAATACCGACTTGGGCAATCTTGACTGTGCACGTCAAACAAGGACATCTTTTCTGTGTACTTAGTAGTGTTCACCTTGCTATATAAACCAGAGGAGCAGAGGGTATCTTACGTGTCACAGTAAAGTATTGCCCCTTCCCGGATGCGCTCTCTTCCAGCTTCCAACAGAGCATTCTCTTCTGCATGGAGGCATAGGCACGTGGACAGGCCAACACCTCCACCCTCACCCCGATTGCATCTTGGACCTGTGAAATCGTGAGCTTTCAGTTTATAAACATAGCTTTAATATAGGCTAGAAGGGGAAAGAACGAATGGGATAATCGTATCATACATCCACCCTCATTGCAGTTTCTGAGATGCCGTGGAGTCCCGTTGTACCCTGTACTGATGACACGGCGTTCTCGAACAAGGACACAGCCCACCCTTCTCTTCATACAGTTACTCCGCTGCGCCGCAAGAGATGCTAATTGCATAAAATATTGATCCCAATTTGGACGTAAGCGATCTTCATCAGCGAGGTTAAGTGTCGCAAGGGCAGCATGCAGTTCTTCGAATGAAGATGACGAATTGAACAATCGAACCTGTGCCCGGTCGGTCAAATAGACACGCCCGATATTCTTGTCATACAAATGTCGGTCATTCCAGAGAACAAACTTCTCGAGGGGCGGGGGCTCAAGCTTCCTCCTCCGGCATCTGGGGTAAGTCAAATTTCCATTCTCGGAATCAAAAGCTTGCATCCCAGATGGTTCGGGCCCTACCTTTCTGCAAATCGCTCCCACCGGAGACTGACTGGTGCGTCAACGCTCACCAGGAGGAAAAACGGACGTTGGAGGAAGCGATCCAAGGTAGCGTCCTCCCAAATATCTGTCGTTACCCAGAGTCCTTGCCATCTTTTTGTTGCAAAATCTAGAAGTGAGTCGGCATTCTCAAATGATAAATTCGATGATTGACTACGTTCATTATTAGTGAATCCTGAGGCTTGTAGTCGTCGATCATCCTCGGGCTCATCTGCTATTCGATGGAAACTTCTATTTTCAAGCTCAAGCAGTTGAAACCCTTGATGCTGGATAAGATACTCTGCAATGGCGTGTTTACCAGAGCATATCCCTTTAAAGCACATTATTAGTCTATAGGAGGACCTTGGGGACTTTTAACTTGAGCAAGTCAGTAAAGCATCTACTAACCTCCACATAAGCCAATAAGCATTTTCCCTTCTTCCTTTGTGCCCCTATTTTGCCTACGTCGGGCCAACAGAATGGAAGAATAGAGGGGGGGAGATAAGTGCGTGCAGATGGTGGTGCTAGCCGGTCAGAAAATTCCAGAGCACTGGTAGGTCAAGATCTGTGGCTCAGTGGTGTAACCTCAAGTTAGTTTTCACACGTAAAGGTTGAAGTGGACCGGAAGCAGGACCTACATACAGAGTAGAAAATATTGAAAATTTTAGGTTAGATACACCACTGGTGACTTGTATTATAGTGATTTCTCAAGGGTATCTCAATCATCGTCCGTATCTCTACCCTCCTCATTAGATTGACGTGTCTTTCCTTTTAGCACTACACCGGGAATCCTTAGTCGACTACGAAGTACTAAGTGACCAGCTAGGGGCCAAATGCTTTGATCTGTACGAATCTGTACTTACACGAAGCAGAAATAGATTACGGAGGCAAATAGTACACCCACCATGATTCAAAGTGATCATTGACCAAAATCATGAGACAGGTAAAGTAACATATATAACGGAGAAAGAAAATATTAGCCTCAAGCAAAGTGGTATGGTTCCAACACTGAGAGAGACATGCGGAAGTATGTGATAATGACTGTTTAGTTGAAGTTTCACTTATTACTACGGAGTACCTAAGATGCCTAAGAAAATATGGTACTGTATTTGGGTATGAACTATTTACAAACCTGCCGAATGAAGCAGTGAAAGATTCAGAAATAACTGTAATACAGTATCTGCACGCTGAACGGTTCAATACTATAGTACATACACTGTATTCCGTATAGTATACTCTGTGCACTGTATCACTGTAAAGAGTTGATTAATAATAATAAAAATAAGGGCTTTTTTAATTACTGGGATAGATAATATTTCAGAATAGGTTACAGCTGACTGCAGGTTTTTCCTTCCTCTTTTCCTATTCTCTCTCCGAAACACTGATAGTATTTTATTTAGAAGAGTCAAGAGATAGATATTACTGGGGACCTCTTTTCTAAATCTATAGAAATTTAAGACATTATTAAGTGAAGTGGTCAGCGTATATGTAAAGTATCTGCTGATACAGCGCAGAATGCCTGTCAATTAGGTGAGAATAGTGTAAACCAAGCAGTAAAATAGATACAAGACTAATCCTTGCTGGAACCCTCCAGGATACGCTGGGATTTCGGTACTTTATTATCTATAAAGAGAAGGGTTACATTGCAATGGTCATGGTATCATAGAAAGAATCCCGACCCCATCCTGCAAATAACAGAATTGCTGAGCTTCTGGGAACTATTTTGTTTATAGACCCTTGTCTAGTGCACTTATCGAACGCGGACACGAGCGGCAGAATCAGTGACGCAACAAGCAATGGATAAAGATGACCACCTCAAGTATTTGAGGACTAAGCACAGCTATGAGTACTCAGCCTGCCTGGCTGAGCACTAGCCCTAATACAGTAAGAACTATAGGAATTCCGATATATATGTACCTCAACGCACCAGGTTCTCTAGGCGCTAGCGGATACGAGGGCTCACCACGTGACACGGTATATAGATGGATATATGGATTGGACTATGATATATAGTATAGGTATAGGACTAAGAAATATATAAGGATACTTATTCATATACTTAGTTTAGCTCTTTGTGATCAATAAAGATTATCGCTACAGAGTCACTTTTAGTATTAATTGATTAGCATCAACTCATTCGTACACTTTAACTATCGAGTATCCGTACTTGATAGGTCTGGCCCTTCGGACTTACACGGATTAGTTATCGCACCATCGTTCGGACTTTCCCAGGTAATTAAAAGGTAAGTACAAGTATACCACAGTAGAGCGGGTTTAAATTCTGTAAGGTATCTGGATATAAGTTTCTGCCAGCAGAGTTCCTAATTAAGAAGGCGGACCTGCGGGCGGGGTAAAATATGTGTCAAAATAATGTTTTCCTTTCAGAAATTCGCTATTTAGAAAATGGTCAGACGACTTGTCCATGGGAATTCTCACCATACCGTAGTAGGTACGGAGTACAAGAGGTACTGCCAGACCACCATATCGCCCAGACCACCGCTTTAGTTAATTCTTTTTGTTAAAAGTTTAGTGCACAGCGACCAAGCAAACACAAGGTCCGCTGATACTAACATTAGTTATTAATGTCTACTGAGCCAACAGGTTCCAGAATGCAAACAGGTCTTTCAGGAGACGAAAATCTTTATGTATTATCCTTCGGATTGAATAGTACTGTATTTACACAAAGTGACTGATCACAAGTGGTTTTCTAGAGGTCATACGGTTGGTCACTTGCATAGACATACCCGAATAGTTCCACCAAATTGCTTTTCTCTCTACTTTAACGGAAGTAAGTAATTCCGGGAAGTTTCTGAAATGTACTCTGGAGAAAATTCATTCTACGAAGTGTAGTTTATTGTACATTATCTAAAGATGTGACAAAAATAGAGAAATGAAAGAAACCAGTTATAGCGGAAAGTTACTAGCGCATACTAGGTATATCGGGAATTGGCGATGACAATACGTACTTGTATGTTCCTGTGACCTGGGTATTCCCTAGACCAGGCTCTTCAATGCCCCACACGACATACATTACGTATGTGCTTGTGCTCATCCGCTCTAATCTAGTACAGTAGTCAAGTGAAGAGGCTCTCAAGATAGCTCTTTGATTCTCTCGACATCTTTCATCTTGCTCTATAAGGTGAACCTTACTTGTCTTCTTATGGTCACCACCTAGTATAATTCAGAGCAGAGCAAGCAGCAAGGCGTGCTTACGCAACAGACGCTATGCAGTATACACCTTTTGCCTCAGATATAGAGCTACCCTTTTACACCGCATTAGCATCCTTGAAGATTAATCATGACAAGCTCGATGATTCTGCCCGCAAATTAATGGGCCTCTATGAGATCCGTCCCACGGATCCGCCTAGCACCTCGTGTCGGATGCAGATACATGGAAACGCTCTAACTAGTGACGAGTGAGTGCCATATTACAGACAAGTGCTGCATCCTCATGTTTAACTATGTAGAGTATGAAACAGAGTCGGGCACTGATTTACGTTTTCTAGGACACCAGCAGGTTTCTACAGAGCGGAGGGAATGATTAGGAATGTCAATACTATTGAAGAATACCGAGATACAGACAAAACACTTACGCTTCACCGATCTGGTAAAATGGTCAGTTTAGCCACTCATAATGTTTCACGGGGAAGTAATGACACTTCGGCTGTTAGATATGGGATGCGATAAAAGATGGCACTATCTATTCCTGTCCGTCCCTCTTGTCTTCCTTTGTCGTACTTTCCTATGCAGACTTGAAGAGATACAAATTCTATTATTGGTTTGCATTTCCCGCACTTCATTCGGACCCTTCCTGGGCCCCGCTAGAGGGACCCAATGATACTGTCAACTCAGATCCTTCCGAAACGGGATATGTACCTTTCCGATACTTGTCAAGTGTCGAAAGTTCGACGCTTGTGGACGCTGTACATACCTGGAGCTACGGCGTCGACACGCGCCAACGAGGTTTTTTTCTAGCTCGAAGGATCTCTACTAATGGCGGTGAAACCTATACTATCAACAATACTAATCCTATGTCAGAAAATGAGAGGATAACAGACGCCGGGAGTATCTGTTGGCGGATTGCTACTTTGTCGGATTATGAAAGTGGGTTTTTTGATGGAGCTAACTTCGAAGACTGCTTTGTTTGCTTTGTTGATCCCTCCAATTACGAAAACGCTCCTGGTTGGATGCTCAGGAATTTGCTTGTACTTGTGAAACATCGATGGAGACTGGATAAAATCCAAGTCTTGAGATACCGCGATATACATCCGAAACGTGAGCAAGGCCGCAGCATTGTGGTGACATTAGCGGAGAAGAATCAACACCTGTTAGATTCTGTGAAATTGAAGGCTTTGGATAGTTTCATACCCAAAGTGACTGGGTGGGAGCGTAATCCTACAGGGAAATTGACAGGAAGATTGGTTGATCTTACAGAATACCTGGACCCTGAAAGGTACAATTCCATGACATAATATTACATACAGCAAACTGTGGCTAATTCTATGAAACGGTTAGATTGGCAGATCAGTCTGTAGATCTCAACTTGAAACTTATGAAATGGCGAATCAGCCCCAGCTTAGACCTCGAAAAGATCAAGCATACAAAATGCCTCTTACTTGGCGCAGGTACACTGGGAAGCTATGTTGCCCGAAATTTGATGGTATTCATGATCTGAATATTACTTTTACGATGCAAGTACTAACCAATCGCATCTGTGTCTAGGGCTGGGGGGTAACTAAAATAACGTTTGTGGACAATGGGTCGGTATCGTTTTCGAATCCAGTGAGGCAGCCGTTATTCAGCTTTAGAGATTGTCTGGAAGGGGGAGCTAAAAAAGCACATCGGGCTTCTCAAGCTTTGTCGGAGATTTATCCAGGGGTCCAGTCCACTGGATATGCACTATCTGTGCCGATGGCTGGACACCCGGTAGTAGATGCTGAGAAGACCCGAACCGAGTTTGAACTCCTTAAACGACTTATAGATGAGCATGATGTTATCTTTCTATTGATGGATACGAGAGAATCTCGGTGGCTACCAACTGTTATGGGTAAGGCAGCGGGGAAAATTGTGATGAACGCAGCACTAGGCTTTGACTCTTTCGTTGTTATGCGTCATGGCGTGAAGATTGTGGAAGACTCAGCAGCAGAACTCGGTTGCTACTTCTGCAATGATATTGTAGCTCCAATGAATGTAAGTAGTGAACCGTGGATTGCGCTCTGGGAACACCGCTAAAAGAAAAAACCAAGTCTGTGAAAGACCAAACGCTGGATCAACAGTGCACTGTGACTAGACCGGGCGTGGCCGCGATAGCCTCCGCACTGTTAGTTGAGCTTCTAGTTTCCATTCTTCAACATCCACTTGGTGCAGCGGCTCCGGCTCCGGCTCCGGCCTCAAGAAGTGATGATCGAGGAAGTCATCCCTTAGGACTCGTGCCGCATCAGATCAGAGGTTTCCTTTCAACATTTGAGAATCTATGCGTAGTGGGTAGGAGCTACAAATGCTGCAGCGCTTGCTCAGATAAGATTGTCGACACGTACAAGGAGAAAGGCTGGGATTTCGTGCACAAAGCTTTGAATGAGTCTGGATACGTGGAAGACCTAAGTGGTCTCAAGGAGGTTGGTTACCCCAGCTCACATTTCGTTCATTCCGTATCCCCTCTGCCTTATTGTTTTAAGATGGATGCTGAGACTCTGCAAGGTTCAATCAACCGCCGAAGCCTCAGCTGCCGACATTGAGTGGGATGACTTTTCTGGAACCGAGGATGAGATAGAAGCTATCTAGAACAACTAATAATGTGATGTACCTGTTTTGAATCGAACCTTTGAGTCGGCAGACTTTCACTGTAACCCTTGTCTTTAGGGAGGCGTAAGAACTTCATGCCGCACTGCGTGCTGTTTGCGTGCGAGGCCAATAAAGTAGGCTTCCTTGGATTCCTGCCGAGCACGTTAGTGAAGGTAGACTTGATTTTATAACCACCTATCAATGTGTCTTAATACGTTACGTGAAGACTCTGGTTTAAGTCTATGTACTTTCCGGAACAGCCCCTTGAGTTGTTTTTCCAAGTCCTTGTCCTCAGCTCCCTGATAAAACTTGCATACAAAGTGGCCACCTGCCTTTAAGACCTCGAAACTAAATTGTAGCGCAGCTCGGCAAAGGTCCTTGGTTAGGTTAATTATGTATCGGACATGCACGTGAAACTCAGGATAGGAGGCTCACCATACTTCCTGCATGATCTCTGAAACTCATGCCACTAGTGTTCATCATCCTGTTATAAGAGTCACTTAGACTTCGCTTCCAGAATCCAGAGATTTGATACCAGGGACGGACATATCACTTAAAACCACGTCTACGGTTCTTTCACTGGTTAAACGAGATTCTTCCATCACTTTGCAATTCTTGGTAGGCTTTGTCTCCACACCGAACTCGAGCATCTCACGACTCAGGCTGACATGTGGAATAATGTTTGGGGGGTGCGATCTGCCCCTTCCTGGATCTTGCAAGAAGTCTCGGATATAAGCTTGAACATTAGGATCCAAAAAGTTCCCTTGAATCGTAGATAAACCTTTTGGGGGCTGGGCTGGGATGATATCAACGCCAAGAACGCGGCCATTTGGTTGAGTCCGACTAACTGCCACCTTCAGGAACTTAGACAGCTACGGAGTAAAACTTCTAGCTAGGTGGCATACCTGGGACCAAGAACCTGGTGCATAGCCCTATCATCGCAGTGTTAATAAGGGGAGCTATGCTCGTTTTCACGAAGCATCGCTTTCATACCAAGTCGACAACGGTCTGGCCGTTGCAAAAGATGTGATACTTTGCATCTATCTATTTATGCGAAGATATTAATACAGAAATATACACATGCAAGGAAGACAGACGCAATACCTGTAGAAGCTTAAAGGCAGCTCGACTTTTTAACCCTTGAATTGCTGCTTCCTTTGTAAACCGATCTTTGAGTTGACGTGCTTGCCATCTCTTTGAGGAGGCACATCTCCTGAAGGCGCGAGGGAGAAAGATAGAAGCGCGTTGAGAAGAGAGAGGCCCTTTTAAGGGTAACCATAGAGACATGGTATCGAAAGGATATATCCTCGAGGAAGGATATGTTATATTAGATAGGAGAACAGGTGCTGAGCGAATGGAATTGAAGAGCGGGAGTGGCTTACTTATAGGAACCCCCCCAGTTTAGCTCTTAACAGATGGTACTATGATAATATAAACTCATACAAAAATCTCCGTAATATAGTATATTACTATAGAAACAGGTTTTACTTTCCATATTAGAGAAGCCAGTGAAATTCGAGCAATGCGGTATGACGGAAGCTACTCCATCATAAATGTTACAGTTAAGCTGGTCTACAGCCGTTTCTTGTCACGCTTTAAGGGAGAAAATTCAGCCAACCCACCAAACCCACGACCGCGCCCTAAGCCACCACTTGGTGCAGATATTTGTGAAGCAAGATTTCGCCCTGTACCCAGAACAAGCTTCCGACCTGGCGGCCTCATATCGTTTAGATCTTCGTCGTCGTCTTCTCCGTTGAAGAAGCTCATATCACGTTGCATTCCCAATTTACGTTTCTTTGTTTTCAGGTTAGAAGTGTGAGTAAAGGTGGCGCTAAACTTTTCTCGTTGTGCATCAGGATCAGAATCGTCCACAAATTTCCGCTGAGGTTCTCTCCATTTTCTGCCATTGGCATTGCCCTGGCCAATCTGTATTGTTCCCGTCGTAACCGATAGCCCATCGGCTGACCCCAACTGATCTTGATGGCCAGAATCAACGCTTTTGCTAGCACCGTCCCTAGAAGATAGTTGGTTTGCTCTACTGACCGTATGAGCTGTGTGGAGTTCATCTGCATCATCCTCAGAACTTGTAGATGAATTTCGAAGCCCATTCGTCCGGTTCAGAAACGGAGTGATTGAAAAAGAGGACTTATCACCGGGCAATGCCGATATTTTGTTTCGCTTATCCTGGGCACGGATAGCCCCGGGTGTTGCAATTGTTAGACCAGAGTTGTGCTGTGTACCTGACAGGCGAGAAGGAATGGCATGGATTTGTGCATTGGAGGTTCTCGTTTCATCATTGTTAGAAGTGTTACACTGTCGCTGAAGTTCCGCAGTAGCGGCCTGGGATTGATCCTTCGTTGACCCTAGCTTCTTATTCAAGGCGCCAAACTTGGCATCAAGCGTTGGCCGTTGTGCAGCCCATTCAATACTCTGTTGCTGAATGGTATGCTCGCGTTGGTCCTGCGCCCGCTTCACTACTATGAGTTCATTGCGTATCTCTTCAAGTTTGGAGCTAAGTGTCGCGATTTCCTTGGCTTTCTGTGAATCCCTGGCTAAAGTTTCTTCGTGGGCCTTTTTGTCGCTTTCGAGCTGTATCTCAAGGGATGCTAGCTGCCGTTCTAGAGTTTGCTTCTCCGCAAGGAGAGTGTGCTGAGAAGCCTTCTGAGACTTAAGCCTTTTTATTTCCGCCTCCGCCTTCAAAAGATCCTTTGCGAGCCGAAGTTTTTCTGCGAGGAGCTTTTTTGAATCAACGGAAGCGTTGGTCAGGGAAGCAAGCTCAAGCTACGTTAGATATTTAGTACCAACTGAGCCACACTATACATCCATGAACAACATACACAAAGTCTCTCTATCTCATGAGACGAAGCACGATAGGTATTTCGTAGCTGATCGAGCTCTTTGTAAGTCTCACAGAGTTGAAGGCGGATTTCAGACTCCACTCTTGTGCTCTTGGTCAATTCTTGATTCACATGATTCAAATGCCACCGCAGATGTTCATTTTCAAATTGAAGGAGCAACTGCTCCACTCGTTGTATCCGGCTTTTCTCGGCACCCCAAAGCTGCGCTGTGTGCATCAAGGTGTTGTCGTATTCTTTTTCCAGGCGCGTTGTTCTAATTGCCATTCGATACTGGGGAAAAGGGTAAGTTTGTAAAACACCACAGGACTAAGATGACATACATCTTCTACTGTGCATCCTAAATCCTCGTTCTTAGATTCCATAGCAATGAATTATATTCATAAACAGAAATGATGATGTGCAGATAAGATATGAATACGGTAGTGGGTTGGGATTGCTATGATTCTAGGGCGGTATGGGAGTCTAAAGACAAATACTAGTCCCATATTTCTTCTCCGCCTTGGGCCACATTTATGCCCGCCAGGAAAAACTAGCGCCGTCATTCCGCGGTACTGGACACCTAATACATACTACTAAGATAATGAATACTGTTTGTTGATAGATGGCCTTATTAACCGCGGATCGCTCCTCGGTTTGTTGACCATTATCCCTTGCAACAACTACCTTTCTGCTGTATTATTTAACTATTGACATGCCAACATGAAATTCTTTACTTTTATCATTACGCTCTTCTATGTCGTATCTAGCGCTTTCTGCGCCAACTCCAAGCTTAACAAGTTTGAAAGATATCAATCCCTCTCTCGCTCCGGGCCCATTGATTTGGACGATTCCTCGTATGAAGATTTGACTTCGAAACCTCGGGACTATCATGTTGCAGTTCTTTTGACAGCTGCGGAGGCTCGTTATGGGTGCATTCTATGTCGCGAATTCCAGCCAGAATGGGAGCTCATTGCGCGAAGTTGGAACAAAGGCCCCAAGCCCGATGGTTTAAAAATGCTGTTTACCACTCTTGACTTCAGCAGTGGCAAAGCAACCTTTCAAAAGGTAGGTCTGATTTTATCATTTAAGCGTTACCGGCTAACACTAGGGGGAAAAAGCTGATGCTCCAAACTGCACCGGTTCTGCTTGTGTTCCCCCCAACTGTTGGCCCCTTTGCTAAAGTTGACGATGCGCCCGTAAGATTTGACTTCAGTGGGTAAGGCGCGCATTAAAACTCTTCTGTCCAGTCATTACTGCTGTGCTAATCAAACTGCATTCAGTCCAATCTCCGCTGACCAACTCTACGTGTGGATTAATCGTCACCTTCCAGAAGGGCCGAAACCGTCTCTTGTTCGACCCATCAACTATGTGCGACTAGTTTCTGCGGTAACAATCTTGATGGGCGTGATAACGTTGTTCACTGTTCTGTCGCCGTATGTTTTACCGATTATCCAAAATCGAAACTTGTGGGCTGCGTTCAGCTTGATTGCCGTTTTACTATTCACAAGTGGGCATATGTTCAATCATATCCGCAAAGTGCCATATGTTGTTGGCGATGGTAAAGGTGGTATCAGCTACTTCGCCGGTGGATTTTCAAACCAGTTTGGAATGGAAACGCAGATCATTGCAGCCGTCTGTAAGTGCTCGTTAGCCAAAGACAATCGAAAATGTATGTTCTTGGTGCTGATATATGATCATGCAAGATGCCATACTCTCTTTTGCAACCATAGCTCTGGCCATGAAGGTTCCCCGTATTGCGGACAGCAAAACGCAACAAGTGGCTGTGCTAATCTGGGGGACTGTGTTGTTTGGTATGTACAGCTTCCTCCTCAGCGTCTTCAGAGCAAAAAACGGCGGGTATCCTTTCTTCCTGCCTCCATTCTAGTTCAAAGCTACCACAGATCGCTGCAGCATCGTTCGTTCATCTTGTCAAATAGCTATCCATTGGTTGCGTTGAAAGAGTGAGGTTTCGAGCCAACAACTTTCATATACGGCACATGAAGCTGGGATATAAATTACAGGGCAACTACTTTGCGATACTGCCAATAATATGCAGTATAATAGAATTTCCTGATCAGCTAATGTACCTCTGAACGCTCATGTGCGAGTAGTATAACCATAGTAAGGATAGGCATTAAGTGCAAGATCTAGATGGATATTCTCAATACAGTGCAACTCGGTCAATCTTATTACTGTCATCACATTGACCTTAAGGAAGTAATATTCAAAGACCCTGGTCTAGTAGTGTATGTTACGCTTAAAGCCACGCAGAGCCTTCTACTAGTGGTAGAGGATAAATTAGCTCCGGTTCCGGATCCCATAAATTGGCGGCATTGCTATGACAGTCGGTGAACCAAACTCCGGAACCAAAGGCTTCAGGATAGGTTAAGGTCCATGCCACTATGCCACAGCCAGACGAAAATGTTGGCAGGATTCTGGCTTCGTCAGTATCCGGTACGACACTTTTAATTATTGTCCAAGTAGCTTCTAGGCTATTCACGTTCATCGCAAATCAATTTATCCTACGAACTCTATCACCGGCAATCCTTGGAGTTGGCACTCAACTGGAGTTGTACTTTATTTCGATACTGTACTTTTCCCGGGAGAGCATCAGGACAGCGATTCAACGACAACCTTTGCATAGAAATTTTTCCGCTGCTAACCCCAAGGAAAGCCCTGATCAAATATGTGGAAAGCCCAATCAAAAGATTCAACCTCAGACAACAGAATCGCAGTCGGTAGTGAACATGTCTTACCTGAGTCTCAGTATGGGAGTTCCATCAGCCTTGATATTCGCGACATTATACATACGTTTCGCCTCCCAGGAAGTTTCCGAAACGCCATTTTATCACGTTGGCGTGGCCATCACCACCATCGCATCCCTTATGGAGCTCTGCGTCGAGCCTTTCTTTGCTGTGGTTCAGCAGTACATGCTATACAAGAAGCGCGCAATTGTTGAAACAGCCGCAGCATTTATAAAGAGCTTGGCCGTATGTGGCTTGTTCACGTGGGCTTCCTGGAGTAGCCGCGACTTGGGTGTCTTACCATTCGCGCTGGGCTATTTTTGCTACTCCTTGGCTCTTATATCTGGGTATTTTCTTACTATACCAAAGTTAACAAGTCAATGGCGGTTTTCGTTGCTCCTTACCCAGATTAGCCCAAGGTAAGTCGGACTATCAAGCGAAAAAGGCAATGATATGATCATGGTAACAGTTTTTAGGGATAATTCAACCTATCTGTCGAACAGGTTTCCCAGGCGCTTAGTTGCACTCTCCACAAATGTTTTTTTCCAGTCTATTGTAAAACACCTGCTCACACAAGGTGACGCAATGATACTGGCAGTAATGACTAGCTTGAAAGACCAAGGAATATATTCCCTAGCCTCCAATTACGGCGGTCTAGTAGCCCGTGTTCTATTTCAACCCATTGAAGAAAACAGCCGGATTGTCTTTTCATCTCTGCTTAACTCCGGGAAACAATATGGCAGCAATGTCAGCGCAGCCAAGGCACATCTAACTGACATTCTACGGGCGTATGGCATGCTAACTGTCCTTATATTCCCTCTCGGTCCGTATCTGGTTCCTCGAGTACTCCTTCTTCTTGGTGGACACAGGTGGGCTGCTCCTGAAGTTGGTAGCTTACTTTCACTATATTGCTATTACATACCATTTTTGGCTTTCAATGGTATAACTGAAGCTTTCGTTACGTCTGCAGCTAGTCCCTCTGACCTCCGGAGACAAGCTTACTGGATGGGACTGTTTTCAGCGAGCTTTGCTCTAGCAGCTTACCTATTTCTAAAAATTGGTGGCTTGGGTGCCCATGGGTTAGTTTACGCTAACATATTCAATATGGCAGTCCGTACGGTCTGGAGCTTCATCTTCCTTCGATCGTATTTCAGCCAGCACGGCAGTAGCCTAGCCCTGACTGAAATCAGCGTACGACCCCAAACCTTGATTGTTGGGGCTCTATCATCAATCATCCTAACCAGACAAAACTATAACGACACTTACTCTCGCTATTCTGTGAAGGCATTAATGTTTGGTATTGGTTATTGCCTCCTCGTGTAAGTTAAAATTTACCGCACGCTATGGCTAAGCTCTAATCGGTATAGAATATTCCTCGAGAGAAAGTACCTTACAACACAATACACAAAAGTCCGCCGGATATTCAAGTCGAAGTCTAGGAGTAAGACAACAAAGATGGAATAATTTGCAGAACTAATCATCAAACACAATCTTGGTGGCTGTTTTGTCAGTGTCGACATTCTTGAAGAATGCACCATATGCATCATGTTGCTTCTTTTTAACAGTTGTTCCAAACTTAAGGAGATCCTCTGGTATATCCTGTTTTGCTGCTCTCAGAACATTGATCAATCTGCAACTCGTTAGTGAAAGGTCCTCGCTTTCCGAAGAATATTACCGATATCAGGGAAGGGTTAAGAACCCGGTTTCACACTTACGCGCCAGACTGAGCTTTGTCTACTTCAGTGAATAGGGTTACAGCATAGCCTTCGGCTCCCGCACGACCAGTTCTGGGGAAACAAAAACGTCAGCTAGTTCCACCAACTCAAGGCACGTTACTTACCGCCCAATTCTGTGTACATAATCTTCAACTGTAAGGGGGAATGTAACATTAATAACCTGTTTAACCGAAGGTATGTCAAGTCCACGGGCTGCCACATCGGTAGCGACGAGGACAGTAGCAGCCCCTGTTTTGAAGGCCTCTAGACTTCGGAACCGCTCTTGTTGATTCAAATCCCCGTGTATACCAGCGACTCTAAAACCCTTAGCGCGGAGAAGTCTCTCAATCCGCACAGCTTCTTTTTTGTATAAACAGAAAGCTAGAACTTTTTCTGGGTCAGGAACGCCTCGCTGGGAGCGATTCAACAGCTGGATCAGTCTGGGCTCTTTTTCATGAGGCTTGACAACCTCCACAACCTGCTTGATTCTGGTGTTCGCACGTGGGTCTGCAGATGGATCCCCACCAATGGTGACAGTCACAGGCGAGGACATAAATGTTGATGCCAGGTCCCTGACACTTGGAGGCCAAGTTGCAGTGAACATGACAGTCTGACGCTTGGATACCGGCATGGGGTCAATGATATCCTTGATATCCTGTTCAAACCCCTTGTCTAGCATGCGATCCGCCTCGTCCAAGACAAGGTATTTCACTTTCCCTAGGTCTACCGAGCCATCATTTTGGAGATCTTTCAACCTACCAGGAGTCGCCACAACAACTTCTGCGGTTCTCAGAGCTTCCCGCTGCTCCTCCTTTCTCACGCCGCCGAATACGCAAGCCACTTTGACGCCCACGGATCTAGCAAACTTCAACAGTTGATCGTATATCTGCATCGCTAGCTCTCTGGTTGGGGAGATGATTACTGCCAAGGGGCGGTAAGGCTTTTGTTTGCTCTTTGTAGAATCCTGTATTCTCTTCAGGCATGGCAACCCGAACGCAAGTGTCTTGCCACTTCCAGTTTCTGCGATGCCGATAACATCACGGCCAGCGAACAACAGCGGCCAGGTTGCGGACTGAATGGGAGTTGGTGATTTGAATGAATTCAAGGGTGCATAGAGGTCATCTTTGCAGGAAGGAAGGTGAGTAAATGAGATAATCGGACGGATTATGCTCTCAGGTAATGTATCTGTTATCTTAATAGAGTTTTCTGTAAGGAACTTCTCGACTTCAGATTGAGGGATATCGCTCAATGCAGAAGACTGAATGTAGGAAGCATCCTTTTCGGCACTTGATTTAGATTTCACAGATTTTCCCCCCTTACGCTTTTCACTCTTTGCCTTTTTTTTGGGCCTGTGCTCAGCGCCTTCTTCGTTGTGAAGATCACGTTTCGTCATTATTCTCTCTACAATTTGGGTTTAGAACACCAAAAGAGCGAAAATTTGGAGAGGAGCAAAAGCAAAGGAGAGGGAAGAAGTGGGGAGAGAGAGAAAGAGAGAGAGGAAGATGGTTCAAATAATTTAGTTCTGTGGTGTCTCAAAACGTTCCTGGGTCTGTTCTAATTTTTCTTTTTTTTTTTTGCCCCTTCCCTTCCCTTCTTCACCGCCAATGAAGAAGTAACATATGGGTTCCACCACATTCATTGGATTTTTATAGCTACTCATATATCCACACTCCGTTGGAGCTCGCTGAGTCTCGCTCTTCATCTACTCTTGACTACACCTAGGTATTACTAGTGGCTGTCCACTGATTATCCACATTATATGTTGCTGACTGAGCTCTGGTGTTGTTATTTGTATTTCTGCTTAGCGTCATTTATCCATATGCTCAATTGAGCGAAGATGATCGTTCTGGACTGCTTACTATAAACCCATAAGGGAAGGGTAAGCTTAGGACAACTATGGAAAACGAGATTGTCAGGTCAAAATGTTCGATATATACATATACATACGAGGTCTTGACTCGGGGCCCTAGCCAATTGTACATATAACCTTGCCTTTGGTAGAGTTGCTTTCTAGCAACCGATGGGCATCTGCAATATTCTCGAAAGGCAAAATCCTTTCAATGAAGACAATGAACGTTCCATCCCTAAACTTTGGCAGCGCATGCTCGACCAGCAAATCGCGCAACTTCTTCTGGTATCCCACGTCCCGGCTCCGGAGGGTGCTACCTTCAAATCTCACCCTCTTTCTCAGGATGCTGCTGATATCAATACCTGCAGGGAGGATTGAACCACTCATCTGTCCTAGCTGAACGATACGCGCATCCTGGGCGGCAACATTCAAGTTACCTTGAAAATGGGTTGCACCCACAAAATCAACGACTACATCGACGCCGCGACCATTTGTTGCCTTTATAAGTTCAGACGCCCAATCCTGAGTTTTATAGTTGTACCCAGCAGTAACACCCAGCTTGCGAGTACAGAAATCGATCTTCTCTTGAGAGCCCACAGTCACGAACACGGCAGATGCGCCGTCACTTTTGGCGAGCTGAATGCCGGCTATGGAGACAGACGAAGCCCCTGCATGCCAGAGAACTGAATTTCCAGGTTCATATCCACCTATCAGGTATAGGGCTTGAGTAGCCGTTATCCATGTCTAGGACCAACGAGGCCTTGTCAGTGACCAACCATAAATGTCGGTACAGGCATCCTTACTTCGGGGATTCCAGCTGCTTCCTCCCATGACAACTCCGCGGGTTTGTGTATCAACATGTAAGTTGAGACGGTAATGTATTCCGCATAAGCGCCTATACTCCTTAGTCGATGGTTCAACATGCGGATCTTGCTCAATATATGCAACGTACCACCATAAGCTAGGCCAAACACTTCATCTCCTACCTTGAAGCCATTCTCAGGGTTTTGGCCGAGCTTCTCGATCTTCCCAGAGAATTCAACCCCCATGGTGCTTGGCGCCTGGGGAGGAACAGGATATTTACCCTCACGCTGCAATATATCCATCCTGTTTAGCCCAAATGCCTTGATTTTTACTAAAGCCTGGGTTTGTCTTGGTTCGGGAACCATAATTTCATCGATGAATAATGCGTCGGCACTCCCTTTGCCGCCCTTCACACCTAGAGAATCATTAACATAGCAGATGCTAGTGCAGAGGAAAGACTACCAACCAATTGCCCTCATCGTCTTGTTGGCCATGGTTTGCGCCGATTAGATGCACGATTCTCTTTTTAACTTGCTTTTCTCTAAGACAACCGGGGTATGGAGTAGTCCAGGTTGAATAGTGTTTGTAAGTTGGTCAACTAACTAATGGTACCCCTCAATATGTCATGTTTATTTTTGATTAGTCACTTAATCTTACGTGTAAGTAGTACATACACACCACTCGAGGGTCTATTAATGCCTGTTTCATTACATTTGTTGAAAAGACATCTGTAACAAAATTGTAGACCAAGATATCATGGACTTTGACTATTAAAGGCATATATGATGCCATTGTACAATACACATCCGAGTAGCACATTACGCAGATTAGGTAAAGATGAGTTTCCAGGCTATATGCACGCCCTATCTAATATATACACGCACAATGATATCTCCAAATTTAGTATAGTAGATCTTGCAGAAAATTAGCTGGAATAGCCTTCCAGGCCTCCCTAAGGGCTATCCTAAGTTCAGATAGTGTTATATGTTCAGGGAAATTTACCTGAAGATAGTTAGTTCTTCATCCAATTCCAACCCATTTTAATAAGATTAAGATTAGATGAGAGAAAGGTAGCCATCTAATTATATAGACTCTATCTCTCTGAAGCTCTTGAATAGTAGATTGAGTACTATAGCCTGGGACGCCATCCTGTACTAGTTGAAGGTGAGAATATTGATAGATATACTCTGTTATAAGAGGTACTCTATGTTAAATATGGCTTTAAGCATTTATTATATTCTATTCCTTCTCCCAGAATATCATAGGGCCTTTAGTAGTTCCATGAAATGAGCCCCAAAACATCCATCCTATCTTATATGGGTGCCGTTCAATGATACAGTCTTTATGGAAGACCTTATCCTTCCGGCAAGTAACCCATGTACACGTATGGCGACCTGGATTTATCCATGTTGTATCAGACCATAGAATGGCTTTCCATTAACTAGAAGACCAGTTAAGGTAATCTTGTACCCAGAGAAGTTATTTCTGCTTATTCTCAGATGGTGATAGTTTCCTTCATGCAATATATTTTCAATAGCCTCTAGAGAGTAAGGCTGATCGGATTGTCCATTAAGAATAGTTTAGATTAAGATATAAGGCTAATTCTCTATAAATAAGGTTTCTTACATACCTTGAAGAGATAATAAACCTAATAAGATAGTCAATCTCCTCTTCCTTTATCACTAATGGTCGACCAGATCTTTTAGAAGGGGTAGGATGACCAGCCGGGCAGGCTAGTTGGACTTGACATATAGAAACCTCTAGATGTTTTGCAATATCTTCATATTTCATATTTAGTTAGTGAGCGCAGGGTTAGGATTTGCAGGCGCTCATCTCTAGTTAGTTGAAAATCAGGAGGTGTAGAAGGAGCCATAATGCTTTGGTAGAGAATTGATGTTGGTGGTCATTGTCACGGTGTGCCTGCGGGCACACCTACCTGCCCGCCTGAATCCTAAACATGCGAGTACAGTACAAAGCCTTCGGCTTTGTATCCTAGTCTTTTGCTGATAGCGCAGTGGTTAAGTTTCTGAATGCACCCAGAGGTCGCACCCAGAGGTCACACTGTGACAGTCATGATCCCTAAATGATAATGGCACGGAGTTCATCCTATTTCTATGCAGTTCGGTGACCCACCATACTAATGTTATTTACTCAAACATACCAGAGTAGATAGGAAATGATCATTAGTTCAACATCCTACACCGCTTTCTCTGGACCGGTTGTCTGGCAGAACCTTGTTTCTCCAAGGGTCTTCTTAATCTTACAAATTTATACTTTTAAGTTTTACCAAAATTTTTTCGCTAAGTGTTTAGATTTTCTATATAAGTGATTGGAAATCTCTAGGTTTTCAGATAATATAGTATAAATTACTATAAAAATTCCCGATCTAATATAGATCAGCGGCTGAGTATACTTAGTATAGTAATTGAATAGTGGCTCAAAAGGCTGGCTGGCCACTGTTGAGTGATTTATGGAGTAGTGTGTGCAAATGCTTTTCCTACCAACAATGAACAAATTGATATAGAAAAAGTGTCAAAAATCACTTTTACAGAAGTATTTATAATTAAAGTTTTATAAATCTTGTTTCTGATTGAAAATTTAAAATTGGCAGTATATAATAAATAATATATGTTAGGTGCAGCTCAGGGAACTGCAGGTATTTGCTAGTGGAGCAGGAGGAATAGCGTACTAAAGCGCCGCAGGCAATAGGACCAGGTACCTAATGATTTATATGATTTGTTGCGTTCCACTTCCTGGTTCTATGTCCCATTTCTGCCTGCGCAAATGTTATATGTTGTTGCCCCGATTACGCACTTACCAACTTCCCGCACTAGACGCGGCGAACTTAATGACCCATCTACTCCACAACCAGAAGCGCCAACACAATTAGATCCTAAACTGCCTTATACATAGGTTGATCACCGACTATTAAAACTGTTGTGATCTCAGGGGAAGGATGGGCAGAATGATGCTGTATCAGCTACACGTACGTAGCCTACTGAGGGCCGGATGCCATTCTGATAAATACTCGATTCTATGGACGACTATCTCAACTATCTTGAGCGCTTCTCCTTCTCTACTTATAGGTAGAGCCTTCAGGGGTTTGGTTTGGTTTGGTTACTATTTAACGTCACTCGGCGGATCACGCGGCAACGTGATCCGCGGCCTCCCCAGGGGCAACCGGACGTGCTACCTAAACAGAAATCTCACTAGGAACTAGCTAAATACATGCTTGAAGCAACAAATCTGAACAATATATGTTGGAAAAAGGGTGGAAGAAGCGCCTGGCACTACCCTGGCCTGGTCTTCTGGAGGTGCGAGCCTGCTTCGGCTACCTATGGATAGAAGGGGATGCCGTCCGCCTCTATCTAGGTAGAAGTATAGACTGTTGCACTATTCAGTGCTTGAGCGGGCCCAGTTCGGGCATATATCCTTGAAGAAGGATGTGTCTTGCACGATGCGGCTGAACTCTTCAGCCCCAGCAGCTGTACTAAGGAGCCAGTCAATTGTCTGTGACGGGCCCGCTTTGAGACACTTCCACCTATCCCTCCAGCGCTTCCTGGTATAAGGACAGAAGAAAAAGTGGGCGGGAGACTAAGCCTTCAGGGGTTGAGAGTCGCTGATCCGGCCAAGCCGCTAATACGATCACGTGACTCGTATAGATTCATATCTAAAACTATGGATGTGCAGTAGAGCTTTCACCACAGAGGGTAGCTACAACTGCAGGTGTTGTAAAGTGTGCTTAACAACAACTTGTTACGTCTGGGTGTTTAGGCAGGAGCTCTGCTGACCAGTTAGCTGTCTTGCGTAGCGAGGGGTCAAACCTGAGTGGCAGAACCCACTGATAACAACAAAGTGTGAGGGTGACCTAATCCAGGCCCGATCATGGGTGCAATAACTAATCTGTGAATAGCTCAAGTCCAAAAAGCCAGGCCTGTCAAGTACGTATACAGTACCTGACCACCTGACGACCGATTTTATGCCTGACAACCAACTCAGAAATGAAGCCATAGAGCCACATACAATCCAAACTTATAGAGATCTTGAAGTTTTGATACTAAGGCCAAGATTATATAGAAATTTTAGTAGTCCCGAAAGCGCTGTGGAAACCCGGGTTACCCTCGAGGATTTATAGCTATACAGGCCTTTCCAATAGAACTAGCAGCTAGAGTATTAGTAGATATCTGATCCTGAGCTATAGAAGTAGTAGAAGCCTTTATCTTATGTTTCTTAACTTAAAATAAAGTATTTTAAGATATCCTAAGATTAAGTTCTTGAATAACTTTATTATATAGTGATGGAGCTGGTGTAGCTCACGTGTAATGGGATTGATTGTCTTGAGGTCTAAATCTATCATACAGAGATTCCTTGGTGTTGTGGTCAGGTCACGTGGTTGCTGCCTTAGGCTCCCATAGGCTCTGACATATAGTAGATACCGGATGCACTTAGATAATATTATAAAATTAATAATATTATCTATCTCAGTATCTAAGAGTTTAGGTGGTTGATCATATGCCTTATATAGTATATAGGTCTTAGACTGGCATGTATATTGGACTTGCCGGTAGGTAATACCAGGCAAATGATTAACAATCTTATTGTAAGTAAAACCAGCACTTTAAAGGGTCAATATATGTATTTGATCATCCCGTTCAAGCCATGTAGAATTTGTGTGTGGGGTAGTAGGGGGGGTAGTAGGTTCAGCCATAGTAGAGTTCTGAATTGTTCCATATTATTGAAGCTGTAAACTGAGCTCTCAGGGGCTCTCTCAATTTTCTGAATAGGCAGGCGGTTTTGGTCTCACCGCTTTGCTGTGGCCCACCCTAAGGTGGGCCGTACTAACAAAATTACCAGGCTCAGCCACAGTAGTAAATAAATGCACCGCTAGGTATATCACATGACAAGTTTCGGGGCGCCCGACCTTTTGAACGAGGGCCGCTGACCTGTAACCTGAGGCGGGAACAAGTGGGCCTTTCTACTTAGTGGAAAGGCTTATTGAAATACTAATCCTAAGAGTAATCATTTATAGATTCTATATATTAAATCGAGAGTCAAGGCTATAAATTGAAATAGTCCAGACAAGAAGTAGTTTTCTAATATCAAACTCCATTATAAAGCACATAAAAAATACTCATCACATTGTTTGGAAGTCAAAACCAAAACAAGTTCTGGACACAATCTGTTTGCTTGTGATCGATACCTAACATACCTAAGCTACCACATGCTAAGAGATTCAAGCATCAGGAAACACTATATGAGTCAATCATATCTACAAGACGTGATGCCTCCTCAGAATAGTTTACTGGTTTCGCGGATACAATCTGATAACGAATACTATATATACCCCACATGTTAGTGCTTTCTGTCTCATTTCTCAAGAAACCAAAAACCTCACCGTTGCTGATCGCCAAAATTGTCAACCTTGGCCCGGCATCTAAAACTCCAGGTTCGGCAATTTGCCTCCTGGAAAATATCTCCAGCCGCCTTCTCATCATTCTGGCGTATCTCCATCAGTTGATCCGCAGTGATGCCCATCATAGATCTGCCCACTTCATCGAAACAGCTGAGGTAAAGTTGTCCCGTATGGTCGCTAACACTGATAAGCATTATATAACGATACTCTGGACGTGGATGAGTTTTATCACAACGCTCGCACCGCCATTGGCCAGGATCGAGCTCTGTCACTTTTTTGTTGCAACCTTCGGAAAGACAGGCAGGATAGCACATGGTATCTTGCTTGATGTAGATGACAGTCGCCTTCAACGAGAAATAGGCAACCTCGTCTGACATGCCCAGTTGCTCCTCTTTGACCTGCGCTACGGTTTTGTGCTGTGCAGTTTTTGTTGGAGTGGCTGCACCAGGCATCGAGGCGTGTGAGGTGAAGGTTTCATCTCTGCCTTGAGCATCGTACCAACCTTTCAGTTTATGAGCCTCCTCGATGTCAGGATCAATGGTCATCGAGCCAGAACTCAGCAAGCTCAAGCTCCTACCTCCAAAGTCCGACACTTTCACTCCCTTGAACGCTATGACAGACTCGGGAATCACATTGAAATTCAATGCAGTTGAGCCCCAGACAGTTAGGCGAACCGAGAATCCCGTGTTATCCACCAAAGTAAGCTCACGCTTACTATAAGGCTTGTTGGTGGTCTTTGACATAATTTGAGAAACCTCACCTGCCTCTTTCAGTACCCCGATTGTATCAATAGTGGTATCCTTCTCGACAGACTGTAGGTCACCGATAGTAGTAAAGCTGAATCTAATTTGTGGAACATCGGTTTGATCTTCCGCCTAAGGCAAAAATAAGATCAAGGAACACCAGACGGGGAGAACAATACACTGACCTTTTCAACTACCGTATCCCTTTCGAATGTAAGTTCATAGTCATTGCTCAGATTGGTGAATTGTTTTTTGGCAATTTTAACACCGCATGGACTGGAGATATAATAAACGCTTCCCTCCTGGAAGATGTCGTAGAGCATATCACACTGATCATTGAATCCAGTTGCACGAATCTCGCCACTATCATCCAGAAGGTTGACGCTAAAGAGCTTGCCCTCTCCGTTTCTATTATGCCAGGTCCTTATATTTGATTTGCTCGTGCATCGTGCCTTGATTGTCCATTTGTGAGAATAAGGAGAAATAGCTTCGATAGGGTAAATGGTGGCATGTGAAGCGGTTGCAGGCCGTGGTTGGGCTGGTCTACTGGTCGCTTGCATCGGCGCAGGTTGAATTTTCGAGCCGTAGAACCCGTTGCTTGATATTGTAGTAGGCTGAGATTTCTCATCTTCTTCCATCTTATTTTCTAAGGGTTTCGGCTCCCCGATTTTCTCAGCCTCGCCCAAGTCTTGCAGAACCTCCAGATCCAAGATTATCAAAATCCTACCTGCGTTAGTTGGGATTTACAGAAAAACCTCTTTGCGAGCTTACTTCTTCCCCTTTACTGAGTTTGCCTGGAAAGCCTTGAGCCTAACAAAGCATCCTTTTCGAAGCTGTCCACTTGTAACAAATCGATTGGCTTCTGCTAAACAGTATGATCAGAAAGATGCCCTAGTGCAAAAGGAAATTGCTTATTATATCAACAAACTCACGAGTTGCTAGCATTGTTTGGACATAATTAGATATATCACTGAAAACAGCTCTGTAGCGCTCTTGATTGTTCTGCTGAGGTGGCAATGGCTTGATCTGGACACACTGAACGATAGGTTCACGAATTTGAGGCTTTGTCTCATCAAATATGGCACTTTTCAGTCATTTAGTTAATGTAAAGCAAATCAGAAATCATGTAGTATGGTTTTTACCTCAAGGCGCCAACAGAGATTTGAGACGCTGCGTCGGAGGTCATGGCAGCAGCAGCAGCAACTATGTTGTCAAACTATCAGATTTTGTGTTTATCAATTAAGATTCCAAAATAATTAGGGGGGAGGGAAAAGACAGGGTATACAAGTACGATGAGAAGAGTCTCAAAATCCGCTGTTATCGCTTGGGTAGGACGCGTAGGAACTACGCGGCTAAGAACGCGGAGTGACTTGACTGGGAATCCCCACTTTCGTGTGCTTCCCCTCTTCTGCCTAAGGCAGGAGCCCAGGTACCTCTTAATATGGATTGCCACAGTGAGAAAATGCACTTAACTTGAGCACCTACCATCTGATATAATAGACCATGAGTGTTCATTATCCTGTATCGTCACTAATGAGAGCCAACATTCACAGTTGTTCCTTTGGAGGCATAAAATTCACACTTGTATTGCTATCAATATCCACATGATGATCATGATCATAGGACATGGTAATAATATTGTACGGTGTATCCTTTGATTTTATTAAATTGCTGGGTAAGAAACCAGTGGCTTAAATTACAGATGTTATAAACTGCCCAACCTGGCTAACAATGTCCTATTTTGTGTTTATTTAATGCCTGCCTACCCCGCGGCGTTGCACCCAAGTTTCCACTTTTGAGGTAAGCTTGTGCCCCACCCATCTCGCGGCAATCACCATGACCTTTAGTAACCGTGCCATGATAGCAGACTTAAACAAGTCACAGTTGCAAAGCAATACCAATAGAAGCTATTCTCAAAACAAGGTCAAATTGTCACATCACTACTTTCATACTGAGAAAGCACCTTCCTCTTTGTTCGGTATCTCGACAGCATGGCTTCTTGCGTGCATGTTAATTCTCACGGTTGGTTGACTGCTAAAATGAGTATCGATGGTGATAGTCCCATATTGACCCTCTCCTCTCTCTTGTGGCAGATCTTAAGTGCCCGTCTCCCTCACAAGCTGTATACCGAGAAGATTGTACGCAGTGTTTTGATTCCATTGTATGCCGTCTATCCCTGTAGTCGTGAAGTCCTACATCTAATTCATATCTAGGATGACGAGGCAGGCTTAAATGTTTGCCTCACTTGCTTCAATGGTGGCTGCGCTGGAGATAGAGATCATGCATCACTTCATTTCAAACGCTTTGGTCATCCCTTGGTATTAAACATCAAGAGAACTCGGAAGAAGGTCCAGGTGGGTTGAACGACCGTGCATTTCGTTTTGTTCTATATACTCTGTTATTGACGATATTAGCGTGATGAACCTCCCCAAAAAATGTCAAAGCTTGCAATAGCTGCTGAGACGGACGAAGACCGTTATGACACCACCACGCGCGTTATTTGTTATTTGTGTGGGGAGGACGATGTTGAAAAGACGAGTGGTAGACTGGCGACAACCATTGAGGGCGTATTTAATGCGATGACGTTCTCAAAGCGAGAAGAGGTTAAGGCCTGGGAGCAAGAGTTTGTTCCATGCGAGCACACTCTTTGTTTGAATCAGGGTGATTCCAGGAACATCGAGTCAAGAGGTATTTCCCATTTTCCCCTATTATCTAGTGCTAAACCTTACCCGAATACCCAGACCCAATTCAATGTTCCATGTGCGATCTAAAAGAGAATCTCTGGCTTTGCTTAGAGTGCGGCAACCTTGGTTGTGGACGTAGCCAATTTGGTGGCATAGGGGGAAACTCCCACGGCCTTGCACACTCTGATTTAACCTCTCATGCAGTTGCAGTCAAACTTGGTTCAATAACCGCAGAGGGCTCTGCTGATATATACTGCTACAAATGCAATGAAGAGAGGACTGACCCTGACCTTGCCATCCATCTTGCTCACTGGGGGATTAACCTAGCGGGGCGTGAGAAAACAGAAAAAAGCCTGATGGAAATGCAGGTTGAGCACAACCTAAAATGGCAATTTTCAATGACATCTGAGGATGGACATGAGCTTTCCCCAATTTTCGGACCAGCCTTTACTGGTTTAGCCAATCTAGGGAATAGCTGTTACTTATCAAGCGTCATTCAATGCCTTTTTGACCTACCAGAATTTCAACAAAGATACTACCGTGAAATAGATGAGCCGCCACTTACGCCGTTCCCTGCAGAGGACCTTGAGACCCAAATGCGCAAACTGGCAGATGGTATCATCTCGGGACGTTACTCTCGACCTGACACGGGCAACATCGTTGCGCCAGATTTGCCAGAAGCCCCTCACCAGAAAGGCTTAGCGCCTACAATGTTTAAGCATCTCGTCGGCCGTGGCCACGAGGAATTCTCAACAATGAGACAGCAAGATGCATTTGAATTCTTACTGCACCTGTTCAAGCTGATTAACCTATCTACGCATCCAGAGGGCTTGAACAGTCCCACTCACCCTTTTAACTTCGCTATGGAACAGCGCCTCCAATGCGTAAACTGCAAGAAGGTTCGTTACAAGGTGGATGAACAGGATAATGTTTCTATCCCAGTCCCTGCTCAGCGTTTAGCATCCCCGGATGATAAATATCCCACCGGACAATTTGCACCAGTGACACTCTTTGATTGTCTAGATGTCTATACGTCCGAGGAGATGGTTGACCTTATGTGTCCTTCTTGCGGGAGCAAGGATGGTTTCTCCAAGCGTTCTTCGTTTAGAACGCTACCGCGGCAGTTGGTCATCAATGCTCGGCGGTTTGAGTTAATGAACTGGGTACCTACCAAACTAGACATACCAGTGGATGTGAGCGAGGAGCCTTTGGATTTAAGTTCATATCTTTCCTCTGGCCAGAAGGAAGGCGAGGAGATCCTTCCAGATATCGATGTTTCTGGGGGCGGGTTTGTGCCTAATCAGCATGCTTTGGATCAACTTCTTGGTATGGGCTTCCCGATAGCTAGGAGTGAAAAGGCACTTTACACGACTGGCAACTCAGACCCTGAAGCTGCGATGAACTGGCTGTTTGCCCATATGGAGGATCCCGATATTGATAAACCTTTAACTATTGACGAGGTCTCAAGAGGAGCAACCGACGCAGAACATGATCCCGCTAAAGTGGCACAATTAGTTGAAATGGGCATTGACGAGTCGCGTGCAAAGAAAGCATTGGGTGCCACGGACGGTGATATTAGCAGGGCTATTGATTGGGTGTTTAGCCACCCGGAAGAAGCGGCAGGTGCTGCAGACGATGGTCATGAATCAAATACCCGCTTCGACGGTTACCCTCCGATGCCTGGTTTCGACGATACACCAGCTAGGTATGAACTTCGCTCGATCGTCTGTCATAAAGGGTCTTCAGTTCATGCCGGGTACGTGCCACTCGTGAATAAGAGTCTTCAACCTACTGACCACTGACAGACACTATGTGGCCTTCATCCGGAAGACTTTGCCGAGCCAGAGCGAACCTTCTTGGGTGATGTTCAATGACGAAAAGGTGGTCAAAGTTGAGGATGTCCGAGAGATGAAGAAATACGCATATCTTTACTTCTTCTCACGGGTCTAATCATACGGTACCCTTTAGTTGGCATATCTCAACCCAAGACTCCACCGGGAGGATTACTATGTGGTACTTCCTACCCGTAGTGGGTTTCAAAATTCTTTCTTGCTATGAAATTGACAGGCACTATGGGTAACAGGTGTTATACCTTGTCAGACTTTGAAGTGTATTGGAATAGTAGACGGAAGTTTGATGGGGTTGCGAGAAACATATAGAATAAATAACAAGCTTTCTCTACTTGGACTAAATTCAGTGGAAAAGAAAAGGGGTGGCGTTGCCATGCCGTTATTATCATGTACTTATCTAGTTAGTTTTCTGCCACGGGTAGGCAACGCCATGGCGCGGTTGAACCCCGATGAGTAGTGAGTGATGAGGAATAATCAACAGTCAACTTACGTATTGATCACAGAGTCCGTGACACTTGACAGTCTCAAAGCACATGAGCAGTCTGCCTTCTAGGGGACTTATCTTAATATAATTTAGATATTCTCTATCTTATTATTTTTTTTTAAAAAAAAAATATGATTATAAGTTCTCTAGCTTCATATATTATCTAAGAATCTTCCTTCAGACAATTTGAGCCAACGCCCTTAAGGCTGCCTATTGCTTCCGCTTTTCTGATAAGGCGTGCTAGACAAGGGTCTGTAACAACACCTACCTGCCTGAATCTCGAACATGCTTATATATGTGAGTGCAGTACAAAGAAGGCTTTGTATTCTAGTCTTTTGCTGATAACGCAGCGGTTAAGCTCTGAATGCACGCAGGGGTCCCACATGGCATAAATCTTAATATAAAAATTACTAGAAAAAGGCATACCGCCTACAGTTAGGCTGGACTGTTGGGACGGGATAATCCCAAAATAATGCCAAGACAAAATGGGAATCCCGTTCTAGCCCTATATTTGGGATAGGATGGGAAACGGGATGCCAAGAGGGAAAACAGGATGGGAAATGGAACACCAAGAATGGAATGGGATAGGATGGGAAATTCCCATTCCCGTCCCATCCCATCCCAATGGTCAGCCTAATTATCATTTTGTTCAGTATCAGGGCTTTCTAGATCATCCAGATCTAGATCCTGAAGTTCTGATTAGTTATAAAGATCAGGATCTTGCCCTATATTGATTAGATCAATTATTCAATCTAATTTAATTTAATTTAGGGCATTATTTTGATCTTGTCCTGTATCATCTGTTAGATCTTCTATGTAGCCTGGATCATGGCTATATATCAGGGTTTTATCAAATATATAATCTCTTACTAAGATAACCTGATTCTTAATAGAAATCCATATCTACTATATATTTAGGGTAATATATCTGTTGCGGTTCTATTCCACCATTATGCCTCCGTGGTCCCCGTGTCGCTCCCGTTCCTTTCTGCTGTTACAGACCCTTGACTAGTGCACTTATCGGACGCGGAATCAGACGGCAGAACCAGTGACACAATAGTCAGGGAACTAGATACTAGTGCCAGGAAAGAAAAAGCACCAAGGAACATCCACTTATATAATAGACTAGTTATATTTAATAAGATAATTAATTTTATTATTAAAATAAATAATTAATATGATAAATAATTTATAGAAAAATAGAATAATAAAGTCCAAAGAAAAAGTAAGTATTTACTAAAAAACTAATATAAATTAAATAATTAATAAAAATATATAAATATAAGATATAAGATATAGTAATTCTTATAGTTTATAATCTATAGAATTAAATACTAATAATAAATATAAAATATATAACAGTATATAAACAGTACTTAAGAAACTATAAAAAATAAAAATAAAATTTAAAAGACTAAATTCTTAGAATATATAATATCTATTAAAAAAATCTAAATTAAGAAAAGTACAATAAAAG